GGCCCAATGCATACTTAAGAATATCAAAAGACAACATGTTTTATTCCTATTAATATTTTAGAAGGAACAAAGACGAAATAATTTATTCAGTTATTTATCTAGAAAATTTTTTACATCCATGACAATAATACTGTTGTGTGCAGACGTAGCTTATTATACCTTGTTTTAAATTATTTCTTTTTATCATATTTTAAGTCTTCTCTATGTTACTTATTGGCCGGATAACATACTGCCACTTCTACTCCTGGCTGGAGAGGACTTTCCAAAGCTTCTACCTTCCATATCAACAATTCTGAATGCTTCAAGAAATTCATTAAAATCAATATGACCGTCTTTATTAATATCAATTGACTTTCCAAGATCCAAAATACTCTCTTTTGATAAGCTTCCATCAGTATGTCTACTCAAGATTTCGCATGCTTCAGCAAACTCTTGCATTGAAATGCTTCCTGAGTTGTCTTTATCCATCATTCGAAAAATTAATTCCAGATTATCTCTATTTCTATATAGCATTTCAGTCATTGTATTAGTTTCTCCAGAAGCCTTAGAAGAAAGAAAAAGGTTTTTTTGATTATTACGCAACTAAATTAATTAGAGGAATAACACAAAGCTTACTAATTTGGTATTTTTTATTGAAAGCTCTTCAAACGCAGTATTATAAAGCACTTGTCCACCTTCTGCGTGTTTGACTAAGCTATGCCGTAAACTTCGCCAAGGTAGTTCCATCTCTAATACTGTATTCATACAATCACACCATATCCCAGCTTCCAGCATACCAGTGTTTAATGGGTCATGTTTGACAAAGGCCGTTAGCAATTCAGATTTATGTGCTAATATTGTTGACTTTAAATCCTGCAATGCTGACTCTTCAATGTGACTCAATCTGATAAAAAAATTATATGTATATATATATTAGCAATATATAGATATATTTGCAAAGAACCTTTCTTTTGCATATATTCTATTGATTCTACATACCTTTGTCGTGTAGTCAGTTTACGTCCGGCGTGTGCTTTGCCGGATGTAAATTGAAAGAGTTCGGGTTTGTGATTTGTGCCCATTTTTATATAGGCTCCCTTGTTACTTCCCTCTTCATAGTAATTTGAAGCAGAGAAAATTGTGAGTACTTTGTTTCCATGAGCGAATTCATATCCTTCCGGTTTACATTCATGGGATCGAATTAACAATTCCATGTCATGTTTTTCCAGGATCATTTTTGTTATATCAGGACCCCAATAAACACCTCCACCCCTAAAAGCATTAGGTGCACATCCCATATTCGGCCTGGGATCACTCCATAGTATATCTAAAATTTGTCTCCATTCTTTAACATCTACTTGTTCATCAATATCAGAATCGCCAGCTCTTGGATCGTATTGACCCCCGCTATAGGTTGGAGGTCGAAGAGCGGAAATATACTGTATAAAATATTCAATATAGAAATTATGAGAAGAATATCTTGATATTAATACTAAACTATATATTCTAAGAAAAGGAAGGAGCAGAATCAAGTTATGAAAGAGGAATATAGAAAGAAATCTATTAATTATATGTTTGGGTAGCAAGAAAAAGTGGTATCCTATGCTTTATGGTTAAAACGGAAAATGTGCAAATAGAAGAGAGGGATTAAAGGCTAGACCTATAGAAAAAAAGGCTAACTTTATGTCTGTCGATATTTGCCAAATATTCCAAATCAGTCCTATCGGAAATACCACCATGAGCAACCAGAACTTTATCGTCAATCACGGTAGCGAGAGGTAACCAACTAAACACGTCGCTAAACAATTGTATTATTTTGGTTGCATGTTCTTTATACTTGTTCATAATTTCCTTAATGAAGCCATATCTGTTTTTGAATTGTATATTATATATCTTTAATGGTATTCAATAGTCAAAGCCCAAAAAGTGTACCTCATGTTAACTATATTATCTTCATGATTGCCGCGATTTATGTATATTTCATTAGGAAAAATAACAAGGAAAGCGAATAGTAGGACGGATATTTCCACTGAATATTGGCCTCTGTCAACGAAATCTCCGTTAAATACATAAGGATTATCCACAGCTGGTGGGTTATTCTATAAGATAATGAGATAAAAATTATATTAACATTGAATTTCAAATAGCAAATTGATGTTTAACCTTATAAAAGACGATGAATAAGTCGTCAATTTTTCCATGTAAATCCCCACAAATAGTTATTTGTTTGGATATTGCTGTGGATGCATGCTGAACTGTTGGGCGTTTAATAAGTATTTTCCTGGCTTCATGCAGAACAAGAAGTACATATTTAGCGTGCAGTTGCTGTGGAAAAGTACAGATTTCATTTTGTAAAATGATGTGACTTTAAAAAAAAAGACCAAGCTTTGTACCTGCTTTTTCTTAAAGGCGTTTATAAGGGAGTGAACTTGATTTAAATTCAATGGAACTGATAGTCGAGGACCTCTATAAGACTGCGGAACATTAATATCTTCTGGATTGGTTTCATCTACTAGAGCTGCATCATCATCGTTTGACGGTTTGGGCGAATGACCTAAAAAATATAATATTTTTTATTGTATTACACTAATAATATCTACGTGACATACATAAAACAATTGCATATGGACGATATTAAATACTAACCAATTAAGAAGTGTTTCCCATTGCTATTACCATCTTTCGGCATATGCGCAATAAGATCAATAAAGAAGTTATAAAGCTGTAAAAAAAAATTCGCAACCATAGTAACGTATAGCTACTAGGCCTAAACTTAAGGAAAAGTTAATTGTCATTGGATATCATTTTACTTTTAATTTAAAATTACTTGATAGAATAAATTCTTATATTTGAAATAATAATTTGACGATGAAATTATAAGGGAAGGTATTAAAAAATATCTAACCTTTAGTTGATTTTGCTCTCCTGAGTATTCTATAGTTTGAAAAATATTCCAGGTGCATCTTCTCCTAACCTCCAATTTCGCTTGATATCGTCTATACCATTTTTGAATAAGAACAGCGGCTTTCAATGCTGTTGAGTATAAATTTTGCACAATTAAATTAAACAGTCGAGGTGAATTTGATAAATAAAAAAACACCCTCTTTTAAGCTTTTACCTCAAAAAACAAGAGATAACTCTTTAATTATAAGAAAGTGCATGTTAAGATATCACTGTGCAGAGTTAGATATCTTTATAACGAACAAGTTAGGAACATGCAATATAACATAGCTGGTATTATGTTAAGATGTAAGGGTTTCAAGCCTAAAACTTCTTGCAGTTTATATTGGAAATAAGCTTATAAGAAAGAAGGGGTGTATTTACATATAAGTGCGGAGTGTTTTTGGTTTCTTTACGCTATGTACAATACATGCATATACATATATAAACATATAAATATATATATATATATATCTTTATATATACATATATATATATATATATATATATATATATATATATATATATATATATATATATATATATATATATATTTATGTATAGATGCAAGTCTGTTCAAACTATATATGCAATAATAAATCACTTATTCGGATAGCACTTATAGAAAATACCGACCATAAGAAGGGCGTCTATTAGATAATCGATCGGATCCTAATTTAAGCAAAATCAATTGAAATAATAAATAAAACTAATGGAAAAGAGTAGAAGCTTTTGTTTTGTTTTTTTTTCTTTTTATTTCTTAAAAAATAAAAGTTGAAATTTTTTTTTTCTGATCAGTAAATTATTATAAATAAAAGGTCTAAGGAAAAACAGAAATTCTTTAAATCAATAATAATTTGTCTAGAAAAAAAAAACAAAATAGACGCTACTGCAAAATAATATTTAGCAGCGGAAGAAGAAAAATATAATATTTCGAATTTATCTTTGTATGCATGTATGTATGTACGTATGAATGGTTTTTTTTAGAATCATATTCCTTTTAAATAGAACAAAATGAATAGGAAAGTAAACAAAGAAAAAGTTATATAGAGGAAGGTACAAAATAGAATTTTTAGAGACAAGTATTCAAAATCTATTCAAAAAAGTATTGGAGAGATTAAAACAAGAGAAGAAACTATATAGAAAGAAAAATATACTATTTATAACAGTGATTGATGCTATTATTATTCGTAAATATTTATATGTAAACCATATTAATCTATATAGTAGATATTATTAAATGAAAAAAGAGTAGTTTGAAACAAATAAAAGGTTGAAGCTAATTAATTCTTTTTCATATAAAGCAAATGGAAGGTAATAAAGCAAAGTACGAAATATTATTAATAAAAGCGATATTATTAATAATGATATATAAATGATTTCTATGATTAACATATTTACGCCTGTATAAATTTATCCTGTATCTAATATATGCTGTATAAATACAATTAGAAATATAAATTCCTCCTACTCATAATAAATATGATATAAATATTTTCATTTAGCTGAAGTGATACAAAATTTGCAAACTGTCTTCAAGATAATTAATTTTACACATATGGAATAAATAAATTGAAAAGTATCAATCAGTTTTTCATAACCAATGTTTATGATAAAATACCTATATATAGGTGTCTTTGTTACTAGAATAATATACCTTTCGTTGTAATTTTTTCAATTCTGCTACTTTTAATCTTGTTGTCATGGAAAAGTGATTTGATTTGTATTTAATTCTCTTTTCTCTATATACAAGATTTTCTAAAAACTATTTTCCTATCTTTGCTTTATCTTTCTCTAGAAATGTGCCAAAACGATTCTTATTGTCTATTACGCTTAAAATTTTCTACAAAAAAATGTACTTGCCTTACTGATATTCTATTTGTAGTATATTATACAGTATTAAATTGCATTATAGAGTATATAAAGCAAGAAAAAAAACTAGCATCCTAGAATGAAAAGCTTCGTTAAGTGCATAGGAAGATATTTGGACAAATAAGAGAAAAAATATCTCATTTAGACTCGTTAAAATATGAAAAGAGTATATATTTTTATTGTTGTTGATAGAATTGTTTCTCTTTTCCTTATTTTAGATATAATTATTACGCTAAAAGGTTTGGTATTCTCAATAAAGTAGATAATAATGAGTTTATAAAATATTTTAAAAAGAGAATTTAATTAGTCAAAAACTACCTTTAAACTTTTAATTATATTATAATATCTGTAATATTAATCAAATATATCATGATTAAAGGGAAACAAATACTTCAGTAAGTGAGAAATTGTATAGAGAATAGGTAGGAATTAAAGTAGCGGAAGTAATCAAATTTCTCTATAGCTCACCTGAACTAATAATATGTATATATTTATGCAAGTTAATACTTAATTTAACTGACCATATTGTATGTAAAATATACACACGTATATATGCATTATATACTTAATATTCGAAATTTAAATAAATAGGTGACATATCTTAGCAAATAAGCGTCTATTTTACGTTCGCTTATAATTGTGCATAGTCTATAATTTTAATATCTCAATATAGAAGAAAAAGGAGGGGTGATGAGATAAAATAATTAGTGAACAAAAAAACAATAATAGAGAAATCTATAGGGATGGAAAAACTTAAAAACAGACATGTAATAGTTTAATTTTTCTGTCTCTCTGTCTCTGTTTCCTTCGCCCCTCGCCTTCATCTGTCTATCTCTATCTCTCTCTCTCTCTGTCTGTCTCTGTCTATTCTGTCTGTATATTTTATCTTCAACCTATTTTATGCCAATTAACAAAAAAAGAAATAAACTAATCTAGCAAAATTATTTTAATTACTCCGTAACTTAAAACTACTAAAAAAGAACTAAAATATACATCTCTCTCTCTTTCTCTCTATACATATATATATATATATTAGATTTTATATATATATATATAGTTATATACTACTAATATATATATATATATATATATATATATATATATATACTAATATATTTAAATATAAAAAAGATTGAGTTAAGAAAAATTCATGCTTTTAAAAAGAAAAAAGAAAAAATTGTTTTATAAATTTCAATTTTCTTACCATTGGCTAATTTATTTTTCGAGGAATATTTCTCTGAGAAGCATGACATGATAAATTAAACCATAGAAAAAGTAAAACCAAATAATAGTAACATAAAAAAATAAAATGATGAAATTGATGATTAAATGAAAAAATGAAAAAATTCAATCAACAATCACGCTAGAGGACACAAATAAAAGGTAACTTTATAAGTTTTGTCTCTTCTCTCTCTGATCGAGAGATTGAATAGTAGTCTGCTGAATGACAAAACTAAATAACCGCACAAGAGAAAAAACTCGCTTATAAAACAAATTGTAATTGGTCATGCTTAAGGTTTTAGTTTACAATTGAATATGAGAATTATTTGATACTTATTAAATATGATGACACGATATTAATCTTTTTTACTTGTTTTAATCATCATTTTAAAAAGGGAGAGCAGAGAAAGAAAAATAAGTTTTTAATGGAAAAAGTTTTCTTAATTTTCAATTTGGTTTATGCTTTTGATCTATTTAAGGAATATCCTAAAAAAAGATTAAAATATAGTTTCGTTCGATGGAGAATAGTACTTTTAGAGATTTTGGTAACATAGACAGAATGCTATAGTCTGACCTATACGAATAAGTCTTTTTATTTTCATTTGAAAGTGCATGAAATATTAGTATAGAAAAAGACACACCTTTTTTATCGTCTACGTCTTTCGACGAATTATGCTTGGCAACGTTATTCTTACCATTCGTTCTTTCACTACTACTAGAACTTTCCTTAGAATTATTAGATGTTCCACAACCCATAATTTGATGTATTTCGGTTTTCTTATATAGATCTGTAAAATAACATAATTTTACGTCGTTATGGAAACCAGAACACGCCAATAAGTGAAGGCGACAGAAGAAGCATCTGGTATGTATAGTATTGATTAATTAACCTTTGATTATGTTACTTTGATGTCTTATCAGGCATGCTGTGGAATAAGTAGTGAATAGAGTTTAAGCTGAGAGGGAAGAGTAGAACACAAAATAAAGACTAAGGCATTTTATGTCTATCTAATAATCTATTTTAACTTTTTTCCTTAGCTTTGGAAAAAATTCTCTCTACCTTTTATGCATTTCAAAGTACGCACCTGATTTTCAGGTACGGAGAAATTTGATAAAAACAAAGTAATTATCTAGTTATACGATACTTTTGAATAGACTATTTTATAAATATATGAATATATGTAAACACATAAAAGATATGTTCAATATTGTCATATTCAGTTTTCTTTCTTTATTTTTCACTCCAATGTTGCAATCAATTAAAAACCCCTAAACCCTTTAATAACAAATTACGAATAAAAATCAATGTTAATCGAAGTACTCTGACACGTTTGTCATTCAATTGGTCTTGACTGAAATTTTACAGTCAACTGAACTGCATTAGAATTAACTTTATCGAATGATTTTTATGATAGGTAATGTTGCTAAAATTAGTTATTCTATTCACAGAAATCGTATTTGAAAAGACAACTATTTAATCTTACTTCAGATACCTTTCGTTTTATTAGTCATAAAAAGGATTTTTCATATAAGATTCAATAGAAACAATACAATTTATTTTATGCTATTGAGGTTTTAGCATTTTAGCAAGTACACTAATTAACTTTTTCTTTAATTCTAATAACGAAAATTAACAGCGTAAAATAATTTTATAGATGTACTTTGTAAAAAATTATAGTATGAATAAGTAATGAATTATATTACAGCTATTTTCTACTGTTGCTATAACTTCGATCTTAAAATTTGTTTTGAAGCGTCTTTCTCTGTTTCTTTGCGTCTCTTTCAGTCTCTTTTTCTGTTTCCTCGATATAGTTAACAAAGAAAAGAAAACACTAACAACTAAGAGATATTGAGCTTATATCATACTTGAAATTCAGAATGTAAAATTTTAAACACAAATCAGCTTTGAGATTTTAACATATTAAGAGGGAAGGCGAGGCGAAAATGCTTATATTACTTATATAACAAAAACTCATCATTATAAACTTCATTTTAATAAAATAACAGCATTGAATATCGTCCTTTACAAATGTAATAATTATTCGTTCATCAAATCATGATATTATAAAATTGAAACATGCTTTTTATTGATGTATTTGCAGTTAATCTTTTTCAAAATATCGATATTTCGGTTAAAAAATATATAAATAATTTATTCCATTACCTCATTTTAAATACAAATCCTTAATTGTCACCTACGGTAGAATCTTCCCGGATGAAACCTGCGGGATTCGGTTGTCTACCTTTGCTGCCATGACACTACAACATAAACTAGTGTGGCACCCTTAGTATGATTTTCACAATGTATCATACCCTAAAACTTGAGCACTATGCCATGCTATTATAGATTACAACGAGCTCTTATAAGTTACTCAATATAAGAAAATTAACAGAGAAATATAGTTAAAAGCTTTCTTAAAAATACGAAATAGACTTTCTTATTTTATCAAATTCTATTTTCGAGCAAATATCTATAATAATAGATTAAAACATAATACAACTATGCGTATAAATAGTACATTTATAACTATAAATAGTGAAATAAAATATGGTCTTAAAAAATTGACATATTTCAATTAATACGATATTATAATAAACTTATCAAAAAGAGTATAAATATCATATAATGATACTAAACAGTGAAATAATGAAAAATAATAGCAAACTATGCTTTTTTCGTATTGGAATAACATAATTTTCAATAGAATCTAACCAAGTATTATATATATTTTAATTAATAAAGAAATAAATATTATTTCTTTGTTCAGAGTATATATAGTTTATTTATAGATATAGACTATAAACTTATCCTTAATTCCTTGTTTATTAAATTACCATACATCAATTTGAGAATATTCAATTATTCCGTTCTCTTTTTATATATTAAAAGTTAATTGAAAAAGAAATATATATGTATAGCATATAAATATAGATATATGAAACATACATCATTCCTTACCATCGTTAAATGGTATATCATTAAGAATTTATAATAATAAATAGCAACTAACTTCAAAGAACTTTTTTATTCTTTCTTCTTAATATATTATTTTTCTCTATTTTTCTCTCTTTCTTTTTCCTCTCTTTCTTCCCCTCTTTTCCTATTAACTCCTAAAACAAAATATTTTTCTTTTACTGTTAAGCAATAAAGCAATATTTTTTATTATAATGTATAATAAGCTGAAAAGAGAGATATTTATACTATATATACTTATTTACTAGTACAGACAGTATAGGTTTAACATATTATTTTACGTTGATGTGTTTATAAGAGATTATTTTAAAAAAGTAAGTTTTCATTTATATTCAACTATATATAATCTATTGTATTTTAACCGGATTTAATAGCTAATAATACTGTTTATGTATATAATTCTCCATTTTTTTTTATAAGTTTATTAATTATCTTACTTGTTATCCTTCCTACTTTTCTCTTTCTTTTCTCTCTGTCTCTTTAAACACATATACAGGCAGCCAGTTTTTGTTTCCTATCATTATTTTTTATCATTTTTTAGTACGTAATAAATTTATATTATAAATTTATTTAATATGAAAAAATTCTGCAAGATCTATAATCAATGAATCAATTTTCTTTTCAACGCTATCATTGATCTGTCAACTATTGGTCGTAAATATATTGAATGAATTGGTGATTAGGATATTATAATATATGATTAAATACGATATAGGATTCTCTAATCAGTAAAAAAATAAAGATAGTATTCACTCTCTCAAATATGAATAACTTATAGACGTATCAGCGTGACCTTCACCTTCACCAGCAAAGTTTAGAGAATAATACTGCGTGCTACTACTATATTCGTAAAATCTGAGGCCTTAATTCATTCAAAATGGAGGATAGTGGTAGAAAAAAATGCGCGCCAAAGGTCAGTGTACTTCTTTGTGGTTTTAAAATATGAGATGACACATAATTAATACCGTAGGTCCAACTGCATATTCACCTTGATGGATCGGTCCGAGTTCAAACTGTAATCGATCTCGCCCTCGAGTATGATATTCCTCTACCTACATATGACGTTGATAAATTGAAATCTTTATTAGAAAGTTACACTGGAAGCTTGACAAAATTTTTAGAAGCATTTAAGATATTTGCTCCTGTGTATACAGGCAAACTGAAAGCATTAAGAAGAATTGCGCTTGAATTTGTTGAAGACTGCGAAAATTGCGGTCTTTGGTATTGTGAAGTACGATATTGTCCATTTCTCCTGACAGGTGATTCTTTAAGTGTATATGAAGTTATGGACACGATTGAGAATGCTTTAAAAGAAGGGTCTGAAAAATATAATGTAAAAATAAAATCGATCTTGAGTATAATGCTCCATCTACCGGACACTGCCATGAAAACAGTTGAAATAGCAAAATCGTACGAAAACGTTGTAGGTATTGATATAGCAGGTGATGAAAATACCGTCCCAAAAACGGGCTATGATGCTCGTTTCAGAAAAGCATTTGAGGAAGCTAAGAACTTGAACATTAGTAGGACAGTTCACGCCGGAGAAAACGGTCCGCCTTGGCATGTCGAGTTTGCCATCAGAGATTTAGACGCCCAAAGAATAGGGCATGGCTACGCAACCGTTAAAGATGAAAATGTGATAAAATTATGTCAACAAAAACACATTCATTTGGAAACATGCCCACTGAGTTCACGGGCAACGGGATCTGTAAGTGGGGATTGGAAGAATCATCCTTTGAAGAAAATTGTTAAATTAGGAATTTCATTCTCAGTTAATTCAGATGACACGATTATGACAGGTAAAGATGTTAGGGGAGATTTCCGAGTATGCTTGGATAAGATCGGTTTAACAAGACAAGATCTTATTTCGTCGGTTAGTTAACTATTTTATTAGATAAGGTATAATTACTAAGAGAAAGCTAGACAATATTTTGCAACATCACATCGCAAGGTCTGTCATTAGCACACCGCTAACCCAATTGAGTTTTGAAGATGGTAAACTTTACAAATGACGATTTGTTAATTAAATCCCATCAACAGATGGAGCGCATCGATTTTCTATTGTAATCGTAACAGAGTAAACTTTAAATAGGCCACCCAAGTTAAATATTTTCTCAGTCTATTTCCCTTTAACAGAACTAATCAATTAGTTCGAATTATTGCTGATTATGCTTTTTATTTTCCATTTTACAATTATTAGTTTAGTTATTGTATACAATTATTCATACAAATTGCACCAAAGGTGTAACTTTTTACTTAAGATATATCACTTCTTTACAAAAAATAATCTCAACTTTACAGATAGAAATAATGTATTTATTCTCTAATGGCAATCTTTTATTTATATCTTTCTATTCTATTTTTTTCTTCCCTAAATAGAATTTTTACGGGGCCAGTGCTTCTTTTCAGTCAGAAAAGGACAAAAAGAAATTATTGGAAAGGCTGAAAAGATGGTTTGGTAACGAGACGCCTAAACAATACAAACAACCTGCAAGTTGGAATATTTTGTCTAAAAGTTCTCGCCGTTTGACTCCTTTAATTCTAGTTTCCTTTCTTTGCTTTATATCTGGAGTTATTGTGTGTTTTGTTGTCTGAGAGAATATTTTCTTTATCTTGTCAACTGAGAAGCAATACCTGCATAAACTACCCGTTTTTTTTCTCTTCCACAAACTGTTTTGCAATACATGTTTAACAATATTTTATATGTAATAATAAATAAGCATGTTAACTCACATAGGACAAAGGAAAAACCGTGCAGTGTTTTGAATATTTAAAAACAATTAAAAACAGAGATTTATTAAGAATGAAATTGAATTTGTTTATTATTTAATAAACTTTCTGCTTGAATTTCTTACAATATGCTTAACGTTGTTATCAAAACGATACTATTTCTAAGTTATCTTACTATATTTACATTATCGATTAAAATTCCCAACTCTACAGAAGAAACGAAAGTGAAAGAACGAACAGTCATAACAGAGGATGATTTCTCTAGTCCGAATGCGTATCATTGGATTGCTCTAATTATTCCGTTGACTATTACACTTTTGGTAGGCCTATCGGCTTTCTATTCCATCTGTCTTATGTTAAATTGTTTCGAGTTTTCAACAAGTCGGAGTACAAAATCAAAGGAACAGTTAACAATGAAAAATTTCACGCATAGGATGACAAGAGGGGAATTAGTTTCACATTACGCACCAAATGACTAATGAACGTTGACCATATTCCATCTTACTGAGATAATTTGTGTGTTATAAATAATAAATAGTTTTGCAAAATGATAAAAAGAAGGAGCAACTTTCTCATGTAGATTAAAAAGGACGGAATAATAATAAATTCGGTCTTATATTGATATAGTGGAATATATATATGTAGGTAGGTATATACCTACATATACATAAGAATTGAATAAAAACTTTATGTGATATACATTTAAGGTAAATCTGTTGAACATTTTAACAAAAAAAAAATAGCAGACTGTTACTATTTATCCTGTTTAGTCTAATAAAATAAAGTTTTGATTATTTAATTGATTTATTAATAAAGAAAAAGGTATAAGAGAAAGGAAAACAACTAAATACTAATTGAACGGAAAAAATACTTTTAAAAATATTTAAAATGAATAATAAACAATTTCTCTTTAATAACTCAATATTAAAAATATTATGTTATTAATAATATTTACTCAACAATATTCAACTACTACTAATACTATAAAGGATACAAATTTTTCTTTATCTACACAATATAATGATTCTTTCGTAGAATCGAAAATCGGTGTTACTTTAGCCTTAACAATAGCCTGCCTTTTACTTGTTCTATTCTCTCTTTTTTTCATTAAACTGATGCCACGGTAATAATATAAAGAGATAGGCCTAATTTTCGTCTTTTCTCTTACTTTTATTTTAACGTATTAAAAAAATCGCGTAAGGAAACAAAGAGAAAGAGAAAATAAATAATTAAACTTATTTATTTGTAATTTATTTTAGCTACTTTATTTACTTTCCTCTATCTTAAAGCTAATTTTAGCTTCTATATTCTCATATCATAGAAATAGAGATGCTAAAAAAATACAAGTGAAACGAGCTCTAGAAGCGAATTCTCATTTTAAAGATAAACTAATGGAATCCAATGGTGGTAGATCGAATATTTCTATTAAAATCACCAATGTTAAAGAGATTTCTGGAGAAAATTACGACTCTGATATTTTTGAGAATAGTTTCAGCTCTCAGAAAACATCACCGTTGTCATTACTAATAGATAAATTGGTCACGTAATACATACTATTATGCAATAGCTTTAAAAAAGAAATTTCTGCTGATAAAAAAGATTTCAATTCTGTCTTTATCTTCTTTTATATTTTTCCTTTATGAGAAGAAAAAAACAGTCATCATAAGATCTATTGTATCACTCCTCTCCCATCTTTTCTTTTCTACGTGAACTCTTGTGCATTTAGACGCTAGAAGAGTGATGTAAAAAAGAAAAAGAGCGTAGGTAGAAAAGCTCGTGTATCAGGCCTATTAGACAAAAAATCCTGTGATTTAACAATATGTATTAAATTGCATCGAGTTCCTCCCTTTTAACGAATTTATATACTGTTTAGTTTGATAATACTAAAATACCAAATGTAATTTTTTTTGTTACCGACTAGGATATAAGCAATATACAAATATTCTTTTTTAATACAAATGAATATACTATTCATATTATAAAATAATACATATGAATGTAATTTTACAACTGATGGTTAGGAGTTCTTAGACATTTTCAACCTTAAATAATTTTTGACTATTCTTAGCTAAAAAAAGAAAATAGATGGAAAATGACATGAAAAAAGGCTTATTTCGTCTAAAATTTTTCCTCTATTAACGATGACTATACCTTTTTTTACTAGTAGCAAAAAACTATAAAATAAAATTCGAATAGAAGAACATTCAAGTCTAATAAACTTAAAAGATTAGTATTTATCTATAAAATTCTACTTGCTGCTATGTTAGGTTATCAATTTTTAGATTATAATATAGGGGAGAGCCTCTACAGTTGCATTCAACTGTTGCAACTGCAAATATCTTAATAGATTATCCGTATAAGACAAACTTGATATGAACTTAAAGTACACTTGTATATTGAACACATTTACTACCAAGTACTATGTTTATATATTATTCGACATATTGTTTAAATCTGAAATTATATATCAGCTTTAAAAATAGCTTTTTAAGATAAGTACACTGCTAAATAAGCTGTTGTTTTTAAGTAGAATTATTACAACGCTATTTACTGTAGTAGCGTATCTATACAGTTTGAATTTTTTACAAGTTGACATATTGAAAGGCGTGATTAACCTTTTTTGGAAGAAAATACAACGACACTTTAAGAAGTCAATAATATAATAAGTGGGACAAAATAAATTATACTGTAGGTATTAATCTCTTCATTACGTAATTAAAAACCTTCGACGTTTTTAAGTTGTAAACCAACTTTAAATTATTTTAAATGAATATTGAACCTTTGATCTCAATTCTTCAATAGCTTTAGTGTAAAATGGAAACGAAAATGGGTCGGGCTTTCTTTGGTGTTTTATTCTTTGTATTTATTATAAAAGTATTCGCGACCTCCAAACCTTTTGATGAGGAGAAATTAGATAAAATAATCGAAAAAGTAATGGCGTGTAGAAAGAACGTTGCATTCAATTTGGCTATCGTAGAGAGAGAGCATATTATTCTTACTAAAGGTTATGGTATTTCCAATTTAGAAAAGAATAAAACGATGACTGCTAATACACAAATAGGTAATTAAACAAAAAACTGATTATACATTCCAACTAGTTTTTCCTTCGTTACTAAATCATTAAATAAATGTACTTTGAACAGGTATAGCATCTTTAACAAAAGCCTTTACGACTCTCTTACTCTCAGATATTCTTAGACAGTCAAAGTTCACTTGGGGTACACCAATTAAGCAGATTTTGAAAGAAAAATTTAGTCTCTCAGACTGGTTCAGAACAGAACAAGTTACATTGAGAGATTTAGCAGCCCATAAAGTTGGTATTCAACCCGATAATATGGCACGATTAAATCCAAGACTAAATAGGAAGAGTGTAGTTAAATTTCTTCGATTTTTAAAACCCATAAGGGAATATAGAAACAGTTTCTATTATAACAACATATTGTATGGATTTTTATCAAGGTTGACTGAAGTTGTTGACGGAGATGAAAAAACTTGGGAAAGACTTATGGAAGATCAAATTTTTACTCCCTTAAATATGACAAACACAACATTTGGGCATACCACAAATTTAAATGATTCAAATATGGCTCTTCCTTATCTAAATTATAATGGCAAATTAAGGAAGGTAGACCCTTTTATTACGAAACGTTTTAGTTCTATTGGTGGCTCTGGATCTATCATGAGCACGGCGAATGATATGGCAAAGTGGCTTTCCTACTTATTAAATCCTAGTCGATTTCCAGGAGCGCCATTCAATAAAAGTTTGACTGAAACGTTTGAAGAATCAAACGTTATAAAAGAAACTTCAAGTTCTAAATTATATAGGCGTCCACTTTCTCCTGTAACTTATTCATTTCATGAATATGGTCTAGGTTGGAGGACTGGATTTTATAGAGGTTATAAACAAATCCTACACACAGGAACGTCCTGGGGATATGGAGCGCTTTTAACGTTAATCCCAGATCAATCTATTGGAATTTATACAGGCGTTACAAATCCTGAATCTGGTTATCATGGCCGTCGCGCTGTTCATATGTATATAATGGATCAATTGCTGGGAAAAGAGTCGTTTTTAAACGAGAGTAACATCTGCTCTTTTCCAGTTCCTTACAAACGTCCAAATAAGTACAAGACAATGCAAAGTTTCCCAACTGCTTTCTCTTCTTCAGACACTGAGGGAACATATGGTAATTTTGCTTATGGTAATCTAACGATAAAGTCGTCAAATAACCAATTAATATTGATCTATGGTGATGCTCAAGCAAATATAACTGAAGGCTATTGGAAGTTAAAAACAACTTCTGGTTCAACGAACCTTAAACTTAATATGGCTGGAGAGGGTGAAAAAGCCCTATGGCCAATAGTCATGCGTTTGACATTAAAACGATCAAGAGCATCTGAAAAATTTCAAAATATAGTAGTTAGTTCCTTCGATAGAAATAATCCGCCAGTATTCATAAGAGACTTGAAATTTCAAGATGCTCCACCACCCCCAACCTGCCCTTGTTCTCCGACATCTTCGATAAGTGACTCACTTCACCCATTTTCCATCTTAACACTACTCTTCAGTGGCCTTTTGATAAATTACTACACTTTAATTTAATAATTGAATGCTGTAAGTAGGAGAATATATATTCGTTCAGTAGTCATTTATTTAAATCTATATATCTCAATGTAAATTAATTGTCAAAATGTCATAAAATAGTTTACGTATTTCATCTCAGGAGAAATGACAAACAATGCGACTTAGCTAATGTCCGCTTGAATAAATAATAACTTTTCTGCCTACTTATTAATGTCCTGTTGATTTTTGGTAAATATCTAACTCGATCAATGTTTATGGGTATGCGTGAGATTTGTTTGTAAAATATTAGTACAGTTCATCATGCATAACTTATTAGTTATTCTAATCAGTGGAATTAAATTGAACAAATACATTAGGTAAGTGAAAGTAAGGAAACGCAACAATCTGATAAAAGGAAACAAAATTGTAAAGAGGAAAAGGTGAGGATGACCACACTACCTGCTATAACCCTGCCTGTTAAAGATCGTCTATTTTTTCTGATGTAATTATCGACTTCTCGCTTTACAGTCGCCTCTTTTCGGAGAGGGCGTCGAAAGCTATAAAAGCCGTTAAGAATTCGATCGAAAACGTTAATAAATTGATGCATTCACAATACAACTGTCCAATAACGGCTTTCTCCCGCTGCGACGTTTAGTATAAATCACTTTCTTCTCAAAACTACTTTTGACCAGCCAAAAGTAGGCTTGAAGAAGCTTGTGAAAAACATTTGCAATTATTGCTCTCACGAAAATCGGTCTATTCTTCTTTTACATTTCGTGTCCACTCTCTCAACCGTCTCATTCATTTCTTCTTTTTTTTCCTTTTCTCCCTATCCATAACGGCGTAATACGAAATGGCGAGAGGCCAGTGATTAAGGGATGATGGCCATGCTATCCCGCTCCATGCATATAAAATTCATAATAAATGCCGATCTAGTTGTGATGCATATCAAACAGGCCAACTTAAACGAGGAATAGGGTAAAAGGGTTAGGAAATATAAGGTTAAAAAGAAAGAAAATTATTGAATTATTTTAGTAAGATGCTTATCGCGTGTTTCTATTAATTAATACGAAAGAAAAGTGAAGGAATCGATCGAAACGTACGCGAATAATTATGTAACTGGCCGTCCAACACGATGAAACAAAAAGCCACTTGCAATAACGCTATTTATATTCATTCGGACGTCACTGGCGGTTTTACTTCTATAGACTATCGTTAGGGAACTCTCATATAGGTTATTAATGCCAGCCAGCTTTCTTTTCTTACTTCTTATGTAAAAAAAAAAACATAACGCACTTAAAATTGTTTCTTCATCTTTTGTTAAGAGGTGCTATTAATTGCGCCTATAGCATCCATTAACAGTCTTTAATTTAAAACCTAGAGCGTTTTTTGTCACTATCTTACTGTTTATACAGTCAGGATCGTCTAAGTAATGCTTCAGCTCGACGTTTTACCAACTATTTACTTTCGACGCTTTTGACATATTTATGAGCGTCTAACAGTGTTTTAGGAGATTATTCGACTGCCCGACATCGCGTGTAAACCTTAAGACTTTTATGGAATTGATGGCGGTTTTCTATAACGAGGACCTAAATTAAATTTAGCAACTTTTTCCTTGTTCTCTATTTCTCAACCGGCTTCCCGACGAAGTGATTATTCTGTCAGATAGACGGCGCTTCGGAAATTTGCAGAGAGAAAGAAACAAAACACTGGGCTTCTACAGGCGTTACTGCTCTCGGACCGAATTGGCTATAATAAACGAGAGTAAATTTGAACGCTTCCCCACAACAACAAAAAAGAGGTTTGTTATGACTTTTTCATACTCCCCTCCCTATTTTGTTTCTCTATAAAACCATATTTACACAATAAAAACTATACTCAAACTTTGAGTACATATTTATCTATTATATAAATATTATAAAACATAGCTATACAGTATATAAATGATTGTTAATTACTTTATTTTTAGTGTGTTTTATACCGTTGTTTGCCTAAACAATATATACATCGAATTATTAGCCAACTCCTCCGACAAGCATTTGTTTGAAGAGACAAAGACTACACAGGAGAACCGCACCTTCTGACGAACTATAATCGAAACTCTTTTTTTTTTGATCAATGTGTCGAACTGTTGGGTCTTGTTCACCGTGTCACTTGCAGACGCGTAAATCGAACGTTTTTATAAGATTTCCAACCAGTCGATAAAAGTACGATTTATTTTTTTCCTTTTTTCTTTTATTTTCGCATTTCACTCTCTTTTGTTGAAATTATGCTTTAATGACAAACAACAAAAAGAAAAAGACCTATATCCTACTACTCTACTGGAATATTGCTTTTTTCTTTCAATCAGACTTTAGGAGTTTCTCAGAGACGACGTCGCTTCCGGTAGCTTCCTCGTCTCTTTAAGTCTATAACAGTGTAATGTAATGTAATAGGCCGAATGCGTAAACTGTTAATAAAGAGGTTTTCTTTTTTGATTTCATTAACACAACAGAGCTGAATCATTCAAAAATGAGATGGGAAAGAGGCTGACCATGCCATCGAAGTTGCTGATGTTACTTTTGCTGTCTTTGTCCAGTATCATCAAAGCTACAGGTACAGCCTTAATAGCTTCTTCTTTATAATTAACCTTGATTCATTTACATTATTGAAATTAGAAACCTATGACTAGTTTTTTTTTTCATTCTTTTTAATCTTTTGTTGAAAAGTAATACAATGACATATAGAAAGAGAGGTAAACTAAAGATTAAAATAAAGGCAAGTCTTTAAAAACAGCCTCCACCTCCTGCGAATTTCCTGAATTCTTATGGAAATCGGATAGAGGAAAGCAGACTTGGATTGGTGAGACGGTTTATGACGAATATGCTGAAGATTGGAAGGAGCAAAAAGTCTACACAGTCGATAAGTGAGAAAGAGAAATAAATTCATCATTTTATATCAAGAAAGATGGCTATATTTCGTTTTGTTATTATTTTTTATTTTTCACTTAGAAACTCGATAACACTTCATAGAAAGAAGAATAATGCAAAATGTTTGGAGGGGGATAGACCGCCTTGCTATTCGGAGACAGTCATTTGGACTAAAGAGTGCCACAGTTGGGCGAACAGTTACAAAGCCTATTTAGTCTATTCCAGACAACACAAGTAAGGAAGCAGCACGTTAACAAAGGGAGCAGTGTTGCGAATAAAACGAGAACAGATACATAAATATATAGATCGTATATAGACGTAAGGGAGTCTTCTATTCACCATTAATTTCTAAATGCTGCGTTCAAAAGAATAGACGCTATACAGAACTTTGATCTCTGGAATAAAAAACAAACGCCCCATAAAATGTATTTGTATTACAAACGACAAGCCTTTCAGACCAGTCAATATATACCAACGAACACGTTAATTAGTTAAAACCTTTGACTATGCATAACTTATCAGACCATCCTTCATTTTCCCCAACAGAAAATATACCTGTATCAGATTTAAAAAAATGCATGAACAAATTATCATTTTTGAGCAAGGAAAACTTAGTCAGACACCAAGTAAGCTTCTTGACTTATGCAAATAGAGAGAACATATTTGAAAGTTCATACTCTTCATTTATTTATATCATAGCATTCCTGGACTATTCAACAGCAAGCGAAGCCGAATTATCATGTACACACTTGGAAAAGTCTAAACATCCTTGGATAAGTACGTTTAAAAGGATTATACGGTTTAATTATTTAGATATTTCATCTTGTTTACCAAACAGTTTGGCCCATGAAAACCTATTCTCCTTGTCCAATTATCGGTTCTTGGGACTTTAGGTCATATTCTAAAAAGGATTCGCAATTAAAAGTGGTAACTATCATTCGATTTTTCTAAAAAACATCAAAAGCAGATACAAAATAGATTAATCATTTAAAAAAAAATTCATACACTCAATAGTAATAATAAAAGCTTAAATAGGTAGATGAAAGTAAAATGTGTATACAATCCATTTTGTATACGGTGTATTATAAAGAGAAATGCATATTATATATACAGAGAACACAATTTTGCCCTTCTGAGAGAATACCATCAAGAATGGAAAGTGAGTGTATGAGTGGTGAAGGTATTCAATTCATATTCCCGAATAAGTCATGTGATTTTATAACAAATGGAAAATCAAGTATGTTGACTTTATTAACAAAAAAGTTCATTTTTAATTTATTCAAGTTAAAATAAAAATGAAATTCGATATACAAAAAATTACTAATTTACATATATATACATAATCTTTTTAACAGAGGAGATTAGACTATACAATTGGGGAAATTGGACAGAGGGGGACGTTATTTATTTCGTCTTGGGTAGTGCCCATCACGCCCATTATATAATGGTATTTAAACTATAAATTATGACATTTACACAATTTATATTTTATTTTATATGATATTTAATTATTAATGTTAATTTTACGAATCAGAGTTTTCGGGATATGAGAACATTATCTAGAAATGCAACGGATGCTTACAGTAACGAGGTAATGATTCATTTTTACTCTTATCCGGTTCTACCATCGGAAGTAAACCACGTTCCCCATATCCAATTAAGAGCGAATAAGAGCAGTAAGTTTGTTTACATTATAATTATTAATTTATTTATTTAATAATCAAAATATTATAATTAGGTACTGGTATGCACGGGATTTGTTTTGATGTTGACAAAAATTGTAAAGAAAGAGCTGAGAAAGGTCTCTGTAGTAAAGAGAAATTCTATTGTCAACTTTCCTGCAAGTCTTGCAGTGAGTAGGAAAAACACAGCTTATAAATATGCATTATCTATTTATTATATTTTATTAATTTACTAATATAGATGATAGATATTCCAACTTTAATGAATGCCAATTTGGTAACGTAGATAAAACAAGGGAATGGTACTTTTATAGGGGTGATAAAAAGAAAAAAATAATAATTAATTCCAACGGAATAGCCCGTATAGACGACTTTAAGCAAAAGTTCTTTTGTAAAGCTTGGAATCCTAATTCAGGTCAAGACTACCCACAATATAAAGTTATGACAACCTTTAATAACGGATGGTCTGTATTAATCGATGAAGAAACTTTTAAGCATTCTACTTATATTTCAAATTATTACAGTCGGCCTAGATACAGTTGTCTGGAAATATCAACGTCTATTACTGACGGTCAACTTCATTCTTACCGCTTATGTAAGAAGATGAGACATTTAAAGTCGACTTTAATAAAGTATTTAATCATTTCTAGCCTCTAGCATTATTAATAACTATTCTTCCGATGTCGTCTGCAAAAAATTTAAAGACGACTCGACGCCATTAAAAGATGAAATTCGTAGCAAAGAGAGATTATCTTTGTTCCGTTAGTATAGTTTTTATATTACTTCATTTTATGTCTATATTTTATGTCATTTTAAAGCTACAATTTAAGTAAAAAGGAATATTTCCATTCACTTTTACAGCCGTTAATGACGCTCGTTACACTCCCAACATGTGCTCTTTAAATGGCACATTTCGAGTAGCCATAGTGGCGTACATGAACGAATTAGTTAAAGGAAAATCTGGTCATTGTACTGGAACAATAAGCGATTTAAATCCGTCTTGTTCTCCAACGAATCGTTTAAGGCTTAAGACGGAACCACCTTGTTTGCAAAACAATTTTTCTCAAGAAATTGGTAAGTTATATCTTATAGTTTATATATTTTTCTATTTATTAATAATTTATTCTAACAATGCTTTGTGAAACGTTATCGTAATCAGTCAATAGAAACATAATAACCTTTTGCAGACTTTACTTGCGTTGGTTTTACTCAAGTAGGTAAGCACACACTGCTAATTACAAAGGAGGATAGTTTTGCTGCTAAGTTTATATGCTGGGTAATATAATTCTAAAATACACTTTTCTAACATATATATATATATATACTGTATATATTTACATGCAATTTTCATTATAATCAGATAATCTTTCGAGGAGTCTCTGATGGTGTTACTATTTATAAATTAAAGGATGCTAATTGTGGAGCTAATATCGAAAAAGAGAGGAAGAGTTTTCGTTTGCACTTTACTCCTCATGGTAAGCGTATGCATCTTTTCCTTATAAATCTATCTTTAACTATCAATTCATTATTTTTCTAATATAAAAGCTGAAAAAGTCACCTGCATAGCTAAATCTCCTGAAGCGGAAAGAAGAAATGAAGGTGGAATTAACAGTGACTACGTAAACGACGATGTTGAAGATAGACGTTATAGACAAAGTTATGGAAATAATGCCGTTAAGACATCTGCTTTACTTGCCTATTTGCCTATTTTTTTCTTACTACTTAAAATTTTTATTTAATCAGAGATTTTTTTTACTTTTAAGACAAAAAACAAAAAAAAATGAAAAAGAAACAAAACTCAGAAAATCTGTCTAAAGGAAAAATGTAATATGCAAATTTTCTTTCTTGCTTGAAAAGTTCTCTATTTTAAAACTACAAAAAAAGATATAATAAAAAATATACAATTTCATAATAAATATATAAAATATATTGTAGAAAATACAATTATAGCAGAACGAGGAGAGGTTTTGAGATAAGAGTTGAGAAATAAAGAGATAATAGGCTTAGTATATTTGCTTAGTCCGATCTAACTCTTTAAGACAGAGTGCCTTCTTCATAATTTTTTCTTTATAATCTTCCCATTCAATTTTCGTATCTAAGCTGCATAATAAATTTTCTTCAGTTGGATAGGGTTTGTGCTATTTAGTTGAAATTAAGTATAATTAATTAGTGGAACTATAGATTGATTACAAACAGAAACTGAAAGATTAATTACACTTACGTGCATTCTAATTAAACCTATTAAAGAGTCGTTCATAAACTTCGAGAGAAATTTTTTACTAATTTGTAATATAACGCAGCCGCCACTCACAAGGCTAACGCTGGCTCCTCTCTCTTCTTCCGGTAATAATGAACGAAGTCCCTATAGTCATGCGTTTTGGGATTTGTTATAGTTTTAAATTTTTAATGAATATTCTTACGAAAACTCTTCCGGTTGTTAAGGAATCCAGTTTGACATAGGATGGAACTTTATACATTCTAGTATCTTTCTTTTTTATTGTCTCCTTTGCAGTTTCTAAGAAAGAAACTGTACTCTTCGGTCTACGTAATTTCTGTTCAAACCTATTTAATTCCTCTGTTTTGGCATTTGAACAGGGGTGAGCAGTCTTTGGTCTCAGAGAATTATCTTCTTTAACCTTATAAGCTCTGGTCAATTTTTTAAGATTAGCACTTTTCGACCTTCTTGGAGCAACCGTTGGTGCTGATAAGGCCCTTGATTGCCTTATCCAATTAGTAGTCCGTTCATCTGACTCGTCCATCCGAACAAGAGAAGTTGATTTAGCTGAGGAAACACTATATCTATTGCTTTGTCTTGAGACTGGAGGATTATAACTATTTTGCGTATAATATGAAGATACTAGACAAATAAACAGAGAAGGATGTCATTAATAAGCGAAATATATAAAATTAAGCATTCATTTGTGTATTACTATTTGTAGTGCCTGACGTAAATTGAAATAAGCGCTTCTTATAATCTTTATGCGTTTCCGTTTCTCTTCTAGCTTCTAACAAACTTTTCCTCTCATCAACTTGGACGTATTGAGTTTCCATTCGTTTTAATACTTTGGCCTCTCCCTGTTAAATGATTAGTACTACTTGATAAGTTTAAGACTAAGAGAATTTTAAGAAAATGAATATTGACCGATTTTATAACGTAAATCCATTCAGTTTCGTTGCAATCTTTCGATATAAGACGACCGAATCTAGGGTAAGAAGAAAACGAACGGCTTCGAATTAATACTAAAGAATGGATGTCATTTACTTATAAGATAAGACTGTCCAAACACCAGGGTTCTCTTCTAATTTCTCAATGGGAAAGTTTTGAAAGAGGACGTCATGCTTACACACTTCCAAGTGTCTATAGTCGCTAGAATCTTCGGCCATATTAAAAATAGCTCTGTAGTCTTGACTATGAAGCGATAATATTTCACATTTGGTCTTTGTTAAAACGGTAGATTTTCTACTCGATCCACATACTAAATCTTCTTCCTATCGAACAAAACAAGAGATTGACTGATAAGAAAAAGAAAAATTTTCTCATTCATTGACTAATCCGTTTAATAAATTAACTGAAGATCAGAAAGGCGAGTAATAACTCTCGAATAATTAACAAAACCTGAAATATTAATTGAAAGTAAAAAGAAAATATACTTACACCAATTAATCTGCCAGGTCTGATATCTTGTAGTTGTCTCTTTTCATCAGACTTTTCAACCACTAAAAGTGGGCATTGAATTTAATTTTAATACAATTTTTAATGGTATTAAAAGCTCCTAATTTCATTTTATAAAAAATATAATGATATGCAAATTTATGTAAAATAAAAAAAAGGAAAGTTAATTTAATTAACTAACATGTTCCCGACAACAATATATATATTCCATCAGACATTAGATTCTTACGAATTATTACTCTATTTGGGTTATAACTGTTTAGAAAAGAGAAAGTTACTTGCATATAAATTATAAATATAAATTATTTATTATACAGATCATAAGTCATAACTTTGCACATATCCTTTTGCATTTCCAATGAAAATCCGTTGAATTGTTCACAAATTTGCCTTAAGCAGATTAAAACCTGTTTACGTTAACCTTGTTTAACAGGAAATTCGATTTTTACAGAGTTTTTTTTTTATATTAGATTGGTTGTTTGAATCGATTGATGAAAGCAATAAAACTATAAAATTAACATTAACAGTTTCTTACATCGTTTATTTGATCGCTGTTCCTTTCACACGACTTCATACGAAGAATTTGTCGGATATCATCAGTTAGAAGATGCTAAAAATTGATTATTTAAAAAAAAGAAAGATCTTAATAGAAGTAAATGAGGTTGGTTGATTATATTTAAAATTCATATCAATTAAACAGTGTATAAATATATATATATATATTAAGTATATATTTATATGGCATGCAGTAAATATATATTTATATATATATATATATATATATATATGTTTGAATATATACAGTATATGCTAATATATTGAATTATTAAAAACAAACATTTGAAATATTGATAGTTATTTATTTCTTAACAATTTTAAACTTACTTCGGCTTTAAATTCCCTTGAATATTCACTTTGATCAAAAGAGATCTTCTCAATTTTTTGACTATCATTTATTATTATGGCAGTAAAAGGTCGCGGTCTTGTAACCGTTGAATGAGAATCAGACAATACGTCCTCGACCTGCTGATACCAAGGTTGGGAAGTAACCCAGGCAGATTGCATGCTAAAAAGAGTATTCAATAAAATCTTAGTAATTCACTACTAGAAAAGTAAACTCACTCTCGACAAACTTTACAAACATTTAGAACTAGGGAAATTGCCTTTGCAGCCAGCCTAAATCGAAGGAGTGGCTGGAAAAATTAGCGAGTAGGACTATTAGGTTAATAGGTTTTTTATAACTTCTTACAAAGAATTAACATATATTAAATTATAAGAATAAGTGAACGATGACGGATTCGTTATTTGAACTCTTACTGTTAATCCTTTTCGCCATGGCTTTCTTCTATACATAGCCTCTCTTCTCCGAAAGTTCCTTCTCTTCCATAAAGCACCAAGTTTATTAGCAACACTCTGCATTGTTTGAACTTCTTTCGGAGTTCGATTTTGACTCTTTGATAATGCGCTTTTCAACTTTGCTCCGGCTAAAGCATCCAGATTGCTTCTATTCGCTGACTTTGAAGCCATAGTCTCTTTATTTAAAAAAAATGGAACTTGTTCTGATCTCCTTGTAATCCAAGTGATATTTACTGTTTTGAAATCTCCTTACTCTTTTTAATCCAAATATCAATTATTCAATCATATTAGAGCAGTAGCCACACCTGTTTTAAGGCCTGACACTCCACACAAGTATATTCTTTTGTGATTTATGGCGGTGTTAATACACATGTATCGAAAGATATTTAATTACTATAATTTGTCCCGAATAGGTAAATCCACTAAGTCGCTAGAAATCTTGAAGAAATTACGCAATATTATATGAATTTGTTAGAGAAAAGGTGTAAAATATACACTGGTAATAGGAGAGACATTTAGCGCCAACCAGACATTCGTTGGCAAATAATTCCCATACACGAAACTTGCTTAAGACTATTGACATGACGGCAGCTTGATAAATATTGAGTTTGTCTAAATCTTTTATCTTTTTAATAGCTTATAGGCAGCGATTTAATCTTTTCCTATTAATAGTCCTATAATTTAAAAAAATCCTCAACTTTCAATTACAATTGAACAATAATCTTCATTCAATACCTTTCATTTCTCCTTTTATTCTCAACGGAAATCCTATAACAAACTCTCACTGAGGTATTCAAAACGAAAAGTTAAAATCCGCTCGGGCAATCACAATAACCACACCAGAGATGGCGCTCTGAGAGCGCTAAAGATGGCGTACTGCAAAAGTGAAGTAGGAATAGGCTTATATTCTTTGGAGATATTTTGCATATCGAATAAGGGACGGTAAACAGAAGTTTATCGAGTGGGATGTTTGCAATCATCTCTGGACTTGTATATCGACACTGAGAAACGGTCGAATCGATGAAAATAACGTGACTGCTTAAATGCACCTTATTTCTCTTTTTAAAGCAAATGTCCGCTCTGTAATTAAACGCGGATTGAAATACTAGAGAGAAACAAATATTCAACCATTTCAGACTCTTGGTTCATTAAGTTAAATTATAGATTACAGTACGGTTATAAAATAAAAGGTAAGACTGACAGCTCTTTCTCAGAGAAGAGCTAACAACTAAAATATTTACATCGATAATAGTAATAATATATTTTAGTTTTTTTCTTTATATAAAGGCAAGTCAGCAATTATATATTTGCATAAATATAATCCGTCTGTTGTTCAGAAAACTATTATTCAATGGATTTATTCGAATTATAGAAGGTGGAATTACTTGATTCGATTGCAATGAATCTTTTCTTCGGCCCACCAGCACAGTTTTGATCAAAGTTCGGCTTGAAGTTTTTTTTTAATTTCTTCAGGATATATTATTTCATATCTCGATTATTCTGTTCAAAAGAGCTTTCTTGTTCGATTAATGAAACTTATTCAATTTATTTTCTTTTTGTAAAGTTAACTTTACATTATCGTACTGTTGGACATTTGTTCTTTATTTGGCAACCATTTCAACCGGATTATCTGCAACAAATTCAGATTTAAAATATGTCTGTAACTTGGAATGAAGACTATAAAATATTTAAACAAAAAAGTTTCGTCGAACGAACCAGACCGAAACCTGTTTTACAAACTTTAGACTATATATTCGAGAGTACAAGAAAGGTACCTGCCGTACTACAACGCCACCTGACTGATATAATAGAAACAAATGATAACCAACGTTACCGTGTCCGACAAAGGAGACGAAAAACAAAGTCAACAGGGTTAGTGTTTTACAAGTAGTGGAAAATTAAATAGAAATTATCTAATGAGTAAGATACAAAAGGTATACTGCAAAAAAGCATATAGAATTTATAGAGTATTTAAAAAAAGGGAAGAAGATAGAGAACAAATTGAGTATTGATAAAAAAATATTATTAAATACTTCATAACAAGCAAATTTATTATCATTTTGTTTACAAATCATAAATCACATAATAAAAAAGTCTATTATTACTGTCTAACCAACTACAATATTTTATGATCCACCATTTTTACTTATCACAATAATTTTAATCCTTTTTAAGTAAGTTTTTTCAACCGATTACCTTAAAAATTTTACCTCTGTTACGCAATGTTTTACAGGTAACTATTTTTAACATTTTATAGATAATCACCAATTTTAATACACATATCATTACTAAATACAAAGTTGTTATTGCTATTCTCCTTTTAATTATACAACATACCTTTCAACCAGGTTTGCACCGAACTTCAATGAACATGGCAAAGAAACATTGCTTACCGAACCGGATCTCATTAAAACTATTCCAATTCCGAAAGTGAACGACGATGTTCTACCTCCAATTTCTCAGACAACGAATAATATACAACCAACACTCACAATAACAAGCCCATTTATAGAAAGGAATAATATAAATGTAAGTATCACTAATTGATTAATAGATGAAAGTAAAAAAAGTATAAAATTTCAATTAAAAGGAGTAAAAATAAAGGAGATTTAGGAGACTTATATTTTTTGTTTAAAAATTGGTAATTTTATTGATTCTTCTAATGATTTTTTATCAAATTCTAACAAGAGGCCATTAGAAGTGAACAAGTTAAAAAATGGGAAACTTTCAAATAAGAGTTCCATTGATCATTAAACGATTTTATATTTGTAAATTTCACGGTCTGCTCATTTGAAAAGGCATAACGTTACTAGTAAAAAGTTTGTAATCCATTTAATAATGAGTGAAGAAAACTCTATTCCATTATTCTTGTGGGATAAAGCTATATTAAAGAACAAAATAAGGAAAATAAAAGTTATTCATCCACCCGATTTATTCTCTCTTTACGCTGTGCTGCATCATTTAAAGGAGAGTGAAAGAAGATTTGTCGCCTATTCATTAAATACATCTGGAAAAAATTTCCAACAAACGACTAAAGACGATTTTTACGTTAAAGAATTAAAAAAATTAACTAATAAATATGATGAAGGAGAAGAAAATCTAGAGGATACCTTCAAGCCAGGCTCTAATGTTGCCATATATACGGCAAACCTACTTAAACCTAAGACAGCTCATGAATTATCAAAATGGAAAACAGCTGGTAAAATTTTGACCAAACAAAAAAGGAATAAGACTATTGCCGATATAACTCAAGAATTCCTGAGGCGTGTAGCTATTAAGAAGAATAATGAAAAAAATACAGAGACGGCTTCAGTTTCATCGCTTGACGAATTAAACCAATTAAAAGCGGAAAAATCTATTGATAGGCCTACACTTAACAACGAGGTAATATCTTTATAAGATAGTTGTTAGATTAGTTCAACTATTTTTGACTATTTCGAAGGTTATAAGTCATATTAATGCATTGAATAATATCAAGCCTATATACACAAACAAGAAGTGGGCGAAGGGTGATTTTGTTGACATTGGTGGACGAATAAAGACAAATCTCTAGTTTTTATGCGTTTTCTGTAAATTGATACGGCTATGTCGCATTTACAAACAATATAGCATATTTTTTGAAGAGTGTTTAAAATCCTAAAGAAGAAAATTTGACAGAATTTTCTTATTCAAGTGTTTGTTGAATAGAGAGAAAGAGATTTCCGTTTTCCCCCCTGAAGTCCATAGAAATTTACAATAGGATAGTCTGTTGAGATAAAAACATGAACAAAATCCCTTATAATCCACCCACTTACATGAAAGGAGACGAAAACTTAGATAAAAAGGAAAAACGGTTTATTAAAGTGTCTAGCCGATCTCAGACTTTATTCTCCAAATCTTCGGATTATAAGACCAATAATGAAGTTGACGAAAAGCGAGCAAGAAGTGCTGGAAATGGGAGACGAATCAGAAATTTCGAAAGACAAGGAGATAATCAAAAATCCTGTACACCTTTGACTAAAGATTTATGCTCAAGTAGAGAGGCAATAAACCAACATATATTATTTAAAAAACGTCAAAATACCATCGGAAACTGCATAGAACGATTTATAAAGCATGAAGGAAAATGTCAACGGAGATACTCTGATAGTGCAATTATAATTAAAAAGAAAATTGATGTAAAAAAGCGTCTAAATACAGCATGTATTTCAACTATAAGAAGATCTGTTCGACTTATTTTCGTAAGTAAGGATATACGTAATATACAATAGACATACAGAATTTCTATATATATTTCTATACATAGTCTGCATGTCATATGAACTTTTTTGAAAGCGAAAAACTAATAGAAAATGAATTTTTCTTCGTTTATTTGCCATTAATTATTGAAATTTTCGATATTGATGAATTTTCAGATGATACGCAACCAGTTGTCGTATGAATATTTCATGCTTTTTCTTTAATTAATAGTAAGAACGAACAAAATTGCACTCTACTGCATATAGTTTCGCATAAGGCCTTACTTGAATAACCAAGGAGCATAATTTGATATGTCAGTTTATATATTGAATATATACCGGTTTATATAGTGTTCAGTGAATTCAATTCAATCTACCAACAAGATATTTACTATACATATTAGCTTTCGAATGGGTTGTGATTTATTCCCCATTATTCTTTTAAAAAAGAGAAGTCACTGGAATATTTTAATAATAAACTTCGCTCTGTTCATATTTTTTCTGACTTTAACTCTATTTTATTATTAAAGGAATAACGACTTCCTCACTCTCTCACTCTCTGTTATCATTAGAAAATTGATTGAATTTTAATAGAATTAATGAAAAAATAACATTTAAATTTTTATCAAATCAACTATATATCTTGAATAATCAGAAAAAAACAACATATAAGAGATTAAAGCAGCTTATCGATTCATACTAAAAAATATTATCAAATATTCAAAGAAGATTTAGATCGACCATTTCGAATAAACTGTCAGTTTGAATGGGATAAACGTAAACTTGCGATACGTACATTTAAAAGAATGTCTCGATCTTTTGTTAGATCGCCTAAAAACAATTTGAAATCAACGAATGAGGAGTACAATAGATTGCTGACGAAACGAAGGAAAAAACATCAGATTTATGGAATGAGATTAGAACCAATTACAGAAACTCGTCTCCTTTCAAGAGAAAAATCTAATATTAGTGGTGTACTTTCGGAGAATTCGTTCAATGGCGTCTTATCTAGCCCCTCGCTTTCTCGATCGAAAAGTGCTCTCCTATATAGAAACATTGATCAGGTTTTATATACATAGGGCAAACAAATTATATACATTGTTCTTAATATAAAAGTACTCCTTTTGATATATTGTTATCTAAATAATTAATCTATGTATTTACTTATATCTAAAAATGTGTTAAAGTAAGATTTTTCATCCAGAAAACGCTTGTTAAATTCTTTTTTATCTTCTTTCATTAAACAGCCACTCCTCCATTTTAGAAAGGCGGTGAGAATGATTCAACTCTTACTAAAAGCCACCACATCAAGCAGGTAAAGGGGGTGGGAGATTTAGACAATTATCTACTAATACAGTATAACATAGTACGTAAATATATAAATATAATAGTTTCGTAGGAATAACCAATTATCTGCTAGTTTCTATTAAGATCACTGCTTCTATATTTCCATTTTATTTATCCAAATCAATCTCTAATAGGAAATATGATCATAATTTGAAATTTTTTTATTGTTTTAATATAATGATTTTATATTTCACAAACTATGAAAAAATAACGAAACATCACATAAATTTTACAGAAATCCTACTAAAACGAAAAGGTTCTACTTTTCTTTTTAAAAAAACAAAACAAACGAAAAACAAAAAAAAAACCAAAAAAAAAGAAAGAAGGCTTTGTCAATTTTTCTTTTAATTCTTTTAATTTTTAGTCTTTTTTTTATTTTATTCGTGTATTAAATATTTTACGTTTTCTTTGTTTTTGTATGAATATCGTGCTTAACAAATAAGCGAACAAGCAAACCTATTATAAAAGATAACTAATAACAATAGCAATTGTAACTTTAACAAAGTTTTGTTTGCAAATGAACAAAAGCAGCAAAATAATAATGTTACTGCCATTATTTGTTATTATAAAGATTTCTATCATTTTGCACAATTTGAATGTAATTTCTTAATTATTATTATCATTTTTGAGAAGATAACAAGAAAATCGCATTTAGATTTTTATTATTTATGCACGATTATTATCAGGGGTCCGTATGATTTGTCTTCCATAAATTGCACCGGCTTTTAGCCTTAACCCATTTAATCCTCACTGAATTTATCCTTGATAATGTATTTCTATCCATTCTCTATGATCGTTAATCACTTTTTCTCTTTTTTTTTGCAAATAATCTTACGTAGAAGGGATAAACAAAGAACGGAAGCTAAGCTACTCTCATTCGCTCAATATCAAGATGAAATTACTCAATCTAGACGGGGTAATTATGGACCAGGATTAATTTTCGATCCAAATGCCTATAAAGCCCAAAGGGAGGTCCAATTAAGTCAGGAAGCCAAACTGATTTTATGCATGGATCCAAAAATTCGAAATGACGATCAAAGACACATTGCCCTAGTTTCTCTAAGTCAAGCTGTCAAAGCATTTAGGTTGGTAAAGAACGATGATTGACAGTTTCTTAGATTAATGTCCTTTGTTATTCTTAGTGAATTTCCTCTGCATATGCAGCAGAAATTGGTTAAAGTTGGCTGGTACGAGAGATTTGAATCAAAGCGAGTTATTATTCGACAGGGGCATAAAGCTGATAATTTCTATTTAATCTTGTCTGGAACTGCAATTGTAACTGTACTTGACGTTGACCCAAAAACAGGCCAATCTTTCAGCAAAACCGTTGCTTTTCTAGGGAAGGGTAATAGCTTTGGCGTAAGTAGAGAAAGATCAAACATACTTTTCAAAATAAATATAGACTTTATAGCCTATTTAATTAACTTTTAAACCTAGGAATTGGCTCTCATGCACGGAGGAACAAGGAGTGCAACTGTCACCTGTAAAACTGGCGTTGAATTATTAGCTGTTGGCAGAGAAGATTTTGTTGACATATTTATGCACATTGAAAAAGATAAAGAGCCAAGCCATATAGAATTCTTAAGGATAATAAATGAATTTCGAGATTGGCCTATTGAGAAACTTCCGTGGAATGATCCCAAGATCTGCTTATTTACTTTTTTTAGACGAGGTGTTGTCATGTGTCCTGACAGTAACAAATCCGACTGGATATATGTCATCAAGTCAGGATCTTGTAAAGTATTAAAATCGTTAGAATACACTCAACCTAACCTCTCCGGTTTAAAACAAGAAGAGTATTCATCGAACCAATCAACCCCTCGGCGTAAGTCGTTTCTAGTCAATTTTTTTTGTCGTTTTGTGTACGATAAAGTTTAAAGAAAGAGAATTTAGAGCTAAACTACACGCCCATTAATTCAATGTTAATGCGTCGGTAGTGATTACAATTTAAATAGAGTTTGTGAAAAGGGTTATTTACTCTAATCAATGTTTCTTTTTTGTTATAAGTAATTGCACCACCTCGTTTAAGAGCTGGATTAACTCAACAGAAAAATCTTACAAGCTTGTCAAAAGACTCCTTAAATGCTGTTCAACAGCTAGATGCATTGTTGACATCAAGGAAAAGGGATGGTCTTGCAAACAAAGCATTACTTCCACCCATTAAAACTTATAATAAACATAAAAAGAAGTATAAAGGTATCTTAGCGTATTTTGATTTACGTTATTTAAATGAATATCAAACAAAACTAGAGATAATATTTGAAAAGGAATTTTTATTGTAGATTATACTGAGGATATAAAACATAATCAACAATTAGAAAGTTTATTGCGAGAGCGATTATCAAATTCACAGAGTATTCCAAAAATTCGTATAGAAGACGACGAAGAAAAAAGCCAAGAAGCAGTCAAAAAAACAAAAATATTTGTGCAAATTGCATCTCTGGGCCATAAAGACACATTTGTTAGTAGAATAAAAGTTTTTAAAAATAGCTGCAGTTGTTTTGTTATTAACATTTCCTTTTTTCTAATTTAATCAGGGATTAGAACATCTGGTTTTTAACGTAATGAGAAAATGTACAAGTGTAACTTTGGTATCTGATGGTGCAGAAGCTGTTTTAGTTAGTAAGAAATTTTTCCAACAGCATCTTAGCGATGATTTTTTAAAGATACTCAGGAGAACGGTTAGTTTGATATATGAATATTTCATTTTGTTTACTCGATTTATGATATAAATTTTAGATAAGGCCCTATCCCACTGAAGATTCTCTTCAAGTAAAATTACAAGATAAAACAAATTGGGATGCATATAAAACTATGGCCATTAATAATCAAATATTATATAATCACTTTGTACATGATTTATTATTTACATAGGTAATTTCTATTTTCAATCTAATAAACTATCAGATCAATTTGGAATAGATAAAGTAAACAAATATATTTTTACTTTTACTTATAGTTAAAAATTCTTAAGATTTTTGAAGGACAGCAATTTCTACTGCAAAATCTAATATTTTCAAATTCATTTACATAGTTTTCGTATAAAATCGTAGAAGCTATCTAGAAAGAAGATACTCTCAAAATCGTTTTATAACGTTTTCCCTTTCATTACTCTATACTTTTTGCTGATACCCAATATTTATATCTCCATGTCAGTTTTCGTTTGGGTTAATTCTGTGTCAATTTTCTTTCCTGTCTATTGTAGGGACTTAACTTATTTAAGCTATACACTTCTACATAGTTTAAATTAATCTATAATATAAATATACTTCAATATTTGATGGAAAACGCAATTTATAGTTTATTACATAGATTTTCTCGACATTAAAAAGTTTACGAGAAATTTTAGAAACAGATTGCCTCTAAAATGGGATAAGACGGACAAAAAGCATTTATTAATTTATATTAGAATTTATAATTTATCAATTAGGAATCCCTCGTTAACTGCTTTATTCTCCTTTTTTGTAGTTTATCAAGAAGCTATGGCTAACAACTCCTCTTGTTTTCTTTGATGCATGATAATTATATTACCAAAAGAGACGTATAGAATAAATACAAATGTATTTCTATATAAAATTAAAGCTGAGTATATTACTACTAAAATTTTCTATAGCAAAAGTATCTTTTATGTTCATTATATCCTATATATAAATAAAATATTTTCCTCATATCCACAAGATGGCCCTAGTACTCATACGCTTACAAGAAATTTAAAAAAGAACAACTGATCTTCAGTTAATGGAGCTGCGATTTTGTAAAAAAAAAAGAATGTAAGGCGTATTTTATTCATTGAAAACAAGAATCAAACTAATGATAACATCAATCTATGCTATACTTAGGAAAAGATTTGATAGTGCTTTATATAAATCAAAAAAACTGATTGGCAGCTAAAGGAAAACAAATATTTTTTTATTTATTAGACCGTTATTCTCTTTTTCACGCTTTTCAGATTTTATTACTGAAAGAGTAAGAATCTTTTGAAAATATATATTTCACTAGGATATGAAAGAAAGAATAAATAGAAAAAGAATATAGAAAGAGAACTAGAGGGACAGAGACAGAGAGAAGGTGTAGCGAGAAAGAGAGAGACAGAGGGCGGGGGAGGGGGGGCGGGGGAGAGGGAGAGAGAGAAAAAAGCATTCTATAAAAGAAGAAAAAAACCAAAGAAAATCGCTTTTTCTTCTTACGCTTAAAGAAGTGCAACAAATTTTAGTCGCTTTACAATAAAACTCATTCAATTATAGTAACTGTTAAGCCGCATAGAAGAAATAAAGTTCAATCATAATTTTGTTAGTGTTGTTAAAAATTCTTCGCTTTTTTTAAACGTGACGTTGTAGCGGATGATTATTTCAATAGAGTAAGGTTCTTAAGTTTTTCCTTCTTTAACATTTCTAATGCCCTACTCTTGAAATAAATGCACTGTTATCAAGATTCTTTTGGTGAATAGTACTTACCAGTTACCTTACTCTTGTAATTACTCATGTAATAACCTTTATAATACTTCAATATCAACAATAGCATAACAATTAGCAGTTATTCCTATCGTGTCCGTAACTTTACATAAATTAAGGTTTCAGTAATTAAAGCAAATATGATTAAGATTAATGAATAATTCATTCAAACGAAAGACTTTTTATATTTGAATGTTTCTTAAAAAATCCATACAATATACTCTTTTCATAACAGATAGTCTATTACAAGTAATCATTCTACGTTTCTATTATTTAGCTTTCTATAGCGTAAAGAGTCATCCTTAGAGTGTATGTCTTTAAAGTATAGTATTGTAAACTTTTAATAGATATTAACTACTTTATTAAGAAGATAAATCTTTGTTCTTCACTCAGTAAAATGAGTTATTATCTTCTACCCATTGCACTTTTTCGCGCCACTATATTCTTATCTCTAAACATTGTTTAGTTTTCTATAAACTCTATTTTTATCAAAATTGTAAATAGACGAAATTTTATAGTCAGTTTGTTTATATCTTATCTTTAATATATTTCCCAAGCTCAATTAGGAAACAGAACTGTTCTCTTATCCTAGAAATCTGCTTAGTGTTTTTTCCAAAATCTAGAATGAATTAATTATATTAAATAAGAGAAGTATACAATAATGACCTACTTATTTTGCTTTGTATGCAAAGTAAAAATCGCATTTCTTTCAATTTGTTTCTGTAGATCTATTGCATTTCTCTCTGTCTCTGTCTCTCTGTTTAGATTCCTATTTCTCTCTCTCTCTTTTTTTTTCTCTGTTCTGTCTTTCCTAGTCTTCTTGCTGGACAATCTCTATTTCTTTCTTACACCTTTTTGTTTCTCTCTTTTTTGTTCTGAAATTATATTAGCCGAATGATGAAAAAAATCTTACATAGCGATAGGAATAATAAAATTCTCTTCGTACGACGCAGAAAACAGTCCACTTATAGAAATAGTTACAGTGTATATTGTGAATAGGAAGATATTGATAAAACAAAACTAGCTGATATATAATCGTTATTAAGAGGCTTTAAAGTTTGCATTTTGTTGATATTAATCTTGAAGATTATTGAAGAATAATATTACATTGCATTATTATCATTTCATCTCCTTAGTTTCATACAGTAAACAATACGTTTCTGCAATATATAAAATATCTAATTTGTTCTCATTTATTACTAATAAAAAAATAATATATTAGTAATATTTAGTACATCAAAAGAAGTAATTCTGCAATGATTTTATACTGCCTACACGTTGTATTTCCTATTAGACATTTCTTATAATATATTAAATTCTTCAATATTTAGCCGTCTTAATCAAAGAGTGATTGCTTAAATGTCGATAGTTCAATAATTAATACTACCAACTGAATTAAATACTAAAAATAGACAGTTTTCCCACTCGAGGGTTTTACTTTTTAAATTAACTAGCTAATCTTCATTTCGTGACAGTTGTCTATTACTTATCATACAGTAATTACTGATTGAACCGTCATTTTCCAAGTACGAAATAAAGTCAATTTCATAGTACAAAAGATTCAAGATCACAGATAGATAATAAATAATTAGTTAAAATGTTAACTCTGTCTTTTATAAATAGTAAAAAGTCCTAAAAAGTAAGATAGAGATACTAGGGAATGAAAAACAAGCATTTTTGCCTCTAAGCATGTATATTATTTTAATGGATGACAATTAAGTGTATTTCTATGAGTATATTTTATTCTGTTTTTGATTGAAAATAGTTGTTTTCTTTTTATATAAAAAAAAAGATTCTTTCCTGTAAAACTTCAATCAGAAATATTTTTTATATCAAATAAAATAGAATAAAGTAAAAATTGACACAAAAACTCCTTTAATGTTATTTGATTTCTACATTTTTTAACCACATTTCCATTGATGTGGAAAGATGAAAAATTTTTCTAACCAAATTATTTACATTCATGGCATAGCTGTTCTTTTTTCGTTTCTTTCTCACTCGCCTTTGCTCTCTTTCTTTCCCTTTCTATCATCTTAACTACAACCAAATGTTGTTATTTTTGTATATTTATTAGTGTTTATTATAAATAATTGTATTGTATTCAAATTGATGAAGATGATTTCATATTCTCAATAATTTTTTTTCTTCATTATTTTTTAACCTAACCAACATAATTTCCTATAAATGTGAAGGTTGATTCGCTACCTTTGCTAATTTAATATGTAGTAGTCGATAGATGGCGTTACTCTAACAACAAACTTTTCTACTTAGGAATGTTGAAGATTTGAAGGATAGTAGTAAAACAAAAAAGGTTAATAAAAGTACAACCAATACAAATTCTATTAGCATAAAATAGAATGGTTTTTTAATAGAATAGAAAAGGAAATGTAGTAGAATGGCTTTAATCAATGTATAATTTAACCCAAGAAGAATAGAGTCAAACGCTGCAAAGAAGTTTAGCCAAGTGTGCCATAAAAATGCGAGTTTTGCATGTCGACGTTTAATTAGCCTTAAACGAAGCTGGCTATTTGTTTACTTTAGCTGTAACTATCGAAAAGAGGCCTATCAAGTCCAATTATTTACAGTTATATTTTCCCCCTGTTACCCGTTTTAGTTACCTATTTACGACCTACTTTGGGTTCATTTGTAAAGAATAATTTGAATAGGCAAACAAATATTTAATAACTTTCGAATCATTAGATAAATTGAAAAAAAAAACGAAATGAATTAATGTAGGACAAACCCAGATCATTTATCGTGATTTTATTATTACGGTTATTATTGTGTTATTCTTTTTATCCAGTTGTATAGCGTCTGCATATCGTATTGTGCCTGGAGCGTCACATTCCCCTCACCTATTCGATGCGAGTTCCACTCCGCAGATCTTGTTTATGTAAATCAATCGAAGCGTACTATTTCCTTCTTTATTTCGAGCACGATTATCACCAACTCATTAACGGCACTATGCAGAAATGGCGGCGGGGCGGGAAAATTATCGGTAGAGATATATAGAGTAATTGGATTCGTAATGAGTTCCGAATGATCAGATAGAGGACTGTGACAAGATGGCAGTTGACAGACACAATCCGCGCTCAGCTCTCATTTCGCCCAATTTCGTCTCCAACAAACAACGCTTTTCCTCTTTTTCTACTTATTATTTTCCTCTTATTTAACTCCCGAAATCCTTATTGGTATATATATATATGAGTGTACGGCTATATATTGTATATAATTTATATATATATATATATATATATATATATATACAGTTTATATGTGCGTGTGTGTGGGAGCCTGTGTGGGAAATACCCGAGATCGTGTATATTTCCAGTTTACACTGTAATAGCGAATTGTGAGTAGGTTTACTGGTTTGTTGGAGGGGTGGAAAACATCAAAAACCGATCCCTTTCGGCCGAGTTTTCTTTCCTTTTAACCCTATTTTCCACTCCCCTTAGAATATATAATACCGCAATATAAACTAACGCTATCTATAGGCTTTATGACATGTTTGTGTATGTAGAGATTAATAAATCAAAGCACGTGTAAGCGAGAACGCACGCTGACAAACTGGTTTCGTGCAAAGTTTTTAAAAGCAGACAGGCAGGCAGGATTAGGCATTTATTTTCTTTCCATTAAATCGTGCCGTTCTTAAATGTCGTCCGTGATGTAAGATTGCGTAATTCGTCTGATCTGCTTTTTTTAATACTTTTTTTTAAAAATACAACTCTCTTTTGTGTCATCGGTAGTGCTTTTTTTTGTTTTTATCTCTCCTCCCTCCCCACTTCCTTTTGCGCTCTTTCCTTCTCTCATCTTATTTGCTCCTTTCTATTATTTTTCCTAGTGGGCGAATGGTTAGAGAGGCGTAAGAAAAATATGCACGCCCCTCGTCACTTTACACTAGGCCTGATACTGGAATAGTGTAGATGGAAATGTAAAAGTCGAAAATTTCTCGTATAGGTGAAATATGCCTAAAAAGAGCTGATTGGACGAGCCGTTGGTTTAGAACTCAAAGGTTACGCATCGGTAAAAAACTGATAAGGTTTCCTTCAATTCGACAAACGTAAACCTTTACCTCTTTTGAAGCGCATGCACCTGCAAAGCACACGTTTTCTACCCTCGAGACAGACTTTACTTGCTTGCACACTATGATAAAAAGCATAAGAGGTGATTTATAGCCTATGACAATACCATTTAAATATATAATGCATATTTTTACTTATGCGATTAATCTTTATTAGTAATTTGTATGGCAAGTATTTCTCCTACTAGTTTAATAGTATTTACTTTATTTCTCTTAATAATCATAACAAGTTTGATGATAAATAGTAAATCACGATATGTTCCTTGAACTCTTGAAAAACTTACTTGTGTACATTACCTATAGAATTTATAGATTATTGATTTCTTATTTTCTATTGTGGACAAATAGGCCTAGAAATATTAAATTACAAGAAAATTTATTCCTTATAACCTCTCAGCAAAAGGCTGAAATATATAAACTTGAACTTCAAAGAATTTTTTAAGTGCCAATATTTGTCCAAAAAACACCACTAGGTTTAAGTTTATTTAAAACTATTTTACATGAATAATTGAATGCATTGGTTGCATTTTTTCCCTCTCCCAATCCTTACTTTATCGATTAGGCAAATTATTCAATTATCTTCTTTGTCGTGATTATCGTAAAGTAGAGGAATGGAATTATTTTCACGTACTCAAGCATATTTTATAAATTTCTTTTACTGTATATATACAATATAATATGTATAGAGATAGTGGATAGAAAGAGAGAGAGAGAGAGAGAGAGAGAGAGCTAACAGCCCAAAAAGAGATACTTGAAGCATGTCATATAAACCGCACCTGCATGCATGTATATATTAATAATTTATCAAATGTCTTCCCTGGTAACTGATGCATTTTAGTAAAGCACGCACCAAATGTACAAACGTTCAAATAAGTTTGTTTTTAATAAAATACTACATTTCAAAAATTAATGATAATTAGAATACATTTTAAGAGAAGACCAAGTGAAACTTGGACAACCCATTCCCATAAATAAACTATATACATATATATATATATACTTTATATATATGTATAAATAGCAAGAAATACTAGCACTCGTACTTTACTATATTAGTCGTTGAGAAAACGACACATAGAATTCAGTACCCTTTATTTTAGTGATTAGTCATTAATGAAATGTTATTGGAATCCTCGCTTTACTTTGTATAACTGCTTTTCAACACTCAAATCACTTTCTTGAGTATTTATTATGCCAATTTTTTATTTTTATCTAATCTATATATACTGTATTATATTATTATTGTTTGTTGTTTGTTGTCACTTTTATATAGGATATTATTTGGAAAAAGAAATAAAATTCTTTGACGCAAGAAAAATTGCGCGAAGAGAGAAATAGTGTAAATGTCTTGGTTTTTTTTCCTTTCATTATTTAGTGCATTTGACACTCTCCTCCTTATTTCAAAGTCGATCAACACCTGCCCTTATGACTTCTGCTTCCGGCGTCATTTATGTCATATTATAAATGTTTATATATTTAAAAACGACCCAGTGACTTTGCATAAAAAGTGACTGAGTGAAAGAAGAATAATAAAAAAAGATTTGTAAGAGTTATTTGGCTCTGATATATGCATTATTCACCTTCACTTTCGTCCCTTTTTCTGTTAGAATTAGACGGTATTCTTTAAATTATTTACACTTTTCATGGGTAGTAACGCCCGCTTTGAGGTTTGTAAGCGGTTGGTTGAATAATTATGTAAGACTAAACAGGAAAATGTGTGAAATTAATCCTTTAAGGAATTTTAGGCATTCGTCAATTTTAGTTTATAAAAGTTATGCTTTTTACAATTCATTTACAGTAGTTAATTTAAAAGAAATTTGCAGAATATAGCAGATTAATTAGAGTTGCCTAAAAGTTCATTCATTTGTCCCTCATAAATCAGTACTGGCCAAAAAAGAATAATGTCATACGATAATGTCATCGTCATGGTGGTGTAAATGCACTGAGTGTTGGTCGATATCATAGCTACCGGATGTTGCTGTGCTTTCACCGTCCCACTGATCGGAAGACATGGAGCCCCTCTTCCATTTACTCTGATTCTCCCCCTTGAGTGGCGCGAATCTCGTTGTCAATTTACCTTGTTGCGGTTGTCGATTAGAGAGTAGTCCGTCGTCAAATTGAAGTGGCGAATTGGAGCCATATCTATTAGAGATTTGTTCGAATTTACCGGGTGGTTTAAGAGAGCTCTTCTTTGGATTTTTTAATAAATTAGCTTTGGCGTCAGATACTGCAAAAGAAATGAAAAGATAATAGTTATTTTATTTTTATAATTAATAAATATAACTGATTACTTACGTCGAACCAAAGATGGGAATCCTTCCTCGCTTGGTCCCTTACCACTATCCGTATTTGAATTATTTGAAAGATCCGATTGGTCGCTGTGAGAGTCGTGCTCTCGGCCGTACCATAAATTATTAGGCGACGTCACGGGTGTCGACGTTTTAGGTAATATCGGACCGTTTTTACAGACGTATCGTGGGGGCTGTTTGGAAAATTGATAACATATATAAAAAAGAAAGAAGAACTTTGTAAACAATCGTAAATTATTCGACTATCTATACGCGCGACCGATGTAGAATAACAAAACAAACAAAACCCGTTAGAACACGTTTCAGTGAAGGGGCAACAAAACGAATTGTATTCGTTCTATTCCTTAATTTCCAATTTGCCTTCTTTACCCCTTTCCCAGTACATTTTTCACGCTGGTTCGCCTAAGTATAATTAAAACACTACCCAACCCTGCTTACAAGGACATGCCGTCTATTTTCCGTTAACCGATTGACCTCTAACACTGTGGGTTCTGTTATACCCTTTAATCATTTTTCACGTGCGTCCCGCCTTCAAATTTTTTTTCCCATCTTTTTTCTTTCTATAACCTTTTGGATTTTTCTTTGACACTCTGTTAATGATTTATTGTGAGCCTAAGCATATGCCTTATTTAAAGCCCTATTAGGACCGTGTCTCAAAATGCGAGTGGGTAAACAAGTTAAGCGTGTTGATTTTAACTTGACTTTGAAAAAGTTTATCCTTTGTAAAAGTCGCGTGCCCGCCCCCATTTTCCTTTCAATAGAGGTGCATTTTTAGTATATAAAATTCTATGCTTTTCGTAAATTAAGGATATTTTCTTTTATATGCTTTTAAATTAGCACCTTTTTGCTAAAACGATGAGTCGGTGCCGTAGAGGCGTCTCCATTCTTCCAAACTGTCAGGTAGACTGCTTACTGCGGGCGTCGGTTGCGAGTTATGTAATCAAATTATTTCCCCCCTAACGCTTTTTCCACCCCACTATTTCATCCATAAAAGTCTATTCTCTCTACTGGAACACACTTTCCCTCTTTTCTATTACTGTTTCTCTCTTTCTCTCTCTCGTACGCTCGCTGTGTCTCTCCCTCTTTCTGTTTTTGTCCTATGTTTTTACTCTCCTTTTCATTGAATAAAAGTGGAATGAACATTAATACAGTCGACTGTTTACATTTTTACTATCATAAAAAGCAAAGGAAGGAACTTGAATGACTGCTGACAGACGAAATACATGTTCAATTGGCTACGCTATTAGAATTCCTATAGGGGTGTTGTCGAAGGTTATTTATTAGAGGTATTCAGGAGGTTAAACGATTTACAGAGCCTAAGAGAAGAACACAGAAGTCGGTAATAGTACTTGAGAATAAAAAAGAAACTACATATAGGTAAAAAAGCATAACCTCTGCTTTATATTATAAGACCAAATGCAAAAATTCATTAGAATTGACAGGATCTTTTGAAAGAAGATTTTTTCAAGTACAAAAAACCCTTTGTCCATACTTTGAACGATAGGGACGACAGTTGCGTGATTAGTCTGGTATGGCGCCGTTTTTTTACGTCTTCCAACTCGTCACTTCATTCATTCACTCAATTTTTTTAACACAACTTAGTGTATAAAAAAGAGACGAAGATTTCAACCCTTTCACTTTTTTTTAACTATTTCAAACTTATTAGTAAGAATAACTTTTCCGCTTATGATTCTATAAAAAAAAAACGATTCGTTTCCAAATTGTAACGTTAATTCCCTACCCTTTTTCACACGGTCTTTAACTGGTGCTAAATTAAAAGAGCGCGCTAATTATCCTAATTATTTCTTTACTTAATTAACTGTGACAAAACTTTTAATCCATTTTCAACAACGCCTATTGAAGGAGGGAAAAGTATGAATAATCCGAAACGAATACAGATAGGATTTAAGCCATGGAAGCGTATTGAAATTACTATTAACATTTCTTTGATCTTAATAAAAATTTTCTATTTTCAAGAAAGGTTAAAAAAGACTAAAGGATTTATGGGTGTGAGAATAGGCCTATGAAAATAGTATGTATATTTATAAATATGCTATACAAAGATTAATTATAGCCAAAATATCTATTTCTTCCCTTGCAAGACTGCTTAAAGTGATCTCAATCGGCTTGATTACGTGTGGCTTATTTTGAATCGGATATATACGGCCAATGTTTACCCTTATTATTTATCTTTAGCCCGTTGAATAAATAGCCTACTAGTATAATTGGTGCATAACCCGATCAAAACACTAATTTCTAACATCAAACAGGTTGAATTTCGGCGATTGTAGCCGATTAATATAAACAAAGCACCATAAATTAGCATATGTTTGAATAGTTTGATCGAGCGTTATTAAACGAAGACCTTAAAAGTATTGAAACCGTCAGAACGTAAAATGAGAATGTGTCGAAAATTGGGTAAACACTCGACTTTGTTGAGATTCAGGACTCGTGAATTTTGTAGGTCAAATAGCGCATTTCGGCAAGCTGACCCCTGAACTTTAAATTTAGCGCGCTTTTTGATCTTACAGCACAAACGACCTGGCTAATTGATATGAACAGAGACGGCTTTTGTTCGTCTAATCTTCTAGGAACACAACGAATTGTTTACGTAATCTGATGCACATGCGAGTAAGTTAAAAATAGATTTTCGAACTAACCTTGACATCTCCATCCCAATTTGAGACAACACTTGAATTATCCAGTTCAAAGGTTACCTCTTTTTTAAGTGGTGGACGCTTTTGGAAATCAACAACTTGTACAGTCGTATTTGGCACCTCTTCTAAAACGTCTAATTCGCTTTTCGGCTGTGTTCGAGCCTCTTCCGTGCGACAGTTATATAATCTACCCTTTTTCTCTCGCGATTGGCGTTTCCGGATGATTAACATGGTTACGATAATTACGATGAAAACTAATGATATGCCTGCGCAAACGGCTATTATTATGATGACGTTTTCGTCTTCGAATACAGAGGAAGAACCACTTGATTGGCTAGAAGTTGTATTTAGCCGAATTACCAATATCTCTGTAGCATGCAGCGGTGGTGTTCCATTATCTCTGACAAAGATTTCCAATTTAAATTCAATGTTATTTGAGGCGTCTTTCAGTGAACGTATCAATTTGATCTTGCCACTCCGTTCGTCAATTCTAAAATAGTTTTCACTATCTCCGGAAGTAATATGGTATTGAAGTCGTCCATTTTCATCTTTATCTTTATCTTCTGCAAGAATAGTACCAAAGAAAGTTTCAATTTCTTGATTCCTTGAGACGAATAAAGTGTAGTTGTTTAGCGTTGGGAAAATAAAGTTTGGCTTGTTATCGTTAGCGTCTCGGACGTTAATGATAACATCGACTGTTGCTGAATCATAATTTCCGTATTTTGATGTTGCCGTAACGGTTAGCACATGCTTATCAAATTGTTCTCTATCTAATTCTATATTTGTTTCAATTTCACCAGTTGAACTATCGATTGTAAAATATCGATTGTAATTGAAAGAATATTCGAAAGGTTCCCCTTCTAATCTTGCCCTTTCATCATTTTCCGAGTCCATGGCCTTTACTCTACCAGCGTAGTCACCTTTCATTCTACCTTCCGTAACGTTAAACTCGTATACAGTGGGAAATACAGGATGGGGATCCGGTTCATCTGAGACGATTATTTTCAGTTTCGTTGTAGAGTTTAGTCTCGGTTCACCGTGATCTACTGCAAGAATCAATAGTTCAAACTCTCTTTTCTCTTCGTAGTTCAATCTGAAAGAGAAAGTTAAATGATCATCTTAATTAATTGGAAAGAACTTAGTTTCCCTCGCCTAGTCTATTATATTATTTAGTAGCATATTCAATGACCACAATTGATTAACTTACCGTCTACTTGCCCATATATCTGCAAATCCGTTATTAATTTGAATATAGAAATAGTTCTCATATCCAACTTCTTCTTCAATAATTTCATAGTGAATTCTACCATTCTCTCCGCTATCCTTATCATTGGCTTTTAAAACTGTTACATACGTATCAGGCCTATTATTTTCCGTTATCTTTGCAACATATATATCATTTTCAAAGGTCGGCTCTTGATCGTTAACATCGTCGATTTGCACCTGGATGTTGTAAAGGTAAGTTCTATGTAAACACTTTTAACAACTCGAACTATTATTTACTTACCTCAATCACAGTCGTAGATGATAGTCTATTCTCTTCTGCTTTGTCTCGACAAATGACAACAACTTCCTCCTTTGGTCGAATTTCCCTATCGAAGGAGACAGAATTCTTTAAGTACATTGCCTCGTTTTCTCCTACGGTCTCCAAATAAAACTGATCAGCGTTGCTCGCCACTTCACATTTGAATTTACCATTCTCTCCACTATCCTTATCAGAGATTAATAGCAGTACTATGTTTCTGTCAGTTTCCGAATTTTCTCTAATTCTTACATTTCTTCCGTTGAGAAGATTAACGTTAACTGCTGGCTCGTTATCATTAATGTCTAGAACATCGATAATAGCTTTACAATGGCCCTCGTACTTAACATTGCCTTCGTCTGTTACTATAACGTCCAAAAGTATTTGTTTGGGATGTAAACTCTCATAGTCTAATTCTTCGGAACCAATTCGAATATCGCCTGAGCTTTTATCGATCGTAAAGTATTGCTGATTGTTAGAATGAGCTGCGAACGAATAGCTTATTTTTCCGTTATTTCCCTCGTCCTTATCCGTAGCGGATATAGTAAGTACTCTAGTTCCAGTTCGGCTATTTTCAAGTATTGAGGTCTTAAATTCAGCCTGTGTACATGTTGGGCTATTGTCGTTTACATCCGTTACTTCAATTTTCACTTCCGTTTCTCCGATATTCCCCTGTGTATCTTCGGCTCTGAGTTTAAATGAGTAAGAATTCTGCTTTTCTCTGTCTAAATCTTGGACAATTTCCAAGTAGATTTCATTAACATTTTCTTGGACAAATTTATAGCTGGACGGTAAATTGACAACTGAGTATTTTTGTACCCCGAAATCAGGACTATCTTCATCTATTGCGAGATCAAGTTTAATCCTGGATTTACTGTCTTCTGGCACAGATTTGCGAATAGGATTCCTTGCAAAAGTCGGTGCATTGTCATTTTGGTCGTCAATTTGTATTTCTAATGAAACCTTAGTAAAGCGTTGAAGGGGCGTTATGTGTACGTCTAAATTAACTATACATTTGACGAGATTAGGGCAAAGCTTTTCCCTGTCTATAGCTTTTGCAGTTGACAGTATTCCACTACTATTGCCAACCTTGAATAATTCGGTAGGCTCTATGTCAAACTCGTAAGGGAAGCCCTTTTTTAAACTATATTGTAAAGTTCTATATACTTCATTTTCCTTCCATTCGTCTCCCAAATACTGCCCAATATTTGTTAAATTAGGATAGTCTTGTTCCTCCATTATTGATAGTCGTACACCGTTCGAAGGTACACGGTGCAACAGTAGTAAAAAAAGAATTAACTTGGCTGACATGTTGGAATGAAAGCTGTCTGGTTTTTAATTAAAGGTGATTTGTCTGCAAAAAGAGAAGAAAAAAGGGAAAATGTATACAGTTTTCGGATATAAATAAAAGAAAGAGTACTTAATCAATTTTTTTTTGATGAATGCAATACAAATGTATAAAATATGCAATATAGTTCAGTATGGATAGTGTTATACACGTTAATATAAAACCTTATATATTCTCTCAGTAAAGCCTAGGCATCTGACCCTATAAATCCTGTCAGACATTGAGCTGAAGGTAATGTTATGTTTTAGAAAACGATGCCTCAGGTCTGTATAGTTTACTGTCTGATAGAGTGTCAGGTTTATATTTGTGTTATTCTTGCACGGCTAACGGAACGCTGTGGAATCTCTTTCTCATTCTACCTTTCTCCTTTCACTCTCATTATTTAAACAGTAATGCAAAATTATTAGATAAACCGTAACCTTTCTCATAGTTATAGTATCGCAATGTTATGCCATTTTACGACATATATACAAGATGAAATAAGTAAATTTCCTTGTATACTATAATCTTTGAATTCTTGTGGAAAGATAATAAACCCTTTGGAAGTTTTTTGAATTCTTCCGCTATGTTGTTTATTTATTAATAGTTTGTTATTTACTTTTTTATGAAGTAGTAATTTATTTAAATAAAAATGATTAATGGTTTTTATTTTCATTTTGTAACACTATTAGGGGTGAAAGGTGTAAGCTTTCATCAAGAATTCTCTTCTATTTTTCGGTTGAGTAAAAAAGAGAAGAGGAAAAGGTGGAGGTTTCTATTCAAATTACATAGGAGAGGGAAAGAAAATTCTGTAATATCTAATAACTACTAAGACACTCCTATATAATAGTATATATAACTAGCGTAACGATGTAAATGTATAGCCTATTATTATCAGATTGAAATCGCAGTCGAACAATTGCATATTTGTCATTTTCTACTCTTCTACTCTTTTTTCAACATATTTTCGTTGAAAAAAAAATCAATAGCTCGAAGAGGAGAAGAGATTTTCCTTTCGTTAAAACTCTTCAGACACTTAGCTACCTGCAGTTACAGGTAAACAAAAGGTCAGATGTCAAAGTAATCAAAGGTAAATCTGATCGGACAAAGATTAGTTCAGCCCCCATATAATTTATAGATCTGTTTATGGCTGTCTCTTTTCTTCATATATCTATTCTTCTCTCTTTGCCCTATTCAACAGGTTGGCCATAATCAACATTCGAAGAAGTTCTTTTAATAATCGAATTATATAGAATACAAATTGGAAACGGGAATTGAATTTTGGCGATTTGTTTGCACTAATACTAGAAAGAAAAGAAAGTTTATATAAAACGCATTGCTTCTCCTAATTGCCTATCATACCCTAGTGACTAATGAATGATTGGCGTGCGCCTACTTCTTCCTTTTTTCCTATTAATCGTTCTATCTAAAATAAACCAAAACACTCCAATCTGCCAAACTCTTACGTAAGCCTAATCACAGGGCTCAAAAAAACACGTGACTGGTGTTTCGATATGATCCCATTGTTCATTGATATTCTAAATATACTCTATTTGTATCTACAAATACATATATATAAATTTATATATATATATACTGTATATATACTGTACCAGATTTTGGTGGAAGCACAATTGCCCTTTCCCACAATAATCAGGCTATATTCAGGGATATATGACAAGAGAAGAATGGAAATCTCATGTAGAATTTCACGGTTTTGCATATATATACTCTTTCTTTTCGTTTTAATATTCTATCCTGGTATATAAATACAATATACATACTTTAGATACAGAGATATATAAACAGTATATATATATATACACACTTGTATATTCAATATTAAATAAAAAATAGCTTTTTTAATAACTAATATGAATAATATATCTTTATAGTACAACTTAAACTTTGCACCCTCTTTAATACTGTAGCGTCTTGTTCGCAATCAAAGTTTGATAATCAACCGCAAATATTCAAACAGCTTCCTACGCTGCACGCTACCGCACGCTAGAATTCAATTAAATATTAGGCGGTAAAATCTTTTGAAGATTTTTCTTTCATTCACAAACGAAAAATAAACTAATGTAAAGAAAATGTACTAATAGAGATAAACAAGTAGAAAGCTATTTAAAAATAGTTCTACCTTAAAAACAACAGAGATAACTAGATAAAAATTTGTGAGGACATAAAGTAAAGAAAAGTGAGAAGAAGAGATATATTGTCAGGGATAGAAGAGGAAAGTATTCTCTCTTGTTATTCAGGTAATAAATAAGTAAATATATATGCATATGAAAGTAAATAATAAAAGGAGAGGGGGAAAAAAGACAATAGCAGTGTAAATATAAATAAACTCTACCTTTCTTTTATGTAAAATGTATCAATTCGAAAAAATACTTTGGATGAAATCTAATCCGTTAGTCACATGTTGCGCGTGAGAGTATTTGTTGCGTACTGCCACCGATCCCCTTTACGGCAGTTTCCGAAAAAAAAAGTGTGTGTACTAATAGTCACGTGGTCCAGAGAAGCGCGTAGGCGATTGGTCGATTGTTTACCCAATGCGTTTTGATCGTTTCAGCTATTACTATACAATTGTCGAAATCGTTCTTTTTCCTTTTTTATTATTATTATTTTTATATTACTTTGCTATATTTTTTTTATTTATTGCTTGACTTTTGTTTCTTCGAATTCTTATTCTGGCTATTCCCCTATCTAGGGAATGAATTGAGGGAGTTGTTGGGAGGGGGAAATAACCGGAATAGGCCTATGGAAAAGGCGTTAGAAAAAGACACGAATTGTTATGGGAGCGAAGGGTTAATTCTCATGACAGTAGTCATTTAGAGTCCGGCTTATTACATCGGTTCTATTGACATTTTTTATTCGATTTTGTTTGCTACCCACTAGAGCTTTTGAAAACGGTGCTTTTTGATGTCGAAGAAACCGTTTTTGGCTAGTTTACTTAAAGCGTAACGTTTAATTGGTGATCTACAGAGATCGAGTACGCATTTTGTACATTTTTGTTCTAAACTTCCAAATATGCAGTTTTTAATGAAGCATCTTTTTTATTTTACTTTCTACCGATACATCCGTCTATTATGCCCTCAGCCTATATTACCCAAGCCTTTTGACTTTGACGTAAAGTGCGTGCCGGGTGCTACTTCCGACTACATTGCATCCTAGTTGCTTTTGTACTTTTGGCCTAGAGTTTTCATCATAAAATTTCGTATGAAACTAACTAGACGGCGTTTTAATCGATTAATAACAATAGATTAAGAAAGTAAACAGTACAAGTTGTTCTTTTTTCTGGCTGTATTTATTTTTTTATTGTTTTTTTTATTCCCATTGTTGATTAGAGATTTGAACAGGTACGACGCCAAAAAGTTGGGACGTTTCCTTTGTCGGCATGAAATACCGCTTTGTAATTATACTCGAGGAAAATCGGCTATTGGCGCCCTTGTTAAAAATCGTTTTTAATGACCCATTGCCGATCCATCTGCTTTGTCGAGGATTCCTGCTGCGGTCGAACGTCAGATGGTTCTTAGTAATCGGTAGACAATAAAGAAAGACGAACGGCACAAGACATTATAATTCAACGTAATTCTGTTTCTTTTCACACGCTACAACAATATGAATTATTTATTAGTCACAGCTTCTAGACCACATTATATTCTGAACAAGGGTGTTGAAACTATTCAGGCCTATTTTCGGTACGAACCTATTAAACGGGTCATAACACAAAAGCTCATGACTAGATAAATAAAGAATGTGGCAATTTCAATACGGGCTTTTGTGTATTCAACGGTAATTAGTATTCATAGATCGGTTATTGTCGATCTTATTTGCTTTAAAGTTTTTTAATTAGATTTACTGTTATTCCTGTATTAAATTCAAGTACTCTTACAGGCGTTAGAAAGAAACGAATCAGACGGTGAGCTGTTTGACACATTGATTATTTAATGATTGATTAGATAATAAGCATTGACTTCATGTTTGTGATTAGTAGGGTCTAAATCTTCTTCATTAATTGACTGTAGGTAAATTTACCTTAGAACTCTATGTAGTTATTTATCGGCTGATTATACGGATATTATAATATCTAAATTGAAGTCTACTGTTCATTTATAGAGGCACTGGACAGGCATATAATTAAGAACGGTGCCTGTAGGATTTAACCTTTTAATCCTACTACTATTTAAAAGATAGGCGATAAATGGTTAGACTTTGTAGACAACAAAAACTTCAGCATTTCTCCTTAATTAGAGGGAACGTGTCATCTTTACACGCGTATGCTTATGTAAGATTACGTAAAGCGAGCATTCGCTGCAGTCAGCTGCAGTACTGCAATTGCAGTTCGAGCGATTAAGTGTTCTCGTCTCACTCGGTAAGCGAGTTCGAGTGCTTTTTCTATATAAAGGCCGGAACGAAACGAAGAATTCCTTTTTTTATTTGTTTCTTTCGTCTGTCTGTCTGTCTCTCTCTCTCTCTCTCTCTCTCTTTCTCTCTCAGTCAAGTTTTTCTGTCTCTCTAATTCCCTCTCTCTCATTCACTCACCCCTCCCCTTTCTTTTTATTCTATTTTTATTCTTCTAGTCTCTCTTTTTCCGGTTTATCATTTTCCGGATCGGAAGAACGGTTGAAAGACTATTCTGAACAGAAAATCTTCTTTATCTGTTTAATCTGGATGAAACGCTATACGGTTCTAATGTCCAACGATTTGTCGCAAGAAAGCACTGGCGGTTTTGTTCTGTTTGTATTTCGCGTACAGGATTTCATTTATCGAAGAACGAATATTTTGCCCTTTTCCTTTCAATTGTTCAATTTGGAAATTTTATAAAACCCGCAATAGCCACCGATTCTGTAATGCTACTTGAACTTTGCTACAGTTTTATAGAATCGAATCCCCCGCTGCGATCAGTACGCCATTTCGAACGCGTTCAGGATTAAAAGAGATAATCCTGCCCGCTTGAGATGACAAACCATAGGGACTGACGTTGATTTAATTGTTCGTCAAATGTTTTGAAAAGGTGCTAATGAAATAAATGTGTGTTGAAATAGTTACGTAATTTTCTTTCTTGAAAATAAAAAAAAAATCTCCTGCCAAATCTACCATTACGTGATGTAATGAAGAGATTAAATGCAACGTATTGGTTGGTGTAGAGAAAAATAAAGAATTTTCACATAGACCCTGTCTATCTTCCTCTTCTTTTCTCTTTTGTTTACTTCTCATTACCAGCAGCTGTCGACCCTTTACCGCCACCTTTCCTCTGTCGATTTGAACAGTTTCGATTGCCAACCAAGTGGCGAAAGTTTGTTATAGAAATAATTAGTCTTACATGTTCTATTCGCATAAATTAGCATTAACACAAGGAATTCCTTGAACGTGTTCCTTACAATAAAAAACATGCGCGTTCCTCGCGTTCCGTATGCCCGATATGTCAATAAAAGGTTTGTTCATACTTGCTAATTCACTAGTAGATCAGTTTATACTTAGTTCGTACTGAAATGGTACAAGTAGTAGTCCTATATACCATTCCTAAAAGTACAAAGTTTATTGGAATTATAGCGAATTAAAGTGAAAAAAAATAGTGGGGCAATAAAAAAGTTTAAAAAGAGACGGAAAAAAGGAGAGAAAGGAATAAAAAAAACAAATATAAATAAAACAGAAAAGAAAATATGGTGGAAAATTTCCCAATTTTATCATGATACAATTTTCAAGTTGCTTTCTTTGTTTATCTTATTGATAAGGCGGAAAAGAAAAGTTGAAATCCTCTCTTTATATACGAGACGTTCGTGATTTAGGATAGTTCTGATGAAACTTTTCTTATTCGCTGCGGGTGGAATTGTAAGCTAATCGAAGAGAAATTAGTACGTTGTAATAGATGATAGTATCTGACAAGTATTGTGCTATTGATTTACAAACTTTCCAAAGTGAAACTGCCTTTATTACCTCGCCGCGGGAAAGCAGGCTCACCAGCTGTTTCGAATATTGAGATGGCGCTAAAAACATTCGAATTTTAATTCGGTTTGACGCCTCTATACGAATAAAAATATAGGGACGCTTTTTTGGTGAACGCCGATCAAAGATTCTTCAAAACAGTGGAACGCACTTAGCGAAATTATGACGTAATGTGATGTCATAAAAGGCACGTGGCAGTCTTGTGATGAATTGACGATGAAGGGAACGCCGATACTTGGTCGGGAACCGTCAAAACAGCGAACAACGTTCATCTTCAGATGTTAGCGGAATGATAAAAGCGACGCGTGCCAGGTGTTGTGAAGATGGTGTTCAGGCGAGATTTCAGGCGTCCTGTCGAGATTTTAGCTGGTTTTTGTTCATGTTGTGCATGCTCCCTAATTTAACCTTCTTTTTCCAACATCTGCTGCATTGTTTCAAATTAAAAACAGAGCCGTTTAACTAACTTTCTCTCTCTTTCGAAAATCTTTTGTTAATTCCAAACATACCGCCAGATGAAGTTAGTTTTGAGAAGCTAAAGCTTGTTGACCACTCTTGCGCCATCTATCGACGCAATTTCATCAAAGATAAGAAAAAACATGCAATTATTTAGGAAAATATATGTAAAATTGATAATTAATAATCCGAGAGTTCGTCTTGTAGTATATCGTTTGTTTGCATATATATATATATACTATTATATACTCACACAGACAAACATACAAACACACACGCACAGTGTCACAGATTGATGTATCATATAATATTAAATATTTATTAATGATGGGAATAAATTTGCGATAACTATAGCGTTAGCGAACAACTGAATTATTACCAGAAAAAGGAAGAAGACGCAATTAACCTTTCCTGATTTATTCTCATCTTACTTCATATTTGAAAGATACAGAATTTTTATTCCTGGATAAATGTGAATATAATTTATCTTCGCTATTGGCAAGGATTTCAAATACTTCATTACAGCTTCTAAAATCCACTGATGCCCGAATAGTCTTCCTCTTAAAGGAAGTTAGTGAAGCTACCATGTCCGTAACACCTCTTTGAAGAAGTCTTTTTTTATCTTAAGGCCAGCTAATAATAAGCATATCCGTCAGGGTTATCAAGATTAATTTTTTTCACCTGTAGCTAAGATTTGGTATGCGATAGACAATCGTAAGTTGTATCGTGACAAAGACATACTTACATTTAAGCTTCCTTAATATATCTTTTTATTAAAGCATGCTTTGGGGCTTTTCTTATAGTTCTTTCTATTCCTGATAAGGGTAATTAGTTCGTAACTTTTCTGACAAAACCTTCAACTTTGTTTCTGGTGTTAAAACTATTCCCTCACATATTTTATTATCGTAATGCAATATTCATCTTGATTACCTAAAATTCTGGATACTACAGCATTTAGGGACTATATTTCTGTCAGATCTTCCACCTTCTGCCATAGCTGAAAATATCACCTCTTCAGTGAACTTTACTCCATTCATCATTTTCCACAAACGTATAACCTTATCAATAAATAGTTATATCATTGTAAACAAAAGACATCTTTGTACTTTAAGGTAGTTTTATTGTCTGTAATAGAAATCAATAATTCAGTTATCCTTCACCAACAAAAACAATTTATTTTATGCGGCCACAGTTTTCCCACCATTACATTATGTATAGTAACTATCTATTAAGATGACACAGAATAAATCGTATATTGATCTTATGGTATGGATATAAATCTAATAGATTCATATATATCATATATACATAGTACATAAATATAATCTTTTGTTAATGTATAACCTATAAGTACTATAAATCTTTAAAATCTCATTTAATGAATTGTAAACACCAGAAATAGGTTATCTGTACTGTATATACATGCACATTAAAAGAACTGAATCAGTTGAGAATCTTTCATTGGATAAGCTATCTTTTATTATCATTTAATCCTGATTTTTGCTGATCCATACTTTGAAGTAAATAAAAACAGAGAGAAGAAAAACAAGAGATGAAGGAGAGATAAAGTAATTTTCTGTTGCAATTTTAAATACACATTTAAAACTCTTATTGCCACCACCAATCCACTGATTAGGTTACTAAATTTACACGATCTATTTAAACTAAGTCCCTTGTTTTTTGCATAAACAAATTCTGTTGCAAACTAACATGAATTAAAATTGAAGAAGAATATATCCCTCGAAAGTGTTTGATCTGTTAAAGGAACTTACAGGTTAAACTCTCTAGATTATACATTCAAAGTTTGGTTAATTATCTAGTATTCTAGTCCTCAGTATAGTCTTTTTAAACGTAGCCTATAGAGAGAAAAGCAATTCGTGACAAAATTTTGTTATCGGATTCAGTTTATCGTATATGTAAAGAAATCGTCATAACGGAAGGAATATTCACTATTCTTTATGTAATAATTAGATAAAATAGTTGAAGGACTTCTGCTTCTCTTTCTCAAGCTACTACTTGTTTACTTTAATATTGTGTGCTGTTTGGACTTGTTAAAGTATAAATGCATTTGTTTATTAACCAATTTTTTAAAGTCTTTTTGTAATGAATATCTCTGATAATGTAATATAACAAAACGAAAAAAAATATCATGTGTTTGTTACAGAAAAGTTTTCAGATTTCAAAGGATCTGAGCGTCCTTTCACGTTTGGTATGAAAATTGAATCAGACCTGAAACATACCTGCTGGTAACGCTTATTACTTTAGAGTAAACTTGATTTATCTATTACAGAAACTTTCATATACGAGAAATATTTCTATCACTCCTGAAAATGCTTCTCGAATAAGAGAAGAGTAGACAATTTCATAGGGAAAACAATAACTAGTGCCACTCCGAACGTGATAAAACAAAGAATTTTTAAATATGGAAAAAGCGATATTTAATCTATTAACATCATTATATTTTTATATATAACTTTTCTATAGAAATGGTATTTTTTGTTAATTATTTAATGGAACAACCAGATATTCAGTATCTATTGTTCAATCACTAAAACAAATAACAACAAATAGATAACATAAAAGATTCATAAGAAATAGAAGATATTGACGCTGCTGATTTTGACCCTTTTTATATTTAAAAATTAGTTTAGTTATCCCAAAATACAGGCGATGATGGATTAAGAACACTAAAATTATTTGTTCTTACTGGATATGTAAACGTAAATGTTATATAAACTAAGGGAAGAAAAAGACGATTTACAGGATCATTATAATTAATTTCTGCAAAAAGAAACACGAACATATACGTAATTAATCTCATATTATCTTTGTATACTTATATACAGTACATATATATATATACTGTATTTATATACATTGTAAAAATAACATGTATAATTACATGTTTGACATAAATATACAGTACAATATGTATTAAAAATAGAAACGTCTGGATGGAATTTAATCCATCTTCTCAAGCTCTACTTAAATGAATTAAAAGCTATAGTCACCAATAAAATGACTAAAAATATCGATTTGTGTTTCAAATAAACACTTTCACATTGCTTAATCTGGACTCTCTTACATAGCTAAATGGGCAAAAAAACTTACAATAATCATTTTTATTACATGTATCATTTTCTTTGAAAAGAAAGAGAAGATTAATTTGATTTTCGTCCTGACTATAATATCCGTTAAAATACGAAACTCCTCTTTGAGTTCTTCTAAACTCTATTTAATTAGTAAAAAAATAGTTTGGAATCAGGATAAAACAACTTATTGCTTAAGGTTTTGTCCTAGTTACAGGAAATTAACGCTATTTGGGACACTTTGGGAATAAACTCTTGAAAAATATGTGATAAGTACTTGTAATTGTCATTGTGCTAAAAGAAATATTGTATTTTCCCTAGTTGACAAATCCATTTTGTCGTTTTAATAATTTTGTTATATTTTAAAAGATGTTTAATCCGATTTTATTGAATTGATTATTCAGGACTTTTATATAAAATAAATTTTTACATGTCTTATTAGCTAAGAATAGCAACAAAGTGTATCTTCTCTCATTGGCATCGTCTTTGATTATTTTGCAGCGATGTATAGACAAATTAGTTGTAGTACCTTTTCTACAGCATGTTTGTAGAAACCGGAAAAGTCTAAGGTCGTAAATAGACGTCAATCATAAGTTAGCATGTCAGAAAATTTCTTGTTAATCTATATTTTTCTGCTCCGCAATTCATATTCATAAATTCTTTTTGACTAGATATAGCCTGAAAGTTTACTTACGCTGATTACTATTGAATCATTCGGAACTTCAAAAAGGAAAGCTTTACCAGAAGATACTAGAGCAAAGTATCTGTGAAGATTGTTCTCTTTATATGCAACGGTACCCGTGTGCCATAAGCTTATTTTTTGGCTTTGAGATTACTACTTAATTAGCCTAAAATATTAATCTGCCTGTAGTTTTAAATAGAGAATGATACATTTGAGAGGTAAAGTTCTATATTATATGAACATAAACATTATTAAATGTTTCTTTTTATGAAAATTATTTGAAATTCATGCATCAGTATATTAAAAAATTTTGGTTTAAATCCAAGTAGCAAGTTCCTCTTTTGACTACACGTATAATTTAAAATTTTTACAATATGTCTCATTTATTTTCACGCTATCTCCTAATCAAAATAACACCAGAGGAAATATTTTCAGAATTAAGTCTGTTTCATCTCACTTTGCAGTAAAATCCTATTAATTACGCCTCATCCTATTCCCTACGTTAAAGAGAAATAGTAACTTCCTTTCTATTCAGAACGATTTCAATTTTTCTCTCTACGAAAAAAATCAATGGTCTCTTTTAAATTGTATTCTTAAATATTATTAACAATATGAAATTCCAAATCTTACTGTATTTCATTAGCGAGATAAAAAATGATAAATAAGTTAACTAGAAATGCAAATAAATTGATTGTATTTGTTCTTTAGACAGAGCTTTTCTTTACTAGTAGTAGTTCATTGGGTTTAAGAATAGCTAATTTTAGACAATATTTTTAAGATTAACGAGGAGAAAATTTGAAAAATGCCAAAATTTTGGAGACAGAGATGGTTTTTGGTCGATTTTTTTCTCTTTGGAGTAATATATCAATATATAGTTTCGTTGAGTAGGCTGATAATGGAAGAGAGAGAGAGAGACAGAAAATAGATAAAGTAGAAACAGAAAAATAACAACTAATTCTGTGGATAAAAATTTTCTATAACAATTAAATAAAATATTAATGTATTTATAAAGAAAATCAGTGAAAGAAAAAGAAAATTTGTAGTATAGATAATCCTGGTTCTATGCCTAGATGCAGGGCTACTGAACGCAAACCATGGCCTAAGCCGTTTAATCGATATTACCTTTAGTAGATACTGTTTTCTCTGACAATTCAGGCAGCCTACTAAAACACTTTTATAATTTATTTTCTGATTAACACTGCTGCCCGATCACATGACTTTGGGTAGATCTAGAACCAAATATATATAAAACATGTGAAATAAATCTATATACTGCATTTTTTTATGTAAAAATGAAATTTTTATTTGTAAAATTTTAACTGTAACAGTCTAAAAAACATTCTATTAATTTATTTATATTAAAATTAAATTGCTGTTTTTACCAAGGCGTCACTTCAATTTTGACAACAAAAGTTAGACCTTTATCAAACAAAGCCCTCAGGTGTACTGATATGGTAATTATTTTTTTCAAGGACACAATAATTTCTCTTACAGTTGGTAAACAAAATGGCGATGGCACAGGAAATGTAGATAGGTAAAAGAAATTGTAACAACTTCTTTTGTCTTACACTCAAGACATCTTATTCTCTATCGAGTCGTCCATCTTCTCTGTAGGATCTGGCCTTTCAGGAATACTGTCCAGCGTATCGTAATATAATGAATATTTTTAAATTAAGGATTGTACTTTATTTTTTAATAATTTCGTTTCTCTGATTTTGTGACTCAGCTTTTAAATTAATAAACAAGCATAGGAGCCGTCCATCGACGTGTTTGTGGATATTGTTTCGATTTTTGTGTTTGGTTGTGAGTGTTGGATATATAAAGTTTATCTGAAAGCACTCAGCTCCCTCTTTAGGTCTATAGAAATGGAATTCTTTTCCTCAATAAAATCTTGAATACGGCCATTTTCCTCTTGAACTTTTTTAGCCTTCATTGTCTCAAGATGCTCTCTTGAGATTGTCGATAAGTCGCAACGTTCTTTCAAGCGATTTAGGGAAATTTCCTTTTCCAATAGTTCGGTCAAGCTCTGTAAATTTTTACACGTTTCTGTTAGCGCTAAATCTGTACTCGATTGATGCTCTGGAATTTCGAAATTCAAATGATGAAGAGGACCGTTTGCTACTGGAATAACCTTAACTCTATTAAGCGATTTATTATCCCAACTATCCGGTGTGGTGTCAACGCTTAATTGATTTTCTATTCCTCTATTGGATATACTTGAGACTTGATTCATAGATCCTTCTTCTAACCAGTGCTTTCTTTTAGTTTGCGTACTAATGGTCATACGATTTCGTGTCTTAGTATCATTTATTTTGAGAGTTCTTCCCGTTGATTTAATTCTTGATTCTATTAATTTAAACCCCGGTCTCTGATTGACAAAGAATTCATTTCTGCTATCAGATATACTAAGTTTCCTATTCCAATCACAAGAAAGATGAGGGATAGTAATTTCTTTGGAAGAATCTATTAAGTTTCTTCTGGTACATTTTTCTAGATTCTCTTTACTAGGCTTTTTCTGGGCCTCTAAGCCAACAATTTTACTATCTATCTTTGCAGTTTTTGACTTGTTGCCAATTTGCTTATCATTGGTAAAATCTAAGTTTATGAGTTTAGGAAGTCCTGGATATATGCCAGAATATTTTTTCGCAAAATTTAATTGAGAATCTTTTAACTGGTCGTTTTTTATGTATATCTGAGTTTGGGGCGGGTTATTATAAGCTGGGGATTCATGCTGTTGAGCTGATGCTTTTCGATTAAAATTCGTTTGGTCCAGCTCTGGATTTGACGGACATAGTAAAGATGATTGATTTTCACCTTCAGCATCTTGTTCGGATGCAAAGAGCCTGTTTAAAAATGGCCCATCTCTTCGGGAAAAATTTGCTGAGTATGGCTCATATTCGTCTTTTATATAATCAAGGTCTGTTTCTTCGGCAAAGGCTCTCTTAGCATATAACTCCTTTGATCTGCTCTGTTTTATACTCTTTAATTTTTCTTCTTTCAATTGGTTGTTGAGTTGGTGATACTTTAACGGGCTTTCAGCCTCATTGATATATTTATCACAACTTAATTCCAGAGAAGAATCAGTTCGTAATGAAGAACATTTTCCAGAGGACTGACAACGAGATTGAAGAGAATAACGTATGGTCTATATTAGGAGAAAACTCTATTAGCTAGGTCTTAGGTTTTATTGTAGAAAGGTCATGCTATTCGAATAAATTAATGTCCAATACACATTATATTACTTACTTTATCCGTTAGTTGAGTAGAACGAAATAATCTATCAGAGACAGTTTGGATATCTAAAAAGAAAGATATATAAATAGCTTTTATGAATAAATCAGATTTTTATTGCTTATAACAAGCCCGATAAAATTCTCTTTAGGTTTCTAACCGATTTCGCAGCAATTTTCTTGAGGATTCCTTTCAACATTAGGATCCAAATACATGGAATATTGTCCTTGAAGAGGAGGAAGAGAGGAATTAGGTCGAGAAGACTGCTGATTAACATTTAGTGCACTCTTACTATTACTACTTTCTTCATCTGTCGTTTCAGCTATTGTTGCTAATTTTTGTTTTAAAATTTCTTCATTCGCAAATAATCGTTCCCTATTTTCAGGATTTTCGCGATAATCAGATTTATTGGGTTTAAGGTTCTTTCCTTCCTCACTGGAGCGGTTAATTATACAGAAAAATCGTTTAGCGTAGGAGAATAGAACGAAAAAGGAACAAATAAACAAGATAGCTATAAAAAGTAGGTATGCTATTAGGTCCAGCATTTTCTTATTCATTAGGCTTTTATGTGTAGCATGTAGATCGACATGAATTAGATCTCTTTTGTTGCTCTGTAGTGTTTTAATGCTATCATGTCCTCTAATAAATGAGCTGTTTATAGGGCAATTTTTCGTTTTAAAACATTGTTTATATTCTTCAATAGTTCCCATGCATACTTTACGACTATCTATATATTTAGGTAAATTACACTGCCTATGACGCTTACTAGATTCTACGTCACTATTTGAAGAACAGTTGCTCCAGGCTGTCCACTGCGACCACCCTAATTCTGGACGGCATTTCACCCTGGAGCATATTCTAACAACAGTCTGAAATCCCCTACAAGGAGGTCGATAACAGTGTCGTTTCCTTATTCTCTCACTACCATTACAAGATTGAGAGCAAACCGACCACGAACTCCATTTTGACCAGACATTCAAGTACTTTTCCGTTTTCTTTCTTGCTCCTTTGTTATTAATAATTTCCGAGGCTTGACAAAAAAAGGTATTGCACTCCCTAACTTCTGTCAGTTCTTTTCCTGAGCACTTATCAGGATTCCTACAAGACTTTCTCCTTATTTCAGTACCACCACCACAGTCGACAGAGCAACCCTCCCAAACGTTCCACTCACCCCAATCGAATTTATCCAAGAGCAATTTGTAGATTGAGTATCTCTCTTTACTACCACACCTCTCTTTATTCACGCATTGACTAGAGCATTCTACGTCTTTAACTGTGAGGCAGTTATCGAGCGTCTTTTTACTGATACAACTGCAATATCGTCCGTATGATATAGCTGCTAGAATTTTACCCGTTAAAGCACAAGATTGTAAGCAGTCGCTTAAACGAATAACATTATTATTCAATTTATTAGATAAATGTTGGAAGCTTCCGGAGCTACGCCCAACGCATACGAAGCATCCTATATATTGGGGGAAAGTTGGTGTTGCAACTGAAAGATTTGAAGTTAGTATAGTCAATATAGTAAATAGGCTTTTCATGCAGTAAAATTTTTCAAAAACTTTTATTCTGTCATAATTCAAAAAACAAATTGACAAGTAATATTCTTTCGGATTTTAAAGAAACCAAACGTGAAGTATAAATACTATGTAGATGATAAATCCAAAAGAAAAAGAGACAGAGCAATGTTGTTAAGAAGACTACTACTGAGAAATTAAAAATGCCTGATTAAAGAGATCAAATTAAAACTTCCAGTCACTGATTGACTCACAAATCTATAGAAAATTTTAAAATTCTTTCACCATAAATTCTTGACATTTATCGTTCAGTCGAGTCTTATTAAATTTCCTCAAGTTGATTAAGAAGAGAAAGGTTGCTTCCATCATTTTGCGATATAATACATGAACTAGTCTACTACTCTACTATATCATTAGTTTGAATTAACGGAGATTCGACTGGGTCGTTGGACTTTAGTACAACTCGATCCATTGCTATCGATTGCTGATTTCTTCGAGCTTGAACACTGTCCTGTGAACTTCGGGGTTGAAAAAACGTAAAAAATTCCATATACTGCGCCTTATAATTGTCGTTCATATAACCATAAATTACTGGATTTATGCAAGATGTAGACATGGCTAAGATTTTGAGTAAACTATCCAATAAATGAATATACTTTGTAGGTACCAATGATGACAGAGAGAATTCAGTAGCTAATGAATTAATATGAAATGGTAACCACGCTATTGCAAAGGTCGTCACTACTAAAAATAACATTTTGGTTGTTTTCGACCGTCTTTGAGAACCTGAGGAGTTTGCCGTTGTGCTAGCCACCATTCGATTTCCGAGTTTAATGTATATACGGTAATACAGTGCACCAATGGCAATCATAGGAAAAAAATATTGAAGACAGACGGAGGCGATTGAATAGAAATATTGAGCTTCAATATGATTCCAATTCTCTTGGCATAAGTACAACCATGTGCCGAGAATATTATGTTTACTAACTTCTGAAAATACTGCAATTGGTGATGAAAAAAAACATGATATTAGAAAGATTGAAAAGGATAGAGTGAAAGCCATTTTGATGCTCATCTTATTAACTGTGGGAGTTACTATAAGTCTATAACGGTCGGCTGCAATTGTCAACAGAAAAAGAGAACTGCTAAAGCAAACGGTTGCAAAATAGAAGGTAATAAATTTGCAAAGCAGCCTTCCAAACTTCTGATACTTGTTAATTTGATAATACAAATTTAGTGGAAGATCAACAATACAGACAAAAGCATCGCTGGTTGCCAAACCACCAATAAATACATTGGTTGCAGTATGTAGCTGAGGACTTTTAATTACTGTCACTACTACTAGGACGTTGCCCAAGAAACCGAAAATTATTACTATCGAGTATATAAGGATAACCACCCATTTCACATAGACATTTTGTATGATGTCAAATTCCTCTGCCCATGGATCTATATTGAAAATTTCTTGAGTGTTATTCATCGTTTTATCCGATTTTTAACAATTTCATGCTGCAACAATAAATATCGAATAATAAACAAAGAAAAATCTATAATTACAATAATTTAATTTCCTTGTTGAAACTATACACTACAGACATATTATTACATGTTATTGAGGTTCTAAGGGTAATTTGTCGAAAGAAATATGACATCCAATCATTTGATGTGGAAAATATTTTTAAATTCCTTTAAATTATCACCGTAGCAAAATGCAGTCAGTAAAGAGTTAGGGTTTCAGTCTGAGTAACGATAAGAAGATTATGTTGTCGACTTAGTTGCTATATACTCAACATTTTCGAAAACTCTCCGCTTTCTTTGAATAATAGAATAAGAAAGAAAAAAAAAGCATTTCTGGTAGAAAAAACTGTAATTTAAAAAAAGAAAAAAGACTGTCAAAAGAGATAAAAGGATAATTATAGTCAGCTGCTTCGAAATGCTTATAAAAGCGCCTGATATGGTATTTTGTCCTTGATAAAAATTCATGAAGCTTAAAACTTTACTTTTAATCTCTGATGTGAATGTTCCCAATACATACGTGAGTTTTAGAAGAAAGAAAGTTTTATCAATCAATTAAATGAAACCATTGAAAATTTCATTCGTAAAGGTAATTAATTGAAAGAGCAAATCTCCTCTTACAGAGATAAAACATATCGTCACTTCATTAGAGATACATTTAATCAAATTTTTGTTGAAAGTACGAATGATTCTTTGCTTATAAATGGCTTTAGAACGCATCGAAAATCGACATGGTTCCCTTGTTAAATCATTTAGATGGTCACTTTTTTTACAATACTTTAATCCAGAACCCTTAATAAATCATCGAATAGGCTAATTCAAAACACAAATATAAACTATTCAATACGACACATGCTTTTTCCATTTAGTCGTATTTTTTTAATCCTTTTACGCTTGGAAAATAACGCGAATTCTATTGAACGGAGAATAGAGAAGAACAAATCGGGAGATTTTACTTAGACAGAAGGGGATAGATAGATAACATTATTCTATGAAAATTTATAAATAACCTATTATTCTATCAATATAAGCAGTATTTGGAAAAACAAAAACAGTAGCGAAGGATAAAGATTTCGTAAATATTTATCTACAAAATATGTAGGCTAATAAAATTCCCTATTTAACTTAAATTACAACGAAGAGAACACCAGACTATTGACAATTTTTGATGACATATAAAATTACTTCACACCTACCTTTTATTCTCTAAAGCCGCAACAACTGCATAATCTCTACTGGAACTTGGAGACAACTGCAATGAGAGCATATTACCAACTGCACCAGCCAGCCAATCATTAAACTTTCTACAATGTAGGCCTAATCAGTAGCATTATTCGCTAATATAGACACTGTATAGTTTTACTTGCTTGATGATGGTTAACAAATTTTCAATTTGGGTATTTATTTAAATGTGACGCCTTGTTTTGTCATAATACTTGTTTTAAAACAAAAAGATCTATATATTTTTTATACATATTTAATGCATACCTATAGAAGTCTTTGTAAATTTAATCTTCTTTTTTGATATTGTTAATTGAGTATAAATAAAACTATAGCAATTATATTAATTTAATAAAAAATTACATTTTATATTTCATTAAAAACAGAATATTTTACAGTGCCATCTTTTATCAAAGATGATATATTTAAACGTTGAATAATACGTTGTTGTTGAATCTTCTTCCAAGAAGGAGTACGTTGTGATTGCATCTATAGTTGGAGGTCGATATACTACCGGTAACATCATCTGTATATAGGAAAGAAAAATAAAAGTATTCGACCTATAAACGTATCATCTTCATCGGAAAAGTATAAATACTTTTTCATTTTTTTTCTTACCTCCTGGTTTTTAAATCTAAAGCACAAAAAAAAAACAAAAGACTAACTGATTTAGAAAACGCTGTCAACTGTGTCAATTTCCTTTCTAATTCTATACAGCTAACTATAAACCTTTAATTAACCTTTGCAAATCAATTTCAAAAGCAAACTACTCGAAAGATCAAAATTAGAAAATAATTTTAGTATAATATTCCCTTTCACAGTGAAGATAACTTAGTACCTTTAGGCTTTTTTATTAGCTAAATTTAAATGACAATTAGGCTAGGAGCTAAAAATATTAACTAAAATAAAATATTTTTCGTCGACGCCTGCACATTCCAATCAAATATTTCTTTCCTTATTCTTTTTAGACTATTCATTGAGTAAACTATCTACGATAGACTGGTTACAGATTTTATAGGCCTCTTCAAATGAAAAAAAAGTTAAATTTAAGCGGAAAATCAAAATGATATAGAACCAGACGTAGGTCCGATCACGGCTATATCTGGATTGTGGTTGGGCGCGGCGATGCGCAAGCGCAAAAACCTACAATCTTTGCAGTATTTATAAACGAGGAGCTGGAAAATATTTGCGATGTTTCCGCAGTGGCGATAATTTTCCAAGCCCCTATACCTTTAGAATCGAGTTGTGCGCATTTTAGAGCAACTTTTGCAAACTTTCAGAAGCCTTTCAAGCAAATATGAGCTCAAGTGAGAGGACAATTGTCAAGAAAACCTATAGGTTTGTAATTTGTCATTGTAGTACAGAGAGAACGTCGTGTAAATATGAAAGTCATACTTGAGAAAAAATATACGTACAGACCACATATATATATATATACCATTTGTACAGTGTATATAAAGGAAACTAAATTTCCCTACGGAATGCTAGCTTAGAAAATAACCTTATTAAGCTCTATGATTAGTGTCTTAAAACTAATTAATGTAGTGTTTATTAAAAAAAAGGATGTTTTCGATGAAATGAATAAAAAAAACGTCTTTAGAAACTTTATAAAGAAAAGCATCTTTCTCAATTAATAAACTATTTTATTCCGTCTTTCAAGTGTGAAATTAGATTTTTAACTTATGAATACGCTTTCTTTCGAGAGTCTCTTCAGATTTAGCTATTTTCTAATCAGATTACGGATAGTGCGCTGTTCTAGGCGGAATGCCAGGAATTCTTAGCTTAGGCTTGTTGTATTTTTATAACATACAGGAAAAAAATTTCCAATTAACTTGCGTATATATATATATATATATATGTAAAGCTATATGTAAATGATTGTTTTGTTTTCAATAGGACCATCACGTCTTCCGGTGATGACTTGGACGATCATGTCACGAAGAGCGTCAACCGATATCAAGTTTATAGGGGTATGTCGCCCTCCTCCAGCAATCGCCTAGAGGTTAAACCTTTTACTCAATATTGTATACATAAATCATATTTATAAATAGATATATAATATTTATTTATATTTCCAAAAATTTCCTTCTAGTATAGATTTTATATATTTAGAAATGGTTTGCCGATCTACAGCCAAATTTATCGTTGCATTTTGACAGGTGTAGAACTAACTACGCTTAGGCCAAAGTTTGTACGGTGCAAGAATTTTTTACGAGGCCTATTTCTTGCCTGTATAAACTGCACCACACCCCATAGTACTTTTGCAGCCGACCTAAATATTCGCCCAAACAACAGCTTCGGATTACAATTAAACATTTTTTTATATACTGGAAAAAAAAACATCCTTATTTGGATGAGGCAGGCAAATCACTTAAATGTTTGTTTTTCTTGTATAGATTCGTCTTCGCGAACTTGAAGATGCTCTCGAAGCGGAGAGAGATGCTAGAATGCGGGTAACTAGATTACATATATATAACTCCTTTGCATGACTTAATTAAAATTTCTCTTTTATATTAGGCTGAGAAAATGGTCGCTGATCTGTCCTTTCAGCTTGAAAGCGTACAAGAACGAGTCGAAGAGTCCGAATCAGTGGCATCAGCGCAAGTAAGCTAGCGCCATCTCCTGCTAAATATATTTATATACAAATGACTATATTCTGATCTTATAATTTCTTTTTTCTTCTTAAAGACGGACATCAGCCGCAAAAGGGAATCGGAACTACAAAAGATAAAAAAGGACTTTGACCTTCTTTCGGCTCAACATGAGGCTAGTGAAGTTTCGCTCCGCAAACGCAACCAAGAGACATTAAACGATCTGAACGAGCAATTAGAATATGTAACCAGAACCAAAACAAAGTATGACGTTGATTAATTATTCACATAAAGGATTCTAGGTTGAGTAGTTTAAATAAAAGGAAGGATTTTCCCTTAGAACTGAAAAGGAAAAGCAGCAATTAATTCTGGAATTAGACAGCGTATCAACTCAGCTTGATGCTTCGAATAAAGCAAAGATGCACGCTGAAAGCAAACTGGATGCCCTGGAGGATCAAGTTCGACGCTTGAAGGCGCAAATTGACGATCTAAGCAGACAAAACAATGATCTAAATGGTCTAAAGGGTCGATTGACTCAAGAAAATTTCGAACTACAGAGACAGGTTCAAGACTTGGATGCCTCTACTTCAACTTTGGCCAAAGCAAAATCACAGCTACAACATACTGTTGATGATCTGAAATCTCGATTGGACGAAGAAGTACGCAGTAGAAACCAATTGACAATCCAACTGACCAACGCCCAAGTTGATTTGGACAATTTGTCAGCCAGATTTGATGAAGAGCAAGAGAGTGCATCTAATGCTAGAGCCCAAGCAGCTAGGCTGCAAAGCGAAATGCAGCAGCTTAAGTACGAAATTGCTTATCGAATTATTTTGCTGTCCATTTGTCAAATATTCTATTTTCCATTGACAGGTCGAAGTATGATAAAGATCTATCGATGAAGACTCAGGAGATAGAAGATTTGAGAAGAAAACTAATGTCTCGTATCGCTGAATTGGAAGAAATTTCAGAGCATGCTAAGGCTAGAGCTTCTAAATTTGAGAAAGATAAAAACCGCCTATCCGTAGAGGTTAGGGAACTTTCGATCGAGTTGGAAACTGCAAACGCAAACGTAAACGATTTGCTGAAGAGATTAAAGTCCGCCGAAGTTGCCAATGGCGAATTGCAGCGCAGGTGTGATGAACTTTCTCACGATCTCTCGTCGGCTAATAGTCAGAATACTACCTTACAAGCCGAAATCAATAAACTTCGTATGATGGTCAATGAACTTCAAGATAAGTATGATGGCTTAAATAGAGAAAACAAACAGCTCCACGATGCCCTTCGTGAGGCAAAGGATGGAAACAAAGAGCTATCAAGGCAGGTCAACGAATTAACTTCGATCAGAGTACAATTGGAAGGAGAAAGAGATCACTTGGCTTCTGAATTGGCTGACACGAAGGACGCTTTTAGAGATGTACAGAGTAAATTGGAATCGGCAAATAACTATTTGTCGACTTTAAAGAGTGAAATGGAACAGCGTCTAAGAGAAAAGGATGATGAATTGGAAAATGTTAAGAGGAGCGGTCAAAGGGCTTTGGATGAACTGCAGAAGACAATTTTAGAAATTGAGACCAAGTACAAGGCGGAAATAAGCCGTTTAAAGAAAAAATATGAAGGAGAATTAAGGGAAATAGAGATACAATTGGAAACTGCTACCAGATCAAACAATGAGCTGGCTAAGAATAACAAGGTCCTAAGTGGGCGGGTCAAGGAATTAGAAATCGCCTTTGACGAAGAAAGACGAGCAGGAGATGACGCACGTCAAGCAGTTGCAGCTCTGGAGAGAAAGAGAATTGCCTTGACTACGGAATTGGAAGACGTCCGTGCTCTTTTGGAATCTGCTGAAAGGGCAAGAAAGAACGCAGAAAACGAATTGGGTGACGCTAGTTCTAGAATTAACGAACTGACAATCTCAATTACGAATCTGACATCGGATAAACGTCGAATGGAGGCAGATATTTCAGCTATGCATTCAGATTTGGATGACGCTATTAATGCAAAGAGAGCTGCCGAGGAGAGAGCTGATCGCCTTCAAGCAGAAGTTAATCGACTTGCTGATGAACTTAGGCAGGAAAGCGAAAACTATAAGAATGCTGAATCATTGAGAAAATCGCTGGAAGTTGAAATCCGCGAAATTACCGTCCGTTTAGAGGAAGCGGAAAGTCATGCTCAAAGAGAAGGAAAGAGGATGGTAGCCAAACTACAAACTCGATTGCGTGAATTGGAAGCTGAATTCGAGATGGAACAACGACGTGCACGAGATTTTGCTGCCACAAACAGAAAGTTAGAAAGGCATTTGAATGAGCTAAGAATGCAGTCAGAAGAAGATAGGCGAGCTTGCTCTGAGCTGTCAGATCAAAACAATACGCTTCTTGTACGCGTCAAGACTCTTAAGAGGCAATTAGAAGAAGCGGAAGAAGTCGTAACTATCACGATGAACAAGTATAGAAAGGTACAAATGATGGTTGAAGAGGCAGAACACAGAGCTGATATGGCCGAAAAGAATATGACACTTTTGAAAGGAAGAAATAGGTCCATGTCTGTCACCCGCGAAATCACCCGAGTTGTTCGTGTTTGAGAAGGAGGAAAAAAAGAAATTAAGAAAGATAGAAAAAGGTGAATTTGACCTTGAAAATTTCTATAATAAGTCAATCTTATGAAAAATGCACAATATGTATATTCATATTTAACGTATCTTTTTTTCTTCAAACAGTTTCGATTTTTCTCTCTTCTCGACGCCGCATAAAAAGGAATCGTTATCCCGTATTCAAGCTTATTTTCGCACGACACCTTGACCTTGGCCTGATTGCGGTAGCGATTTTTTTTTCCTTTGCAAAGCGAACAGCAAAAGTTGCTCTTACTCTCGTTTCGGTTGTGTCACTTTTATCGTGATGTGCCTTTTTCCTCCGCATTATAATCGAATTCTTTTCGGTCTGTAGGATAGAAGATAGGTAGTTATTAGCCACGTTTATGATTGATTGGATTAACGCTTGCTGCTCGCTCACCCGTCGGGCGATTTCGTTTTCTCATTTGTCGTTTTTTTTCTCTATTTTTCTTTTGGCGTTCGCTTGATATGAAGTGATAGGCTTCTAAAAATTAATAAATAATTTAAGATGTGACTTTTAAAAAATAAATAAATAAATAAATTAAAAGCGAATATATTTACATAAGATGCATCAATTAGCAGGTGAGAGCACTACAATTCGATTATTGGATAAGTTGGCCATATTCGTACAAAAAAAATCATACTCCCTTACGGCTACTTGAAGTGAATAATGTAAGAGGCCAACGTCTACAGGAAATATACTTTCCGTTTATTATGGTCCTCTACACCATTCATCGGCCATCTAATTAAAGCCATTCCAGACAGCGCTGACAATGTCAGATAAGCCCGTATATACAGGCCGACTGTAAACAAGCTGTATAAAAAAAATCGATTGGCTACGACCTTTTTAAAAAATGCGTAAGAAACAATCCTCTTTAATCCATTTTAAGCCTATAATTAGAATATAATTGTTCTAAAATGCAATATATAGCCTAATCAAATATAAAGCTGGACGGGTGTCGATAAGTATTCGATTTACGTGTCCAGGGTAAGTTCCATTCTTTCTTTCAATTTCATATAGTGATTACAACTGACCATCGATTCAATAAAAGAACATTCTCGTTTAAATTGCGATCGTCCACAGGGACGTTGACGAGTCACGAATGCCTATAATTAATGCGTTTTCACTAATTATATGGAGAATACAAAGCAAGAATTGCGACTTGGAGCTGCATTACAGTGGTAGGTAACGCTTACAATAAATTGCACTGAGTGGGAGGGAAAAGAAAAAAAAACACACGATTAGAAAGAGGTATTGACAGGAAGAAAGTGAAAGAGAGAGGGAGAGATTGAGAGATCCTCAGGAAAGAAATTACGATAGGGAGGGAAAGATTCATAAATATAGAAGAAAATCTATGCATATAAGGATTAAAAGAGAGTGAAAAAAGCTATGAGAGAAAGAGAGAGATAGATATAGAGAAACTAGATAGAATGAAGGACTAAGAGACAGACACTGAAAGAGAAGAGAGAGAGAGAGAGAGAGTGTGTGTGTCAGTAAGAGACGAGAGGCTTTTCTCCCTTCTTTTCTTCTATTTTCTATTCAAATTATACATTGCATAGTCGACTTTTCTATGTTTATTGATTTGCATAAAGCGTAATAATATTGCTATTTCGACAAATCAATTCGTCTTCTCAGACCTCCAGAAAGTCGTATGATTTAATTTACAAAATCAATCTAATAATAGGGAAAGCTGCGCTTTCCCTCCTTTATAGTATAGTGTTCCTGTTACATACACTTACTAAATAAACTAACCACGTATTGCCTAATACAAACTCTATTGCAGTTAATGTATTAATTGGTAAAGCTAAGCCATTATATTAGAGTTGCAAGATTATACTTAACTCTTAGGCGTATACGTTTGTAACGAAGATATAGTAGTAGTTAATTCCATTATTAGCGACACGTTATTAAAAATAAAATTCCTATGGAAATCAATAATATGTAGAAACAAATGAAATTCGATCGACGCTTTTATATAGGCGTCGTATGAAACGTTTTTACCCTTTCCCTGAATAAAATGGGAGATAGAATAGAATAGTAAAGCTAATCTAGCGGTTCCGCATCAACGGTTGCATTTGAAACGCATTTTTACGGTTAATAAAATCCGTTCAATGAGAGTATATCTCGATTTAGGCGTCACCTAGCCCCATTATTTGCAGGAGTCTCGCATTACCCTATACATGAAAAAGCGTTAAAGATAATACATAAAAAATACTCGACGGTCCCTTGGTGACGTACGTGACTAAGCTTCGTTTTACCTGCCAGGTATCGAACAGTAGAGCAGACTGCAGAAATTTAATTCGTATATTTACTAAATTACATATGATACTTTATGGAAAGTTTCAAATGAATAGTAAAGCATCTTTTTTTGCGGTTGTCGTATAAATAAAAGGCCGGCGCTCTTGTAGTGCTTTTCTAATTTATCACGTCCGCTCTAAGCAGGGTTGTTTATAATCTAAATAGGCCTACGCTAATGGTATCGGTTAAGAAGTTTTAGAAGCGTGGTTTGAAGATTTCAGTCCAACATTTGTCTCATATTGTAAAAATAGTCTAAACATTGGATGGACGGATAAGACATCTTTTAAGAATTTTCTCATGAGTTTATGTATTATTTATGATCTTGTATAGTGAAACATCGTGTTAATATTACAATTATTAGATCAAGTGCATATAAATGAAGAGATAAGAGTTGTGGGAATAAAAAGGAAAATTGAGGGTTTAGAGCAACGGTGAAGAAAATGAAATATAAACAGATAAAATTAAGTAGCGGTTTTAGAGTATATATGGATAAATAAATAAATACACAAATAACTATATAAATAAATAAATAAGTATATATATATATATATATATATATATGGATATATATACTGTATATATACAGTATATATAACTTTATAGGTTTTTTTCATCATTTCTAGCAATGACAGAGAGAAAAATTTAGATTTTTTTTCTCTTTACTTTACCTAAAGACTAAGAAAATGTTTATATGTACATAAGAAATAAAAAGCTTTTTCAACCACCGATGTCGGACTCTCAAACAAATTCGATTATTCGTTTGCATAATGTAGGGTTATATGCCTGAACAGTCGTTTTTTCTGGAAACACGTTCGGTGAGTTGTTGGAGCGCGGCACGGAGCTGGGTTTGTTGTCTAATTTCTGCAGAAAACGAACTCGTTGTAATGGTTCCATTTGCATTCCTCTGAGTCGTTGCCTGGTTTTACTTCTCCAGCACTATTTGTACCAGAGCCACAAGAACCAACCATCTTAAAGCCACCCTCTTGCAGCATATCAAATGCTTGTTCTAAATAGGAATGTTTGAGAAAGAACCTCGAACTGTAGCGATCGTCTCCACCTCTATCGGGATCTCTCGATTCGTTAAGCGTATCGCCAAATATTTCACGGCACGCTGATACTCTACCGCAAATGAGAATTCTTGATAACTTTCGAAATTTGACATCAGCTAATCCATCTCGGCCAAATGCAAATGTTCCACGATAACTGACCGTTATGTAGCCATTCGACTGTAATTGAGTGGAACCCCTAGAATTCTGTACGTATCTAACCATCGCAGGTATTTTAAAAAATTCCGCCTCATTCTTCAATCTCTCTCGTTCTTGGAAATTTTCAGGTAAAACTAATTTTCCGTTGCGAAGGAAGTCGAGTATATAGCGGAATAGGACACCATCTCGGTCCAAGAAATATTTTCCTTTGTTATCTTTAAGTATAATTGTCGAACCTTTATATTTTCCAGTAAATATTTGACCTAATAATGATTCTCCATCTTTTGTTAAGGTGCTCAAGGCGGTTGTATAAAATACACCACCAACGTTAAGTTCCACAATAGGGGGAAAAGGTTCGCCGACGTTCTCTGACGCCATAACCAGATGTGAAAGATAAAAGTACGCTCACAGCGACACCTACTGGTCACAGAGTTTCGACGCGAATCGATCGGTACAACGCCACTATTTTCTATAATAAACTACTACTGACGTCATTCCAAAGACTGTTTTATTATCTTGTTCTCAAGTAGATTATATTATGCAATTATATTGATCGTAAAACGAACAGCGAGAGAAACGAGAAAGGAGAGAAGGAAACAGAGAAAAGGTGAAAAGACATTACTATCAGAAACAGAGTCAAATTGAAAGAGAGGGAGTTAGATAGAGCGTGAGAGATAGGGAAAGAGATTTAGAGTTAGATATATATATATATACATATAGAATACATGTACTGTATGTATGCATATAGTATATACATATCTAATGTTATACCGTATATAGAATACATATTTATACTGAATATGCACTTCATATAGAGAAAAAGATTATGTGTATGTATGTGTTTCAGCAAAAGAGAAAAAAAGACAAATAAATATATATACTATATATATATATATATATATATATATAATAAAACTTAAATGTACGTCACAATTTCGTCAAAGAGAACAGACGCCCACGTACGCACTGTACGAATCTTAAAAATTAAACTTTCACAAATTAGAGAGACGTCTATTCTCCTATTATAAGCTACATTTTGGCAGAAACAAACAACTCGAAGGCTTGGGGAACGTTCTTCGATAAAACTAGAAAAATGAGGTCTTATGCAAACCCGTTTGCATCCGAACTTTCGTTTAATTTTTACCAAACAGCAAAAAGTTAGATACAGCATTACCAGACTGATCATTTTGCACAAAACTATTTTATATTTCCTTTTTCTTTCTAATATCTTTTAGTGTATTAACAATATATGTATAACTATACATAAATACATACATAACCGATGCACACCAAAGAGCATACACAGTATGCAGTAGAAATAAACTGCATAAACAATGTATAATGTCATTGTGTACTGTCATGTTGTATTCATATAATCATACATGTAGCTTTTTTAATCTTTTACCTTTTTCTTGCAATTGAATCAGCCTATGCACCATGTACACGATACATAAATATATATATGTATATATACATAAACATATACATATACATATATATATTTATACGAATTTTTTATTGCAAACTGGAAGAGAATTATGTGCTATAACTATGTACAATTAAGTAATCAACATTGTGACTGTAGACTTGCGGATTACAGAGGAACATTGTGCTTAACGATTATTGCATGATATGCAAGTCTGTTTACAGTTGTTTTTTTCTGTCTATGTCATGTACATATATACAGTAAAAAAATGGCATTAAGGACATTGCACATAAACAGAGTTAATGTTGACTATTATCTTATTTCTGTTTATATACATGTACACTTACATACGCTTATGTATAACATAAAACATCCTTTTACTCATATATGTATAATATATATATATACTAAGTTCAAATACTTTTAAATTGAGAGAGAATTAGAGAGAACTGTACAAATCTGCAGACATAGTTCTTCATTTATCCTTATTTTTTCAACGCCTGTACAAAAACGTACAAGAAAACCTACAATCGTATAAAGGCTAAGGATAGATTGGTAAGAAATCAAACTTTTATAGGCCCTGTCACTACATATATATATATATATATATATATATATATTAAATTCTATAAATATATATATATACATACATAGTAGATGTATAAATGTTATTCTTACCCTATTCTTAGTTTTAAAAGACGAATAAAAAGAGAAAGAAAGTTAAAATGACAAATATCTTAAACTAATATCGGTATTCACAAGGTTTTTATCAATCAGCCGAAATAGACAATTAATACACTCCCCTATTGACAAAAAACCATTAACGAGGAACAATGAAGAAGGGAATGGTATTTAGCAAACAATGATGCTTATTTGTTTTGGCATGTAAGATTTTGCAAATAAAACACGAAACAAGAGCAACTTAAACAGTTTGTATTTTGTTAAAAACTGGAAGGCAACAGCCAATCAGTGCAAAGACCAGAATAATCGGCAACCAGCAGCTAACAAGTAATGATTTTTGTTTGATCAGTTAGATGTATTCCAGCAGGTGGCCATAGCTTTTCAATAATGAGGACGCCATCTATACTATGGTAACTTTTCTACTTGTTGTACATCATTTTAATAAATTCTGCACGGGGATAAGACAGGGAAAGGTAATGTAAAAAGGAATAGATGAATGATATAGTTTAGAAAAAAAGGTTTAAGCAAGGAAGACCTTTTTTTTTCTTAATATTTAGATACCTTCGTAATTAATTTTTCCATCTCCGTCCTTATCTGCTGATTTAATCATTGCTTTAATGTCTTTTTCATTTAATTTTTCACCAAGATTGTTCATTGTGAGGCGTAATTCTTGGGCATCAATAACTCCATTACCATCAATATCGAATACTTTGAACGCCTGACGCATTTCAGCTTCCATTCGCCTTTTTTTAGCTTCTTCATTGTTGCCACTGCCAATCGTTGTGCGTGACATCATCCTCAGAAACTCGTTAAAGTCGATTGTTCCGTTACCTGTTATTGAACCCATGTTAAAAAGGGCATAGCATTTAATCATAGTGTTTTCATAGGATATAGGAAGAGCACAGTGTCACAGAAACATGCAAATGTAACTTATTAATGTAAATAGTAAGCTAAAGCAGTAACGAGAGGAAGCAGAGAAACAACAACTTAATGCACTTTGCCAATGATTTTACTAATCCTTCCAGTTTTTTCTTGGAGTATATATCTTCTATAACGAGCTGTAAAATGTTGAATTAGCTTACAAAAAACCGTAGATGGCGCTTTAATCAAGCATCTTCTTTTAGGCTAAATACGGAATCATAATACTATACCTGGGACTTTAATCTATCTACTTTCTACTTGATCACAACACCGTAAATCTGTACCCCAAAAAAAAAATCAATTCAACCATAATGCGATCAAAAGAGTGTGCATTACACGAAGAAAAAACGTTGAAAAAAATCGGGTCATCACAAAAATGGTGCATAAACACAAATCACTGCCCTCGGGCGTCAACTGACCGTCTATATCGACGTTTTTCACCATGGAATGAAGCTCTTTCGAACTAAACGGAAGACCTAATGTCCGCATAACGTTACCCAATTCTGAGGCCGCAATAACACCGTTTTTATCTTGGTCGAACATGTCGAACGCCTGTTTTATATCTGTACATATTGGAAAAAAAGCGTTCTGAAAATATCCAGACCGGTAACAATCAATATAGAGAAATGGCTACTCGGGACGCCAACAAAGCGTCAAATTATGGTAGGTTTTTGGCTGTGATTTTTTTCTATTCCATTTTAAGAGAACATCGTGTTGGAAGAAAAGCTTTTTAACGAAAGCGTATAGATTATCGATAGAGCCTTTCTTTCGTCCTTTTTTTCTCTCTCGCTCAGAGATAAATTAAGGGCGATTCTGCCCAAGAAAAATTGAAAAACCTTCGAATAACAAGGATTTCTTCATTTCTCTTTGCCTTTAAACTCTTGATTACATGAAACCCTGCAGAATGTAGCCAGAGAAAGTGAATTTAGCTAACGTACCTTCGATTGTATAGCCTTCGGGAATGGATGGTTGGTTAGGAGCCTTCGCCATTGCTGGTCTCGCACTATTTGACGTCGTTAGTGGCGCAATTCGAGCGTCTGTGATGACGTCACTTTGGTTGGGGCTAGTAGCAGTTTGTGGGGGCTGCGTAAGGAAAAAAATATGAAAAAAGGGAGAAAATTTGCTGAAAGAAGTGATGTAAAAATTATTAAATAAAAAATTCTGCCTAAATCAATTAAAATATTGATGAAATCTTGGATTTCAAGATAAATGCTACAAGAATATATATATAGAGTATGATATATTCAGTAAATCTATATGAAATATGTATTAAAAATATCGATGTTTATATATATATATATTTACATATATATATATATAAATACATAATTTATATATACTATATACACTATATACAATTCATAGCGTAAACTGATAGTATAATTTTATATAATCGAGTTAATTCTATACTATTCAAAAGTTTTACTGTATTTATATAATTAATAATATTTATAAAAAGTTGTTATTTTTAACAACCACTAATTATATTGCTCTTGTTTTTATTGTATCCAATTTATAGGCTAAATGTTTTTCCCGTCTTTTTTTATTCATTTAGAACAACTTTTTATCATATTAGTATATATATATATATATTTATATGCCATATTTTGATAGCATTCATTTCCAGATTGTAAATCTATAGATATATGCATATATAAGTTTATATATATGCGGATGTTAACGGTAATTGGTTAAGTCCTCCATCACACAATAATCCCTTTACAATAGGTGTTACTATTTTTAAGCAACAAGAGAGGCTAAAATATAATAAGGATTAATATCTATTAAGTTTTAACTTTAACTATAATAAAACAGTTTTACAATCATCTGCACTAAGATTAAGTAACGGCTTAAAATGTTTTCTCTTTAAGAGGGATAAATTTCGATTTGGTTTGGGGTCAGAGTGAAAATTCCCAAGATATTAATTAATAGCTTTATCTAGTACAAAACACTTGATATTAGCATTCGTTATCAACGAAAATTTATACGTTGTTTTTATTAATTACTAATTTTAAACTATCGCTTTCACCTAATACCAGTAACATATACTCGCTCTACTGTATCCTATTGACCAAAATACTTTATATTGCTTTTACGATATATTAGATTCTATATAATAATAATAATAATAACTATCTAGAAAGTATAATATGTACGGAATAGGATAAAAATATAAATATGTGTGTAAATAGATTAAAAAAGGAATATGTAATAAATATAATATATATGTATATATGCTAAACATGCTTAGGGGTCGATACTGCATCTGTCAAAGTAATCAATGCGCCAAGCACGTATAAAGGAACGGTGTAAGAGTGCAATGAAGACTAGGTAGTATTTGTGATAAGCTATAAAAATCATTCAACAACGAAATTCGAAATAAAAAATATGTAGCATGCTTAATTGAATTTGAGCCGCGCCTGTTAATTTTCTAAACTCAATTACATAAAAATGGCTGCGGCGATTGCGTTTCGAAACAAATTATTCGGCCATTGATTCGGTAGAGGGAGTTCAGTTAGTGGCGAAAATTCCCTCGTGAGTGTCAATTCGCTAAACTTATTAAGTTTATTTACTAGGTCGTCGGGACCGAACGTTGTGACCGAAGAGGAAAAAAACGTGCGCTTTTATGCATTCGCTCTAACGTAATTTTCGTCTCCGAGAGCACATTTGCGAAGGCCTTCTTTAAATAGAACTATAAACCAAGGTTCCTTTTGAAGGCTTTTCGCCATATATACAACAAAATCTACTACGGAAACAATACAAAGAGAGGAAATATATTTTGACCTACCAAATAAGGTTCTTCTTCCAGACAGGACTGGCATTATTTAATTTAAAATTTTTGATCAATTCATGGTAGAAATAGGAGAATGTGAAGAAAAGTAAACAAAGTACAACATATATAGACTATTTTACCATCACCCCTTTTGCTAGTGTTTTGCTTCTCTCTCTCTCTTTCGCTCTTTCTCTCTCTTTCGCTCTCTCTCTCTCTTTCACTCTATTCACTCTCATTGCCCTCTTTCCCTCTTTCATAGACACACACACGTTTCTCGCTCTCTCATAACCTACTTCTCACTATCAAGATAAATAATTGTACTACGGGTTTACTATATACGTTAGCGTGACAAAATCAGAATTTGAGCCGTTTTCTCCGTATCGAGCGTGCAGGAATAGCAACGCTTTACGACTTCGTTTCATCTCATTAGTGCCTAGTCCCTTTCATCTTTCAACCGGCTTCCAATTATTTCTCATCCAAAATTAAACATTAATAAATTCTTACCAATATAAATTAAAAGAGAGTGAGCAGTTGTAAGGAGTTGTGGACGAAGGAGATTTCAAAAAAGGCATATGAGAAGGGGAATAAGGGATAAAGCATTTTCTTTACGCTTTTTCGCCCGCACCCGAAGAGAATCGATTTAAAGTTTATCGTGAATAAAAATCGATCGTCTCCTACCCTCGATAGACAGCTAAGGACGCTGTAGCCTCTCCCCTCTATTCCTCCTTTCCACCCCCCGGGCAGGGTTATATAAAATATAAACAGGAGGAAACCAAAAGAAAACAATAAGATTGGTCTTTTTTTAAAAGTAGGATCTCCGAACCGAACACTGTCCATTCAGGCGTACAGTTCGTTTCGCTGAATAATTTCGACTTGCTTCCTTTCTTTCTTATTAATATTTCTCGCTCTTTTTATAATTCATTTTTTTTTTAATAAAAATTTTAGGTAAAAACAACGAACTACGAACACAAATGAACATGCTCAGCCATTCGCACGCGCACGAATTTGAGGTATTTATGTATTATCTTACTTAATACATATATGCCTCGTACACGCCTAAATATACTGTTTATATTTAATGTAATTAGCTTTTCGAGAAATAGATATGCTTACCGGAAGTGGTTCTAAGGTGATTGGTTTAAACTTCCCTTGAAACATTTGCGTAAATTCTGTTAGAAAGGAAAAGAAAAGAAAAATTATACTGTAGGGAAACGTATAAACGATTATTTATAAAGCTACGTTACGCCTATGAAAGCATTACTGACAAGTCTTTCCTGTCCTACAGCAATACTTTTGACTATGATAAGCGAAATTTATAGTATGTAACATGGTTAAGCTTTCATGTTGTTTAATATAAGTGCACTTCAAGCCAACTGCATATGCAATAATTGCTGTGCCAGTAACAATTCAAGTCAATAAGTAACTACAATTTAGCGTATTGTCGCGATTGTCATAACGTCAGTTTCTATTTTTCTACGTCGCACTGGTGAAGCCGGTTGTAGTACAAACATTCAACGTCTGCCAGTGCAAACAAGAGGAAAAATGCCAATAGAAGAGCAGTTATATATATGCTAGTTCGTCAATCGATGAAACATACGAAACGGCCCAGCGTAAGGTTGTCTTAAACCGCAACTCCGACGCCGCCACCAACAACAAATGCATAATATATTTTCAGTACCTTTATAATTAATTTTTCCATCGCCATCCTGATCGGCTTCCTTTATCATTAATTCAACATCATTAAGTGTTAATTCTATGCCTAGTTCCTTCATAGTTTGCCTAATTTCTTCAGCAGTTATATAACCCGATCTGTCTTTATCGAAAACCTGTCAAAAAACGTATTAGCAATTAATAGATATTTAAAATATACGGTAAGTGTACTATTACACATTATGAAATAAACGCTGTCACGCTCTGGACAGACGCTGATAAGCTATAATATTATTAGAATCATAAATCATAATAGAAGCGTTAGTATACAAACATCCGAGCATTGGTTTAATTGGTAGAGAGGGAAGAGAGGACAACACACGTAAATAAAAGAAACAATTTATAATAACCTTGAAAGCCCTCCAAGCCTCTGGTTCAGTTGGCCTTGTATCAGCAGATGAACTCGATTTCCGACGGTCTCTTTGAGACATCATATTGATAAACTCATCGAATTCAAGCATTCCATTTTCTAAATAGAGAGGATTAAAGTTATTTTCATTAATCAACTTAAAAAACTTGTTGCTATTTATATTCCCCTTCCATCCCCCGCAGTATAAAACACATACTGTCAAGGTCAAATTTTTTAATCATTCTATCGATTAGCTTCTCATCCTGAGATAATCCCAGAGTTCGCATCACAGAACGTAATTCTACACCAGAGATGGCGCCATCCCCGTTTTTGTCGAACAACGCAAACGCCACCTTTAGCTCTGTAAGGAAATTATTAATATATAAGAAAACCTACTAAAGTTTAAATGAGAAGTTTAATTGAAAAAATTAGTTTATAGCCGATAATACCTTGCATTTGACTATCACTTAAACTCCCTGACTCAGGAATAGGCTTAATTACCTATGGATAAAATGTGATGCGAAAGTATAATTAATCGGATTTTGAGAATGTGTGGCTGAAACACACCTGACCAAATACTATGCGAACAAATTCTTCGTAATAAATTCGACCCCCTTTTTTGACGCCCGCCGAAGCCATCATGGCGACAAGGTCATTCTCTGATAACTTCATTCCTAGCTCTTGCATTGTTACCCTTAGCTCCTTATCATCTATATAGCCATTTTTGTCTTTATCGAATACTTTAAAGGCTGCTCGCATTTCTTCTTCTTCCGCCCTGTGGCAATAAATAACCTATAATGAAGAGTTTATAAAATGAACGAAGTAAATAGAGCAAGAAACCGTTCGACGTAATTGCATACATGCATAGAAACATGTTAGTACGAAAGAAAAAAAAAACTCATTTTCTACGTTCACTTAAAAGAAACAAACTAAACCAAACGTCCAAATAGACATGAAAAAAAGATATAGTAACAAAATGATGCACAAAAATATTTTTCTGTTTGTATCACAAGTACTGTGAGCCTTTTAGTGCATTTAGTTATTTTTTTGTCTTTTTTAGATATATTTTTTTTAATGGATGTCACATACTACCTCAGCTGTCGACGGCGTCGTATTGAAGATCTGACAAAATGTTGTAAAAAAAAAAAAAAAAGAAAAAAAGAAAGAAATGGGTAACAAAAATTAATTAAACAGAGGATATTAAAAGAAATTGGAAAATAATAGAATCCTTTAAAATCTTATTTTCTTTCTTTTATTATCTTCTTTTTTACATATTATAGTTAATAGTTTTAGTTCTTTTATAATTATTACTATTACAATATTTTTTATTTTCTTTTTTTTTTACTTATGAATAAAAGAAGAGTAAAAGTTTTTGGATTAAGCAATAGAAATAGATTATATATATATATGTTTATGTATACGGGAAAATAGGCAAATAAATAATACTGAATCCGTTTTTTTTCTTCCCCCATTAAAAATTAAATAACAAACCTTCTTTCCTGACGAGTTATTGCTGCTAATCCTTTTCTTTTCCTCATCATTCTCTTAAATTCTTCGAAATCAATGGAACCATTTCCATCTAAATCTACTTTTTTCATCATTCGTTGTATCTTTAATGAAGAGAAAATAATAATCTAATGCACTCTTTGTTTCTACTTATATATACTTGTTCTGTAGATGTATCCATGCCTAACTGCTTGAAAACTTGTAACAACTCTTGCGTATTAATTACTCCATCTGCATCTTTGTCAAACATCATAAAAGCTATCCGCAACTCTATTTAAATTGACGAAAAGCAGGTTAACGCTGTATAGTACACATATAATAAAGTTAATTTTCTCACCTCTTACTTCCGGATCTTCATCTTGAGGCTCATCAATACTGTCTCTTGAAGTAGGATCTATATTTTCTAACGCCTTCCTTTGCATCTGAAAAGTCCAATACATTTTAGTCTGTAAAACTCACCTAGCTTTACCTAGATTGTTTAGACATACGTTTGAAAGGTTAAATTAAAATTAGAAGCCAGCTCTAGTCTGCTAGTGTTACTTTTTTATTCTTAAACAGCTATTTTATTAAGCGTAACGAAGAAAACAATTAGCCGCACTTCATTTGTTTGTAAGGACTTACTTTCCTGTGTTCTCTTCCGATTTTGCCACTCATCATCTTAACAAAATCTGTAGAGAAATAAGGTTAAATTTTAGTAAAGAGTCTATGATTTCCTGCTTCGTTATTTTTTAACATCTGGTAAAAGAATTACCGTTCCATCAAAAAAAAACATAATTTATAAAATGTCAAAAAGAGGACAATAAATTTCAACGATTAACTGTAGCCAGAAAGTAAGAGCGTACTAAATACAAGCCAAACAAAAACCTAGCGGCGAACTTTACAGAGATGAGAGAGAGAGAGAGAGAGAGAAAGAGTGAAAAAAATGAGTAAGTGAGTGAGAGAGAAGGGGAGAGAGAGAAAGTAAGCTTCTTGCATTGCATCGAGATGGTGCAACATACACGAGCTCGTAATAGAATTAAGGCAAATGTATGGTTCAAAAACGAATCAATTAATACACGTCGGAGGAAGTGCGATGGAAATTGCACTCGTGTCGGAGTCAATGACGGCATGATTAATTGAATAAACAGGCTACCGTCAAAACTTCATACCTTCGTAATAAATTCTGCCGGATATTAGGACCCCAGCTTCTTTCATCATCTGCTTTACATCAGCATCGGAAACAGGAGTACCCAGTTCTTGCATAGTTCGCTTGAGTTCTTTCGGGTCGATATATCCGTTCTGGTCATGATCGAATGCGGCAAACAGCTGCCGAAGTTCCGCTTCCTCCGGCCTCCGTTCTAATCGCTGTTCCATCATACGAACAAATTCTTCAAAGTCTATTAGGCCATTGCCTGCAAAATACCGAAGAAATTTTGTCATTAATTACCGAGCCTCATGAATCGATACTTTGTAGTTTACTCGTTCTATATAATTAACTCAGGCTGGTCTACAAAAATCGTTACAGGACGAGAAAATATTGCCCAGGTACCAAAGAGGTGATTACCTGGGAAAAGTGAAGAAAATGAACAGATGTGATGCCGGCATAAAATAACACGCAGTAGATAGAAGCATACAGCCTTAAGTATTATATGATAACTCGGTACGTAATACTATGAAATGATCCGTTTAAAATAAATGTATAAAACTGTTAACCTCACCTTGTATAAAAAAAATATCACATTATTGATAGTACACCGGAAACGTACTTTTTCCTTTTTAACGCAAGGACAATTGTGTCGTTTAGAAGAGTTACTAAATATAATATACAAGAACAGACGTTTGTTAGCCGATGATTGGGCGAATTCTGCCGAGAAATCCCGTGCATAGGCGCGCCAGGGAAAATCCTTGAAGGTAATTACTATATATATATATATTTTTATATTTATTATATATATATATATTACATATTTTTATATTTATATATATGTTAGTTTATTTTCTTAGCTGCTGTATGATAGATTTTTTTTAACCGGGTATATATAGATATACTGTTTATATATATATATATAAATCTGGTATTTATTTATATATTTATATATTTCCATTGATAATAATATAATTTCATCTAAAACAAGATATATACATATATATATATATATATATATATATATATATCTGTACATTACCAAAAAAAAAATTTGCAGTATATGACAGATTTTACAGTGCATTTGCTGTGTATTCATCTAAAAAGCGATTGTCTCATTTCTTACTAGAATTTGTATGTTTTATGGACGCCTCATTCTCTTCGTTGTTTTTTTTTTTTTGCACACTGCGGTATAGTGTATAGCATATTTTTCTGTACAAACAATAAGCCCAGAAGAGTGTCTAATAAGGCCGTACACCCCTAGGCGATCTCATCTCGAGCGGTCGAGCTTTCGTCAAAGTACTCAACCAACAGCCATTCGAATTCCTTTAGAACAAATGAGCTAAACTCAAAATACATTTTATATCGCCACCAGATCTGCATAGGATGACGAAAGCAAATTGGCGAATTACGGTTAGTTGCGAACGGAATACATTTCGAGGCTGTTAGGCTTGCTAAGTCAACGTCGTTTACTTTATACATTAAGAATGAATTCGTTGATACTTATACAATTGTACAAGATATGACTTACATCATTTCTTTCTATTAACGTGTACAAGTGCAACTTACCATCTAAATCTACTTGTTGAAAGACCTCGCTTAGCTTTTGATCAGTTATCGGTTGCCTCATAGCGTGCATAACAGTGCTAACTTCTTGCTTGCTGATGAAACCATCCCTATCCTTGTCAAACAAGGAAAAAGCAAGTTTCAACTCTGTTGAAAATATAAAAAAAAGAAATAATTAATTTAACGTTATAACATAGATGGCAGCTCTGTAGCTTAATAACATAAATTAGAGAGTAGAATTATCCTGAATGGTATAATAGGTTCGGCAAGAAAAACAGAATACAGAGTAACCATGTTTAAACTGAAGGATCAAATCTCGTGTAATATAATAACAGATAATAGATAAGCACACATACATGTACAAACAAACACATAGTAACAGGCATGCAAAGAGTGCTACAACCCTTATCAACGAGTAGCGTTCAATATATTATACAAACTAATTACAAGCTACTAAGAATAACAATTAACATTTAAATATAGCATATAAGTGTAGTTATAAATTATTCATCAAGTTTTTTTCTTTAGCAATTGCTTACGCTTGTGGCATCGTCTGCCCTTTCTGACCATTTCTTCGTCCATGATTCAAACAGTCTTCTTAATAACATCTTAGGCAACTCGTTAAGTTCACTGCTAGGTAGCTACGGTTAGTTTAACACTGCATATGCAATGATACCCCCTTTACATTTAGAGTGTACGCTATGGTCGTATCAATCAATCGTGCGTGGACAACGCGTTTTACATAGAATCCACTAAGTCCCAGTAGAAGCTAAAAATTCGTCCGCTGTGGACCGGAACAAACTTTCCGCTCATTCACCTCCGCTGTATAACGTTAGTCAAATAGAAAAGGGAAATAAAGGCGCCAGAATTTACCGAATATATAAATATACAATGTACAGGACCTATTGTATATATTGTATATTTATACAGCTTATATAATACATTTTTTGATATTCAGTAAATATAACGCATATAACGCATATAGTGATATATATATAGAGAGAGAGAGTGAATCTATATGATATCTTTCTCAATATCCTCCTAATACATCGTCCGTTATTTATAAGCGTATTCTCTATATACTGTGTATATACGTATTTTTATACGCGGAAATATAAATATAGCTACAGCATCTGCAAGCCTTTAACCCAGAAACAGTCATGTGATAAAAAGAAAGTGCACTACTGATGTAAGAGTTGAATTCTAGGACTTAACAAGCTTCTTCTCCAATATTCTGAACATTAACTTAAAGAGAAGTAGAACGATCTTACCACGATAAAGCATCTTTTAATAGTAAAAAGAATCGTCCAGCTTATATTCTCACGCTAAATTTCACCTCACAGTGAGAGTGTAGTAGCTTTTAGTACTGCCGTATAGTTTACTGTGCTCAGTATAATGTGTTGGTTTTATAAAGATTTAATCATTATATAGTATACATATTCACACATGTATATATATATAAATATCTGCTTGTGCTATATAATATTCTTTGCAGTCTCCATTTGTATTTTGCATTATTAATTAGCGCAAATTAATCCCTTCTAAAACTGCTTTCTATATTTAGTCAGTAGACCGTTCTTTGGCATCGATGCCCAATTGCAATGGAAGCAAATTTTCTGTATTATCAACACGATTCCGGGGCATTTGGGTATTCGATTTCCGGATTTGTAGTTATGCTAATCCTAGCTTTCATTCTCACTCAACGTTACGAAAGAAAATTCGCGACGGCATACTAACAATTAGTTATTCATTATTAAGTAGCAATAGTAATGAACGTGAGTTGAGCGGGGGTCTTTTCGCTTTTCCTTTTCATATTTGTTTGTAATTTGAAAAATTTTAAATAAAAGGAGAAGCACGTGACAGAGCAGCTAGAGCATTGTTAAAACACAAAAAAATTTATAATGAGACGAAAAAGACAAAATAAAAACTGAGACTATGACTAGAACGGTAAACGTCAACGTAGCATCTCTATAATGAGAAATACGATATAGAGATAGAAAAGAAATAAAAAGACAGTTTTTATCTAAGGATTATTCAGCAAATGATGACACCAATCATCAATGCCGTGGGCGTATTTATACCGTTAAAAGATATAATTAACAAAAATGATAAAACGAGAATACTTACCGGCTTTTTGAGTCTTCGAAAACTTATCGTTGCCCTGCGGAATAAATGAAATTATGCCTGCATTATTCATATAAACACTTTTATTTATTTAATTTCTTACTATAACAAAATTAACAATAAGTTAAAACTACTCATATACTATCTTAGAACCTTGTACGTTTAAAGTCCCAACGAAACCCCTCCTATACAAATTATTCATAAATCCATGACGCAAGGATATAGCTGTATACACACGCTCAATATATGTATATTGTACTCTATATATAAATTTATATATATATAAATGTATACATATATACGTATATACCCAGTCAATGTACAGGCAAGATTTATTAAAAGTTATTAATTTTCTGTTTACAAAATATGCTGATTATTACGCTTAAGCAAGTTTTAGCCCTCCATGGTGCGATGTAACAGATTACGTCTGACAAATATTCTCACGAGATACTGCTTGTGACAAACTACGTTAACACTGACGTCATAAAGACTCGCAACTTGATATGTCATCGTTTTCTTCAACGAAAGCGTGAACAATACAAAAGAAAAATTTTTCCCTTTACTGTCAACTAAGAAAATTGTAACAAAACACTGTCATTTCTAATCGCCTTATCCGCTTAGGCTTAAATGTTTTCAGTTACTCAGAAAGTTCCAGTCGAAGCACACATACATTATTAAGAAAAAAGATGACCTTGGCTGCAAGCCACCTAAATGTCCTTAAAACATAAAATTCAAAGAGAAGACGGAAAGCTGGAGAAGTAGAAAGGATAAGAGGGCGTATATATGTGTGTGAGGCAGAGCGATAGAGATAAAGAGAAAAAGAGAAGAGGTAGGCAGGGTGGCACAAAAAGAAGGAAGAAATAGAAAGAGATAAATAAAAAAAGGTGGAAAGGGTATGTGATGAGAGAAGAAAAAGATGAGAAAAGAATTTATTTTCGTTTTCCTTTTTTCTTCTTTTAAAACTCATTTTCTTCCTATCAAAAAAATATTCCACCAATCGGAAGCGCCCGACATTTACCCGAAGCGATAACTTCCAACGTTGTCGGTGTTTTTTAGCAGTAGTGAAAGAACACATATTTTCTTATGTAAGAGTAGAAGGAATGGGAGAGAAAGAATATTTATACATATCGCTGTTTATATATATATATATATACTGTATATAAGTATATATATATGAATAGATAGAAATGAGACCATTTCTATATTCTGTTTATTCGTTGTATGGAGCGGATTTCGTGCTTTTTTATGCTAGTAGTCAATAAATACAAAACAGCTCTTAAATGTTGTCCTTAAAGATTAACTTTTTTCAGCTGATTATAAAGAACGAAAAAGAAAAAATAGAACCTCTTTATAAACGTCATCGAAATATATAGATATAAATATATATACCACTTATAAAGTGTTAAAATTCTGCCCAAATCTGATTTTCACCAGATAGGCTACCAACGCTTCCAGCTATAATGTCGCTTTACTAGGGCAAGTTCCCCATTATAGAAATTATCCGAAACTTCATCTACGACCTAGATGTTAACGTTTTAGAGAAAAAAAGTGAAAAAAAAAAAAAGATTTCCAATAGCTGTGTAGCTCTCTAATTTAATTATGGGTAAATCGACCGGGTATTTAACACACATTTTACTTAATTCAAAGACGAGGATGTACTTTAATCTAATAATACTTCCGAACAGTTCCTGTCTGTGGTCAAATAAGATAGAGCGTATACAATTAAAAATTAATTATACAACTACTAGTGCAAAAATTTCACGCAACGAAAACTCCTACTTACATAACATCCAACTTAAAATTGATTATACTTACTAAAGTATCGTTATCCAATGTCTGCGAGAATCGATCCCTCATCATTCTCATGAACTCTGAAAAAAAAGGGAGAAAATCACATGATTCTGTCGTCGGAGCGTCTACATTGTGCGAATACCGATCAATAGATGCATCTAGAGGGCATTACTGTATACTATCTTGCCAAATATCATTTATGGTACGGACTCTTAGTAAACATAGTTTATAATTAAGACAGCGGCACAAACCACCTTTAATCATTTAACTGAGAGTGCTTGTAGATAAAGGTATATTTTTTGGTTGACTATTAATAAATGTGACAAATAAGGCACCTATACAGTAACACCATAACGGATTAAGAAGAAGACACGAACGTAACTATTTTCAGATAATTATCAGAGTGCTTATTGATTATAGAAACCAAAGTAACCATAGCTAACTTAGTATTTCGGCTTCGAACAAGAATGGGTTGATACTCTTCAGAAATACAATAATAATTTACATATAATATATTAAAACAGTTATGAAAACAAAAAGTTTACTTTTCGCTATATTGCAACGATACACTTAATAAAGGAGTCTCTATAAACTTGCACAGTAGAGACATCTGCAAGGATTGTAAAGCATCCCTCAAAAAATAATCTTGGTCAGTAAAAAAAGAAACGAAAGGGCATTGATTCGTATCCAGGGCAGCAATTTCTATCTTATAAAAATTAATATACAAAAGAGTTGTAGAAGAGGCGTATGAATAAAAAGACAAAATTTTAGATACTACTTTGGCTGGTGAGAAAATCAGTCAGGACGTCGAAGCCTGTTATTTATTTGTATTCTGATTGCGAATTCGTTTGGCGTCAATTTGCAACCCTAGCGTCTAAATATAGCTGAGAAAAGACTATATAGTTACCGGTATAGATTTGAATAGCAATAAAATAAAACGACTCCGTTAGGGCATAATACAATAACCAGAAGTAAATCAATTTAACGCTCAAACCTCTTATGAGTCAGAAGTCAAGCAAACGCAATTGAATCATCCTTGCAATTCGTAATGGCGTACCACAAGAGCTACTCTTGTAATTTCAAGAAAAGATTACAACAATCTATGAAGATGCTAACTATTCCTTCCTCCAAAGCAAGTAAATTCGACTAATACTATCAGGAAAGACATAAGGAAAAATAAATAAGTAAAAATCAGACCACCCGCTACTAGATCCTCATTTCCAAACAAAAATCTACAACTAAAAAGTTAGAATAATACAAGAACAAAAACAATATGAAAGTGAGCAAAGGTTTTTCTTACATCAAGCTGGTTAAGTATAAAATATATGAAAATACGCAATTATTTAGTATATATGTAGATGATGATATATATCTGTATAAATTTTATATTGCATATATATATATATTACCCATTCTATATATATATATATATGCAGAATATATATACATTTAGGATTGCGGGAGGCAGTATGCACATATATACATATATATATATTTGCCGCTTGTTCCACATATTGTATATATATTTATTATAAACAAAAATATGCTTGTGCATTAACGTATGCACTCTCAGTTCCGGTGTAAACTCAACGGGAAAATTTTATTTCATGTTTATATTATCATAGACCTAAATATCCTGAGTATAATTATCATTTTTCCACTGTCTCCTTAAGAAGATTGGGATTAAATTTTATATTAGTAGGAAGAATTTCTTTAGACAGTCATCCAAAACCTAAAATCGTTGAAATAGAGCTACTTAACGGGTAAGCGGTTTCATCGATGAGGATCAACTTAAAGGGTAACTACATCAAAATATGCCATTACGATTGCGCATTTTTTTATTACGATTACTTCTCCAGTAAAAAGCGTAATACTCCGTACATAATTGCAAATTCATATACCGATTATTCATTTAACGCAACAGCTCGTTAAGGTTGAAATAAGCCAACTAACTACGGCATAGGAAATAATTGCTTATTCCTAATTCGTTAAGTGGCGGTAAAGGGTTTTAGGAAAACAAGAGTACAGACAAACAATATCAATTGCCATATTCCGTAAGGCAGTGAAATCAATAAGTGAGCTTAGAATCTTTAGATATTGGACAATGATTGTAGTATGAAAAGCAATAGAAAACCCTACAAATTCTCGCTATTTGCATTGGCTAACATTTAGAGTGAGGAAAAAAAATGACAATAGAATTAAAACAAACACGTTTTAGGCAAATTGGCGAGATAGAAACGAGGGGTAGGAGGGGTTTTGAAATTAGGTGCAGGGATCCAGGGGAGCAGAAGAGGGTAAAGATAAAAAAAAACCTCTCTTGGGAGTCTTAGGTGTACTCTTTGGAGTATTCTTCGGAGTATTTTTTGCGCTCCTCTTCGGTGAAGCATCCTTTCGACGAGCTGGAGAAACAGCTCTGAGTAATCCGCACAAAGCCATAGACTGGCATGAACTGATTGGTGTCAGCAGCGCGTTTGCTGCTTCTTCTAAATGCCTCTAGCTTTACACGGGGCGGCGCTTTGCACGCTTTTACTTTTTCCAGCGCCTTGCGTAATTCTTTCCTCTTGATAGGAAATCGGTTGAATGATAAAAAATGACGAATTAGATAAATGAGAAACAACCAAATTTCCCTAATAAATTTTCAATGCAGTATGGAAAGACGGGTAAAAAGGGAAACACTGTAGTAAAGAACGATCGAAGAAAAGGAGAGAGAAGAAAGAAATGATTGTGGCTCCCCCCGCCCCATTCTCTATTAACTACCCAAGCAGCGCTATAGGCCGTTTATTTTTAGACCTTATTTCTTTCATCCCTCGTCCTATAAAACTTTCACTCGTCTACAGAAATATTTCCAATAATTAAACTGATCAAATGATTTGTTAAGATGGCTGCTGCCGTCACGTGATTAGATCGATGAATGATGCTATCCCAACTATAAAATAACGTTTAAATATGAAAAGGCTGAAAGATGCAGCGCTACCTACGGGGAAGACAGGTGCAACTCTAATAGGGTAAGCAAGTCAATTATTCACGAAGAAAGTGACTCCTTGATTTGCACGCCATAAAAATCACTGGACATATTGTGACCTGAAGGGTTTGTTTTGGACTTGCAAAAGCAACCACAATTATGGCAAGCCGGCGTTATTTCATCCTGTTTCAGAATCGATAGGGCAAATAACGCTTCAATATTTATTTCGTATCGTTTTGCAGTTGATTTCCTCTAAATATCTCGTGTAAATATTACGCACGCGACCTACATGCATACGAAATTGCGGATTGGTCGTTTTCGGACGGTTTAATAGGCCTATAAATTTCAACTGGCGCTGACGGGCAGCAGTTTGTTTTCCCTTCTACTATCTAGGATTTTTACTGCCTTTGACAGAAGCGCGATTTTTATGTCAAGTGTTCTGTTTTAAACCGTAGGTATAATATATCCGACATTTTTAGAGTGTGGCGTGCTTACAATGAAGTAATTTGCATCCTGTGCATCACATTGACAAAAAAATATACATACAAAGATTTCATTCTCAAGTTGTCATCATCTCCAAAATTGTTTTCCGCCCTTCGTTTGTTGATATCATATTCTGTTTTATACTATTAATTTGGCCTACCTAGATATACACAGAAGTTTTTCATATACTTATATATATGGTAAATATATGCACACACACACTAAGTATACAATGTATATACTGTATTTTATATATCTATATCTATAAAGCTTGTATTGTTGATTTATTTATAAGATATTTATAAAATTTATGAATTTTTCCACCTTGATAATTCCCTTTTATATTTTCACCTAATATTCACTATTATCGTATCTCTAACTAGATAACTGTTATTTTTTGGTAGTAATATTTTACACAGCGGCGATTTAGACTGTTAGTGGTCCGTTTAAGGCAATTTATCAACGCTTCACCAAATTTAAATTCCCAAACGCTGCTTTAATCATACGACATCAATAATTAAACTCCAAACGATTTTATCTCGCAACAATCAACACATTTCTCTACTATTTATCGAACTGCTCGCCTCATTCCACTGTTCGATATTCATTAACGAACGTGAAACGCTTATAAAAGCCATTCGAAAAGGGATATACAGTTAAAATAAAAACTGTCAATAACAGTCTACTACAATCTAATAACATCCGGTTTTGCATCGACATTATACAGATATTCAATGTCATTTGCATATCGACGGTGAAAACTGTCGCAAAACCGATCCGTAAACATACAGCATGTTGGACGAATAACAGCAACACAAAGCTGTATAGTATTTTAGCGCTGTCCTATGAAACGTTCCTTTGCGCACGTGCCTATATTGACAAACTACACAAAACGAAAATTGATGCAAACTCTAGCCAGAGTGTGAACAATATAGTCAACTACAAAATCCTCTAACTTTTACGGAGGATAATTGAAGAACAAGACTTTCTTTTTCTTCTAAAGCAATCACCACTCACCTCCGTAATTAATTTTTCCATCGCCATTCAAATCGGCTTCCTTCACCATTATATCAACTTCTGCCTTTGTTAACTCCTCACCTAGCCCTTTCATTGTTGTAAGAATATCGTCCCCATTAATATAGCCATCCCCATCTTTGTCGAAGGCACGGAATGCTTGAAGCCATTCGTCCTCAGCCGATTGCATCAACCTCAAATCTTCCATTATTTCCAGAAATTCACTTAGTGTAATTACTCCGTCTCCTGAGCGAGTTAGGTCAATGCCAAATTTTCAGGGTGCAATAAGTGTGTTTCGTTTTTTTTTTTGTTTTTGTTTTTTTTAGATTTGTTTAGTTTGATTAGAATAAAAAATAGTGAGAGATACAAAGCATGCATATAGAGAGTATTTAGCAAATTCAGTTGGGGTTAGAAGGCAGTCATGAAAGAAAAAATGGCAATTTTCAGCTTCATAGCAGAATGAAAGTTATATAATGAAACAAATACCGTCTACATCCACTAGATCAATCATTTGCTTTATATCTTCCTCTGAAAAGTCTTGACGTAAACCGTGCACGACGGTACTAAGTTCATCAGTGGTAATTTGCCCATTGCCGTCTTTATCAAATACGTTAAACGCTTCCCTTAGCTCTGTAGGCGCAAAAAAAAAACATAAAAGCTGAGAAGAAAACGTCTGGCGTGGCCCGTGGCTAAAAAAGAGACGCTATAAGAAGAAATATTGTCTTTTTAGACGCTTCGTTACTCATTTCCTGTTTTCTCCTAAACACGATTCAGACGGAAGACTCAATCCTGTTAGATTGTTGCAAACTATCCTAACCCTAATGATTGAGCAGTTGTAGCCAGGATAAAAAACCTTACCAGTGCCTGGATTTGTAATATAAACTTGCACAAACCTTTAATTTCAGCTTCGGTAAATGCGTTACGAATGATATCATCCTGTTAAGAAAATAATAAAATAAACTTGATTTAATTACCTAAACGATTTACGGGGAGTAAGCATATAGTAGCACATACAAATTCTATAAATATAGTATAAAGCCACTACGTAAATTAAATTAAAGCTATAAATGCGTATACTGAAATTTAAATGTACAGGTATGGGACTTTTTCTTTTTCTGCATATTGCATGAATTATTTATAAGTGAGTTTTTAAAGAATCGAATAAGAACTAATAAATGTACCGTATATATATATTTGTATACAATATCTGTCATTTTGAAAACAAGACGAAGAAAAAGTCTATGAAAACGACATCTATTGTACTTTTCTCTTTTTTGTCTTAATTAGTGTACGAAAATCTCATAGAACAAGGACACATTTTATTGCTTCAGCCAAAAAGACTTTGACTAATTTAATCTTATATGACAAGTGAAAATTAATATATATATATAGGCTGTACAAGATGTTTGTTATATAATATTATTGGTAAGAGCAGAATGGAAATCAATTGTTGCAATCAGTAGAAACACTGTAGTCGCATTAATATCGATAGCATCTAATCAGATTTGTAGAAAGTGCAAAAATAAAAAAAAAAATTCATATATAAAAAAAAATATGCATGCTTTTGAAAGAAAAAGCGTTAAAAAACAGCAAAAAGATTATGCTGTACCAGCAGCAAAACATTTTTAAAAATAGTAATGCTGTAATCAGGAGAAATTCCTTTACATTTCAATCAATTTTGCGGTTAAGAATAATAATCAAGGAATATAAAAACGAGAAGCATAATTGAAGATAGCAATTCTTTTTCTCTTTACGATCGTGAAATCATCATTAATATACCTCTAAAACATCAACTAATTTCTCCGTCATTTCTTATTTAAATATATATTGTTAATTATATCTTTTATTGAAATACGAAATTATGCCTGTGTAAAAAAGAACGATAGCAAGTTTATCAGAGAACGATTAAAGATTAAATAAATAAAACAAAAAAAATACCAATATTTGGCCTGTGTACGATATACATTCAATATTAATAACTGTTCACTCTCTTAAAATAGTACCGTTTGACGTCATAACCTTTATACAAGCTCTCCCCTTACAAATAAATGCAGGCCTTGAATAATAGTTCTTATAAGAAATTTCTCATAATGGCCCAAAAATCATGGGTTTATACTCGATAGTAATTATATTTATTATGCAATAAAGTCTATTAATGCGTTCAGTTACCTTAAATATACGAAATCGAAACTGCAATTGCAAGTTATTTCGTTTGAATCTACTCCCAAAGTGCAACTCGCTGGTACGATTGCCCATTATTCACTGAAAAAAAAATTACAATGGTTATACTACTCTGTAAAAGGCTATGTAGTTTATTATCTAAGAGAAATTTAGTTCAATTTAGCACATGCCTCATGTCTATGGATTTTTTTCATGTGTGTAATGTTTCTGATGTGTCTGTAAATAAGTTCATATTATCGTGTTACAATACATTTTTAGCAATCATTAGGACTACTTATATATGCATTAAAGAATCCCAATTGTCCAATACACGTACAGGAAAACTTTACTGACTATCAACAAATATTTATAAGCTTTTAGGACTTTATAAATTACAAAATAAAAAAGCTATAAAAGTCATACTCTAAGCATGCTCGCTCTAAGTAAGGTTCTTAGCACTTTATTTAACTTAGAAGCTAAACGAATGAACGTGGAAAAGGTACCAGTCTTTTTTCAGTAGCATGGTCAAATGTTCAGTTGCTACTTGAAAAATTCGTATTATGGAAGAGGAGTCTTACCTTCCAATTATTGAAACATTAATAATAATCAGCTTGCTAACCAGTCGTATTTTAAGAAGTCGTGTTTAATAGTTGGCTTTTTAAATTCTTTACTACGAGAATAACCAAGTAAAATGGCGGAAATTGCGCGGGAATCAGACTGGGAAGAAAGGGGGAATTTAAGTGAGAGAAGAGACGATTCAGAAACAAATAATGATGAAATTTCAACCAGGAAAGAGACGTTGAAAAGGTGCCGGAAAATTTTGAAAAACCTATGCGAATGCACTCAAAAAACTAATCGAATCGATATAATAGGAAATGGTTCTGTACCAATGATTTACGAATTATTATCAAAATGCTTAATATCTAAGAAATTGAGTGCCAACGAAGAGGAGGGAAATAGCATAAATTGCTTCGTTTTTGATACAAAAATCCATTTTCGCTTCGAAAGATTACTGGAGACCATTAAAGAAAAGGTGGACAAAAGCGAGACAAATAAAATCTCTTCTCTTCTTGAGAAAATAACTTATTTAGAACAAGTCGTTACGGAACAATGGATTATAGGCTTTCATGGATGTAAAGAAAAAATTTACATGGACGAAACTATTGGTCTATTGATCATTTATTCTATTCATCCATTCTTCAAATACATTGATTGCATATCGGATATACTCGATGAGATTGCTGAATTCATACCAGTTATTTGTATGTTAGATTACGAAATGCCACCCTCTTGGTCATTACCGTCCAGTTTATTCCATATTAAGGTTGATTGTAATTCAAACTTAGAAATAGAATGTAAAAGTTGTAATAAAATTAAAAAATATCAGAGTACTAGCAAAACAGCAATACACTTTTGAATTGCAGACGACGGAAACTAGTGTTTTATTTACTAACTCCACAGATACGGCTATCGATTAAGATATGGAAGCAAGATTACTAGAAGCTAGTGAACATGGTGATCTAAATACAGTGATTAAACTCTTAAAAAAGTTACCTTTAGTTCAAGTAAATTCTCAAGATGCTTCTGGTGATACCGCATTAATAAAAGCTTGTCGAGGCACGTTAAGTTGCTCTTTCTCTAATATATTCATATGTGTAAGAAATTTGTCATGAACATGAAATATAAACCATATGCGATTTTATTTCAGGGGGACATTTTGATATTGTGAATGAACTTTTAGACGCCGACGCCCTTGTCTCAAGTAAAAATAAAACTTCAACAACAGCCCTTCATATCGCTAGTTATAGTTAGTATAAAAAATTTAAAAAAAGCGAAAATATTTTTAATAATTGTTTATCAATGAAAAACTATGTGCTTCTTATCTATTAAGATGACGATCGGAATCTTGTATCGAAGCTGATTTTAGCCGGTGCTGACCTAAATGCTAAGAATAAAAGCGGTTTTCGACCACTTGATTTATCCGGCTTTAATAGCAACAGTCGGACGGTTTTATATAACGCAGACAGGTTAAAACCATATCTCTTCCGATTTAAGAACAGTTTTAATTTCTAAGCCATTCCCTCTCTACTGATATAAACAGAGGTATTAAACCCGTGTTGCCAGAACCGATACAAGAGGTTCCATCTATCCCAAGCCACGCCTTAATCCCAAAGAAAAAGAAGAAAAAAGGTAAAACAAAAGGTAAGAAATCAAAGAAAGGAAAAAAGAAAAAGAAGTAAATGGAAAAACCGCATTAAACGTGCATCATAAAATTACTTTTGAATGGATATTGCTTTTAGTTAAACAAGAATTATTAATAACTTTTCATATCTAAGAAATTGCCTCTTAAAGTCGTTTTAATCGGTTTGAGTTTAAACAGACATTTGTTGTTTGTAAGGATATTTTTCAAGATTGACTACCGAAAAGAAAACGTTTCACTCTTATCTTAAAACGTTTTCTCTATGTTCTCCTTAACCTTAATAAACATCTCTTTTTGTTAAACTCATAATCAAATGGAAAAGGTCAAGTTTTTTAAGAATAAAACATCAACTAAACAATTTGCTATTTTGATGTAATTTCGCATCTGTTCAGTACATTTTTTTAGTGTAAATATTGAGAAATTTCTCATAAAGAAAACATAAAAATTCCTTCTATGAACTTCGTTTTTTATTTCATTTTTTTTAATATAAATATGTATACTGTGTATTGTATATGTATAATATTACAATTAAAAAAAGAAATAAAACTGCAATGTCGTTTTTAACCGCAAGATGACGCCCTAGTCTTTCATTTAGGCTAGTTCGAATTATTAAATTCAATCATTTAGTGTGCTTTATTATCTACTTATTTACAATCCCTTTTTCTAATTTTGCATTAATTAATGAATTACACAGTAATTGAAAATATATATATGAAATATTATTTATGGGATGATTATTATTAAATATCACCCAAAATCCAATACAAATAGGGGTGGGGGGTGGGGAATTTATGTTATTAATATCTTTGCGAACAATAAGAATCCGATCGAGTAAGCCTCCTAAAGCTATCGAATGCAATTCTTAGAAACGCTAAAAAAAAGCTCAGGATTTATATTTTTTTTACTCTTTGGAGGAGACAAGAGGGAAGATATTTGTAAATCCCTACAGCTGTCTATCTTCTTAAGGGAGATTCGTTAGGAGTGTACATCTCCTTGTCGTAGTAAGGAATTAGAACTTAACTGTTCGCCTTAAGTACTTTACATGCCTAAAGTTATTTAATACCGTTGTAAAATTTGACAATTGCTAAAGTCGAACATTCAATTGTTTCATTTAGATAAATATCGTTTATATTTGAATGAAAAACATTAAACACATGTTCTTCTTTGTCCCTTCCATCCTTTGTTGTATATATTTAAATATATCTTTTATAATAAATTGCGTAATTCTTCGAAAATGCACAAAATTTCAATATGTTCATGTGAATTTTCATCTGAACTTTGTAAATATTCATTATACTGTATATAATATATATATTTCATATTTCTTTTTTGAATAAAAATTAATGAACGCAAAAGATGTTAACTTGAGAAAAAAAGAAAAAGGAGTCAAGAGAAGAAAAAACTACAAACACAAAGAAGAAAAGGGAAAAAATAGCTGTTTAAAAAATATCAATAAAAATACAAACTTTTCCATAATTCATTATCCAATAATGGATTATTAAGTTTATGTACGCAATATTTAATCAACGTTTTGTAGAAAAGGAAAAATTTAACCATAAACACGTACGCTAGTAATACCAATTTAATTATTGTGAGCATAATATTTGTACTAATTTTTAATTAGCAGCAATTGTTATTTTTCGATCTCGGTAAATTACGTGATGGTGGCTTTCCATCAAGCACTATTTGGTCCCCGTAGCCGTGATCTTGTCCATATTCCATAGCGCTATCATTTTGTAGAATCTAGAAGAAAAATGATAAAAATTGTTTTTAAGGTAAACCCTTTGAAGATCAACTTAGTGTATAATTAATATATACTTTAGTAACTAGACACCGAGCAGCTTCGTCAATATTAATATTTTCCTTTGCTGATGTTTCAAACCAATTTGCAAAACCTCTCTCTCTGCAATACTCTTCCATAGCGTCGTGATCGTTCACAATGCCATCTCTTGAATTTTGATCGCACTATTATATTGAAAACAATCATAAATTAATTCTCAAGAAATCAGCTTTATTTCCTTATTATACTAATTAATTAATTAATTAATTAATTAAAAATCTATTTATTTAAGGTAATTCTAATATATTTACTTTATTCGCCAAAAGAACGCATGGTAGAGGACTTCCATCTGGTAGCTGAACCTTTGAATCCAAATCACTTTTCCATTTTTGGACGGCTTCAAAAGTAGATGCCCTAGTAATATCAAATACAACAAAAGCACCAACAGCTTCTTTATAATAAACTCTTGTCATATTCCCAAATCTCTCTTGACCTAGAAAAATGCACGCAAAGATTACGTAATCAAATGAAATAGAAAAAGAATTTTGTAAATAAATTGAAAATAAATTTCATAATTAAATTTTGATGAAAGTATAAACATAAATAATTTCAAGTAGTAGGTAAAAGATAGGAACAGCGAGGGGTGATACAAATGAAGAGTGGAAAGATAACACATGGAGAGAGAGGGGATTTGATCACGAGGACTATTGTAACCCGTGCGAATTGAACGTTTGTTAAACAGTATGCCTATGGTCAGATTGTTTATTTGTGGAAAACAATCGAATCTTATCTGTGAATATACGAAACAATAAGCTATCGAATGTTTTTAACAACTTGTATGCGTGTGTGGCGACTTTTATACAGTTTTTACATTTAAAAAAAAGACAAAAAGCATCTAAAAATGGAAACTTTAACGTTGAAAAAATAAATAAAACTATATTAATGCTACTTCTTTTTTTTGTATAAATGTTCATCGTATCTTGAATACCTTTTTAGCACAGCTACTTTCAAGTTAAAGAATAAATACTGTGAGTACATATTTATCAGTTTAGAAAGATAAGGGAACTTAGAAGGTACTTTTGACCTGTTAAACGCATATAAAGAAGGGAGGGAGATTGAAGAAGAAAAAAAAAAGATATTGTGTAATACCTGCTATATCCCACAATTGTAACCTAATAACGGTATCTGCATCCCAATTGATCACCTTCAGAGCAAAGTCTACACCGATCCAAATAGATTTAAGGAAGATTCTATTTAAAACTATAATAAATTCCCAGACTATTGATACTTTAAAGAATAGAATCTTTCAAATAAAATATTAGTCTAAAAGAAACTAGAATATTATAAAAACTGTATCGATATTTAATTTCTTGGTTTTCTATATTATTGAAAAGGATACTGTAGCCCTGTAATGTTGAGAGAAGAATTGGTGAACGTATCGTTTAATAATAGAAGTTTTCCCTGATCCCAATTCGCCTATAACTAGAACTTTGTATAAATGCTCCTTTTGTTCTCCATTTGTAAGTGTGGCAGTCTGTAAAAAAGAATAAGGAAATTAATCTCATAAAAATGTTTTAATGAATGCAGTGTATTAATAAGATGGATATTTGCCCTCCAGACTTATTTAATATACTAATAATATCAACAAGTATAAAAGATAAGCGTTTAATCGGTATTATCGTTCAAATTTTTTATCATTTGATTTAGCAGCCACATGAAGTGAGACAACTTTTTTTTTTACATAGCGTGCTTAGCAAACAAAGATGCTTCTAAGAACACGATTAAAAGTAAAGAATTTTTAACGGCTAAAGTGGAAGCAAGCGTAATTTCTCTACCTACCATGATTAGCGTTTTTATAGCGGAAATAATGGCCTAATCAATCAATTTCAAAGTTCAAAGCATTCTTCTTTCATTACTGGATTCAACTAAAAGCTCACATGATTACTATAGATACTTTCGCTAGATGGCGCTATTTTAATTCCCAAGTAAAAAAGATTCTCGTAATGAATAAGTAGTCGTCCTGCGGATAATATTACCAGGGTACATAATTTCGTAGTTTTTGCTGTAATCAGTTCCATGGGATTCTTAGGGGGGAGCTTAATCAAGGTAATAATTCACCACTTAATAATATTGATGGTGACGTTTACTTCTTTAGAGTGATTCTTTAGGACCGAAGGGAATCCCGTGACATTCAGGAGACCGCGACTTTTTTCCTGATCTTGTTAGGAAGTTTACTATAATTATAGGATTTGGAAAGTTGATACTCTTATAAAATAAACATCAAATCATTTTTGCCATAGTTAATTTGTGTTTTTGTCCTACTTGCTTCTTTCTTATCAAATTTTAATTTAAATATGCAATTCTGGGAAATACATGCCAGTTTAAATAACGTATTAGTTGCATCATTAAACTTTACGTATTATACATGTTTTATGCTCAATAATTCGTGACTAACAACCAATAGTTATATCTGTATATTAGCTATTTATAAACTATATGTATAAATAGTAGTAGTATTTAATAAGTACTTTTAGCTTATGTAATTATAAATTAAATCATAAATTTATAAAAAGAAGTACTATATGGCTCTTTTCCTTCTTCCCGATGGGTATATTAGATAAGGGAAGTTGCAAATCGACGCTTTTAAGAGTAATTGAAGGAACTGCCCTACGCCACGTTCGAATTTCGACGCCCGTCTAAAAAAAAACCAGATTTTTATCGTACTTTGAAAAAAAAAGTACAAATAGGGGCGCTTCAGTCAAACTCTTCTTTTCAGAGAGGACAAACGCTTAATCCTTTATCGACGTTGTATCAGCTAAACAGATGGAATATACTTTGCAAGAGGACGAATGAGGATATAAAGTTAAAATTTAAAGAATGACTCCTTCTTTGTAAAGTAACCGCCTGGGAAAGTATAAAATTTTTTATTTTCATTTAAACTATGCAAATGCGGAGCTTTCTTTCTTTTTTTTTTTAGCAAGTTACTTAATTGTAAAAGTAATGCCACAGTATCTACATTCTCTGCCTTTTGTCCTAAGAATAAAAAGTAAACGAGTAAATTATTCATATAATCTTTGTTCGTCAAATATTACTATCTAACTTGATTTATTTATTAACAAACGATGCGTGCTTACATGGTCTATGTCTTAATTTTTTAATGACACGATAGTAAAAAAACACGAACAGTTATGTAGAGATAAAAGAGCTTCGAAAGGCGGCGTCACTCGTCAATATTTGATCGTTGTTCTTTTGAAGTCAATTCAAAGTGGTGGCGCGTCTTTTGCTACAGGCTATTTGCTAACGGTTACTAGCTTATGAAGTCCCAGTGTCCGATTTGTAAATTGTTTTTCAGAATTTAAGGAGAAAGAGTTTTCATTTACATGCCAAGTTTTAGTTCATATATCAATATACAGTATATACATAAATTTTTAACTATCGTTTCTAATATTCTCCTTTATTCTACAAAAATTTATAGCCATTTTATACATTTTGCAGAAACGGAAACAACCACGCAATGCAGATCAAGAAAAGAGAATGAATATATCGTTCAGAATGCTTCGCTTTATACCGATACATCATTTCCTAGGACAAATACCATTTGTGTTTTTAGCGATAACTATTTTAGGTAAGCTTCTCTATAATTAAATTAGTAATTATATAAATGCATTACAAATATTAATGATCAAACGAAGTCGAAAATCCTTCTTCATCAAATGCATTATAAACTACAAATGAATATTACATCTGCTTGAAATATGGACTATTGAATTTTCATTTCGCTGTAGCATTACTGACCATAGTCAAATACAAATTATCGTTTTTTCTTTTTTAATATCAAAATCTCTTCATTTCTTTACCATAGAGGATTGGATTAGGGGAATTATCAATTGTAAACAATTAATAGCGTGACTGTTAGCAACTTGAAATTTGTCACTCGGAAAAAGTACTCAAGCCAGTTTTGTATAAGCTAATCCCCTTTGTAGAGGATGCAGTTCCCTCTCTCATGAAATAAGCACATATTTATTTACAGGAAACCTTAGGTCTCTTAGGATGGAACAGCTGGCTAAGTAGCAAGGACGGTACTTTTAAGTATAAATGCAAATTAATAGTACTTTAACCTATTGGGATAGTTGAAAAGTGTCTAAAGCACTATTCAAGTTATAAAAATCTTAAATCATAGTATCTTTAAAGAGAGAGATTTGTAGACATTATCAGTAAATCCTCAAAGAATATAAAAAAGAATCCGTACTAAATAAACTACGTAACGTCTATACACATTAGTATATTAACTATTTGTAATTAAATTTGTTATTAGTTTATCCTTTATAGGAACAATTTTCTCATCTTACAAAAGCTGTAACCGTGCATGTGTTCACCTAATTTTCCTATAATTTTATCAATTTCTTATATTTTTAGAAAACTCTCTGCAGTACAATATATTTAATTTACATTGTACAGCAATAACATATAACTAAATTAACTTTTGTCATAAAACAGAACGCTTCCTTTTATGTAATTTTTAACCTTCATTTATTCTTTGCTTTCAATTTTAGTCTCTTCCTGTATATAGTATACCTCTCCTTCCAGTCCGCCTTCTTCGCCCCTTTCATCCTCTTGCCTTTTTTTTGTAGATTACTAAAAGTAATAATATTTTTCTATGCGTATTTAATTTTGCAATTGATAAAATGTCTTGTTTGCTTTAAAATAATTCGTTAAGTTGAACGTTTAGCCTAAATGTAAAAGAGAAAGAGAAAGAGAAAGAAGATAACGATTGATTGCTTGATAGGATTGGTAGCACTCTATTATTTAAATAATGTCTTTCCCTATTCTGTTTTTTTAAATTTTATTTTATGGTAGCTTTAAAAGAAAAGACAAAACTAAGTCGGCAAAGCCATCTTAAAGCGTCTAAACTCGTTTGTCTTTACTATAAATAGCCAGTTGAAGTTGTAACCGTCCCATCAGTTATCATCCTTAAATTAAGCTAAAAATTCGATTAGAAAGGACTTGTTTCTTCTCAGAATATATATAAATTTATATACATATATAAATATATCTAAAATTTACATATTGAATAAAAAGAATAAAAATTACTGAGATTATTATCTTGAATTGTTCTAAAATTCCATTTGGGATATCAATATTCCTACTCCATACACCCAAACAACAAAAATCTTATTTTGCTGCCTGAAGGACCTTAGTTTAATTCAGCTGTCACCATATTTGTTTATACTGGCAATATTGAGAATAAATCTAGCGTTCCATTTTTATTGTTTTGTTTTTTTTTGTATTCTTGTTTTTTACATTTATTATAAAAGTTATATTAGACAAAAATTGTAAAATTAGCGTAGGAAACAAGGTATCTAATTTAAAGAGAGAAAAACAAATTACTGTAATCATTTCCATAGTCTTTAAACGATTTTATTTTCTATTAGAAAATGAAGAAAAACAAGATAAATTCCCATTTAAATATCCTTTTTTTTTTGGAGTATAGTTTTGCCATTCCAATTGTCTTTTCCTACTAATCTACAGGGCTTCGATGATGCCACCAAAGTACCATAAAATCGCACTGAGCCATTATATCAAAGTCATCTCAGGCCTTACTTGCTTTTCCTCCTTTTAATAGAAATTAAGTAACGTTCTAACAAATATAGCGCAAACGGTCGGAAAGAGTTACTTGACGCTCTTAGAATTTGTTGTAAATAGGCAATAGAAAAAAGCAAGAAAAACGCTCCATTCTCACCTCATCTTTTTATTTTGCAGCAACACGTACAGGTTCGGCTAAACAACCTCGTCCACACCTCAGAGTGACAACCATTTTAGTAAGTTTGTTTGCGATTTTGCGGTTGTTTGACATTTTAGAGAGGCGTTTGACAACTGAGTCAGTTGATTGCTGTCGGAAGCTCGTGGCTTCCCTAAATGCCTTCTGGGCGTAAAAGAAAATATACGTATGTTAAATCAAGTGCGATGCTTTTTTCTATTCTATCATACCATTTTTGGGGCAGACTGCAATTGGGAATTTCCCGAAGTTTACAGACTAATTTTAGGCGCGTGATAAGATTTATTTCGTTTCTTCTTTACGATTTTTCTGCTACTTTTTTAAAGAAATAAATCATCCTATTGACCTCGATCGTTTTTTACTATTCTGTTATAGAATCACCCTTATGTGATGCTCAAGCATGGTTCAACTGATGAATATATAGGTTTCATTCCTGACTTGTTGAGTAAATTGGCAGATAGGATGATGCTTGATTATACCTTAAAAGTTGCGCCAGACTCAAAATATGGTGTTAGAAATCGATTAACAGGGAATTGGGACGGTATGATAGGACAAGTTTACCGTAATGAAGCAGATGTTGCTGCATCTTCAATTTTCTATACAAAACAAAGGGACAATTATGTTGATTTTACAATACCATTTTTAAATGTTTCGGCAAGCATAATATATAAAAAGTCCGAATACGCTCAAAAGATAAGAATAACTAAAGCCAGTGACCTATTAAACCAAGACTTTTATAAGTTTGGAACTTTGTCACGGGGACCAATAAAAATTGCTTTCAAACGGACCAATAACTCCGTCTATAGGGATTTGTGGAGAAAAATGGATAGGTTTTATCCCCATGTATTTTATGCTACCAACGACGATGCTTTACAGAGAGTTCGCAGCGATCCACGTTATGCTTTTATCCTGCCGAAACCAATAGCTGATTATATAGTTGGTAGGAAACCTTGCGAGCTATTACAAGCCGATTCATTTCTACTTAATCAACGATATTGTCTGGTCTTGAAAGAGAACAGTACATATTTGTGGCGCTTTAATTATCATTTGAAAGAATTAACTAAAAATGGTTTTCTAGCATCGATGTATAGAAAATGGTGGATAAATTCGGCCGAATGTTCACACCATACTGCAGGTGGCAGTAGTAGTTTCAGTGCTGAAGTTGGCAATGGAACAGGAGTATCAAAATGTAGCTTGTACTTCAGAAAAGTCTTCATTATCCTTATTTTACATTTGTTTACTTTCCATATACATATATGAATTTTACTGCTTACTTATTCTCAAATTTAATAAAAGCCATTTCTTTTTGTCTATGCTATAGATACTGCAAATGAACCATAAAAACCTAAACATACTGTACTGTATAAATAATTATTATAAAATCGAGTAGGCCTAGGTATATTGATATATAAATGTATAATAACAATATTAATAAAGATATATCAAGTTCAAATCGACAAACTACCCTACTAACCAATATGCATGTTAATGCGAATACATTTCTACAAGTGGAGAATCTGAGGCATCTGTATTTACAAAAAGGAATGAGATTGCATGAAATTCTTTATCCCAGTTTTCATTACGTTTCTTTTTCTTTGATTTTCGATAGAAAGTTTGTTGGGAGTTACAAAAACAGCTGATAAGTACAGGTGCTAGAGGGAATATTAGATATTTAGTAAGTTAACATTATATTTAGTTAGGAATGGACCAATGCCTAAAATATAGATGGTAGAATGTTAAAAAAATCATCCGTTAAGAGATTAGATATTGGGTTTATTCTTAAATACATTAAAAAATAAAAATGGAGCATGTAACACTGACAATATTACTGTTACTCAATAGTTAATGGGTTACAATGTGCTATTAAGATATATAAAATATTTAAAGGAAGTAACCGAAAATGGTAATTACACCTCTCGTTGGAAGAAGAGGAAATAATCATAATCTCATGGGACCTGTAAATGCATAAGTTAAATTAAGAGAAAACTGAAGAAGCTCATTGTCTATTAAGTGAACTTTTTTCAGTCTGTTCCTATCTTGAGTTTGAAGAGCTTCTTAAAGGTTAAATAAATAACAAATTTATATAAGGATTATTCGATAATTTACGGCCAAAATGATTTTAAAAGTTCAATAACTTTATGTTGAATTCTATAGAATGCAAATTGTTTTGTATTTTTAACGTATAAATTCCATAAAGTCGATTATCAAGTTGAAATGCAAACTTTATTAGTATAGAGATCTAACGTGAAGTATGTAAACTTTCTTTTTGCGGCAGCAGCATCTAAAGAAAAACAATAATTTTTTTCCATCGCCTTTTTTCATATTATTGTTGGAAAAAAAACTTCCAAAACTACGACTTTTTATTAAGAGAACTGGTGAGAATACAACCGTTAAATCCTGGGGGAGCGATAAAAGCGGCCAGTAATACAACGGAATAAATCGCCGTGTCATACTAACTGCATTTGGTAACCATGGACTTTAAAAGATCTTTTAAATTTTAGATAATATAATCGGAAGTTTCCTGGTTTAAGTTTTTATTATACAATTTTTATTAAACGTTAAACCAACTATTTTTTTGTATATACAAATACAAAATGCACCATTTTAATAACTAGCAAGGAAAACGTGTATCACAGAAAAATACGTTATAAATTTAATTCTTCTTAAACGTTGCTGTCCAAATCTTCAGATTGTTCTCTTATAGCTAATTGAGGTGATACTGGGACAGCTGATGCGGGACTTGTAAAAAATGCCATTCGTTCTCTGAAGAATAATATTAATTACTTGATAACTATTGAAATTTTGTATATTCATCAATATTACTTAAATAATGCAGCGTTAGGTTCCTTTTGAGCTCTTCTTAACTTATTTATTTCGTGGGTTGCCTTTTTTAATTTCTTTTCGGCCAGATCTTCTACTTTCGAATCTTTGGTACAAGATTTTTCTCTCTCATTCTAATGATTTAATTAAGAGAATCGTTAGTAAAATTTTACAAATATTTATGATCATACCAATTTTTCTGCTCTATTTAGAATTGATTGGCATCCATCATCTCTCATCCATTCAGGTAATTCACCTTCTTTACCCCGTTTAATCTTTTCTAACTCCTCTTTGACTAGAGTTAATCGAAGAATATCTTCTTCTTCCTGCTCAACTCTCTGTTTGGAAGCCTGAAGCGCCAATTCCAAATCCAAAGAGGTAGGGGCCTGAGTTGTTGATTTTGCCTTCTTAACGTTCACAATTGGGGCTTTAGATAGTCGAATACTTCTTCTTTCAGATGCATAGCGTTGAAAAGGTGATTTTCTTTGATATTTTGGGAGAGTTGAATCGCTATCACTTCTGTTTAACTGAAAAAAAATTATCCAATGTATATGCGGCGCCATCTATGTATTTAATAGGATACTAACTCTGTATATATTATGATCGTCGAAGTTCAAATCGGAATGAGCAGGAGAAAATGTTTTTGATCGTCGTATGAGTTTAGCATCTTCGGAAGCTGTTACCATCAATTTAGATGGAGGATTGCAAACGGCTGCTTCAGTATTGGTTTCAGCGTCTCGTTTCACTAGTCTTACAGTATCACATGGCGATAATTCTTCTTCAATCGCATATGTTTCCTCCTCAATCTCCAAAGGTGAACTCTCTCGAGTATCGACAAGATTTTGAACAGAACTTGGATCAAGATTCCTCGACAGTGTAGAAGGCTGAGAGGCAATAATTGTTGATTCGTCACTACTCTCTTCACAAACACTTGATCCTCGAGTAAGTTCACGTGCTCTATGAGAATATTGATAAGTTTTAAAGAATAAAAAAACCTGAAATGAAACCCTTTACAAGAGGGTATTCATCAACGAGTATAGGAACTATTTTAGGAATGGTGCCACATACAATACTCAAATTCTAAAGGCCTATTATAAAGTTTATTGACATAGGGCGTCTTTATAATGTGAATTTGAATATTAGGATATAAAACCATTTTAGTATTAAAAAATATGACTCACTTTGAATTTCGTGGAGATTCAATTCGTAATCTGTGATCTGATGTGTCGAGTAGTTCTTTAACTTTATCGGCTCCTTCCTACAATTAGAAATTATTTTCAGAATGTTTTCACAAATTCAAGTACTCAATTTTTTAAATGTTTAATTAAATACATAGGTTTCTTAAAGATCATTGAGTTAGGGATAAAAAACAACCTCTGTTTGAATTAGGTTTTCTCCTTAACCCCGTCTTTTTTCTGTCGTAAACCCTTTAACCTTATAAACTGAATCAATTAACTTAGCGCTTTCAAAAACATTCTTATCCACGAATAGGTAATGCACTGTTTTTAGCACTTCAACGCAAGGTATTCATCTTTGAATTTTATGACAAAGGTAAGAATCTACTGCCTATTCTCCATAAAGTTTATATCATGGATTAAACAAAGCACTAGCTTAGTATGTTACCTACTATTCACGTCACAAAGAGAGTGTATGACGTCATGAGGATTCAAGCGCTCGGCAAAATGCCAAAACCTGTCATCTCAGCCTTATAATTAAAAAAACTTCTGGCAGAGGTAATTACACTAACAAAAGTGAACCGAGTGTTAAAGCCTCATTGTAAGTTGAAAGGAATTACGTAAGTTAAAAATAAGCATATAAACTGTTCGTACGTGGGCGAGAAATGTAATCGATTTTGGAAAGTAAACCAAAAAGTGCCAAAGCGGCACTAAGCAGATACATGCCCTCGACGGACTCGTTAAATCTAGTTCAAGGACTTTTCAGTACAAATGCGTATGTTCAATCACAGATGAAGTTATTTAAAGCACTTTTTAAGTCAATAGAATAACGCGACAAAATTGAACATCTGCGGAAGTACGCAAACAAAGCATTTTGCTAAAGTAAATACTAACCAACGGTTGAGCGACGGGCAAAACTTCGGATAGTATATTATACCAGCAGGTAGTAGGCCTGTCATAAGTATTTAGAGTAACTTCTGTAACACCCACAGATTCTAAATTGTCCCCTCGAATAGAACACAAATGAACTTGAAGTGATGTAGTTTGAAGACTGTTTTTACCAAGTGAAGTTTTCCATATATCTCCTAGCTTTGAGCAGGAGGACGAGAATGGACAACTGGTGAAAGTATTGGTTTCAGGTATAAGACGAGCAACTAAACAAAGCGAACACTGAAAATTTCTAAGATATCGAACTTGATCGAAGTTAACTTGTAAGCAGTTTTCTTCCTTCAAATATGTTAGGGTCAGTTGAAGTTGAGCTAAATTATCTGAGTTTTGGGAAAATGATTCAAAGACACCGCTATCGGACGTCACACCGCCGTCACTAGGGGAAGAACCAGTGTAGCTGCGGGTTGGGCCTGAGGCACCTACCCCTGAACTGCTTTCAGATATAGGTGATAACGGTGGAACCTCTGTAGCGGTTTCAGCCTTTTTTGCTGATAAATGCATTTCTTGCACCCGGCATGCTAAAGAAGGTGCACTGCTTCCCCTTTGTAACTTCCCCATATGTTGAGCGTAGGTGGGCGGAGGACCAAGGTCATACGGTTCAACTGGTTGAATTTGAGCAAGGCCTGGACAGCTGAAAGCTCCACTAACAACTTCCGAGTAGCCACCAACTGCACCAATACAGTCTTGACTTCTGAGAGGCGGTAGATTAGCATAGGCACTCTCTTCAGCACCTCGAAATATTCCTTCAACCTTTCCATGCAAATCCTGACCGTAACTTGTATTGGAAAGGGGTGTATAGGAAAATACATCACTGAGTGAAAAATGAGAACCGGCTAGAGAGCCCAGTGAACCCCTGCTTGAGCCGGATGACATGCTCAGGGTGCTCTGAGACAGACTTTTTATTTGCTGCTCCAGTTGGGCTGATAATCTAGTAACCTCTTGCAACTGTTCCATTAATCTCTGTTTATTTTCATCCAGTTGAAGCCGTTCATTAATTTGTTTCTGATTCATTTGAGTTGCCTCTCTTAAATCATTTTGTAAACGCGCCATCTTTTGTCGGTTTGATATTTCGTCCTTTCCTCCTTTGCGGACCAGGGGCTTCAATTCTCGCAGCAGCTGTTCTTTTTCTTGTATTAACAACAACAAATCCTTATCACTTCGACATTGCCCAGGATTTATCCGACTTTCAACGTCCACGAGTTGTTTTTGAAGATTTGCAACAGTACGTCGGGTTTCTGAATATCTAATTATTTGAGAGAAACATAATTGAAAATGGCAATAGAATAGTTAATGTTGTTTGTGATTATACCTTAACCTCAATCGAACTAGCTGTCTTATGAATTCTTCCCTTTGCATTTGATCGTTATCTCCGCTTAAATCCGTCTGTGATTCACTATCTACTAGACGATTAATTGAAAACGTCGACACGTCTGGCGATGTGCTTTTCCTAGTTCGTTCTACATCTTCTTTTAATCTTGCTAAATCCTGTAATGCAGTCTGTATAATATGCCAATTCCATTACATGTTATATGCTATCTTACCAGAAGCAAACTATGCTTCTTCTTCTGCCTTGCGTCGATCATATGATAATTCGCCTTAATCTTTTCGTAGATGGTTGTCGCCTCAGATAAAGTATAAGGTGTTTCTTGCAAATCCATTTTATGCTGAACTCTGCATAAACAAAAGAAATTCCCAGTAGTGCGAATTTTATAAACCAAATTCAATCACGTTCGTCCATTATATATCGGATAAAAGCTTTAGTAATACCGGACTCGAGCGGTTAGCGATAAGTCATGGTAAATGTTTGTTCGTGCGCTTATCCTTAAATCAGTTCTTTTCTGTAATGCCTGTAAAATACCCAGGCACCATTCCAAAACTTAACCGCGGAAAAATGTCGGAAAATATAGCATAATCTCCCATTAGTTAGAGCATGTAAAATTTGTCCACTTTTTCAAAGTCCTATATCTAATATGTTTGTTGTTGAGTAACTCGTATCACTTTTGCATGAAGAATTAACTATATGTAATTATATAAACAAGATGTCTATTCGTTCTATATATCTATATATAAATATACCTATACCGGTATATATACAGTATAAAAGAAAAAGTGAGAAGAGCGCGAACGAAAACAGCGATGGAATGCCGCATTTGCAAGCATTTCCCGCATATTTACGCGTTGATATCCAGGCAGGAATTCTGTTTTAAAGAATTTATAGAAAAGAGGAAAAAAGAGAAGAAATAAAATGAGTGTGAGAGAAAGTGCGCGAGATGCGTGGAATGGGATGCAGAGTGCTGGAGTGAAACTTACTCATAGAGAGCCTGAACTCCTTTTTCACGTTTACTTAATTCCATTCGAATTTGATTCAATTCCAGGGCTAGTCGTGTTACTCTTTTCTTGCTTAATTCTATTTCATCTCTAACAATATCAGGATCATATCGAGTCGAGGCCGAAGAAGCAACTATAAAAAGAAATAGTGTATTTAAAAAATTTACTATATAAACACAATAAAGGAAAATGTAAGAAGTATAAAGGGCATATAGAAAAATTGATAGATTTGTTCATTGATTCGACACTAGTGTATGTCTCATTCGATTTTTTTCTAAAAATTTTCTTACGCTTCTCTGCGCAGAATCGAAAGAATCGCAAACATTCGAAGCACGCCCCGTTCCAAATGGGCGTGGCTTAATGCGACCATAGGTAAAAATTATTTAGATACTTGGTAGTACGATAAACGATTATAATTATGACACGCGCTGAAAATTTTAACAATAACGTCAAAAACGATAAGAATCGCGTAAAGCTTTTAATATAAACGAATAGTTCGCCATAAATCATTGTTAGAGTTATTAGGGAAAAAATTTATTCTGTCACAATTTTCTTTTATATTTAAATAGCTGGTGAAGAATTACAGAAGAAAATACCAAATAACTTCAGCTGTTGCGCATGCCCCCCCCCCCCTTGCCTTCTCGAAAGACCCTCCGCCTTTGCCGACCCCCTCTACTCCCGCTGAGTTGGTTCGCTTTTAAATAAAGGATTATTAAGGGGATTAGAAGATCGATAGCTTTGACGTATCATTTCTCAATAGGAAATAAGGTGGAAATTTAGTTTTACGGCAGAATGGAATGTTAGGAATGTAGTGTTTTGTCAAAGACTGGACTGGAGAAGGAAAACACAAAAACGCGAACGTATGCACTCTGACATTACGAGTACAAAAATCAAGGCTGAAAAAACAAGAGAAACCGCGCATTAACCACACTACAAAATGCTAACCAAACATAAAACTAGAAGCTTGGTTTTTTAGTTTCTTGCACCACAAAAACAACTATATACTAGACCTCCTACAGCAATACGAAATAGACGCTTATGAAAACAAACTTACGACTAGTTTTAGACGCCTTAAAATTGGCTAAAAAATTTCTCAAATTATCTCCTTCATTCTGCGCAATTCTTAAACGTTCTTCTTTAACGTTCAACATTTCCCTGGTCGTCTCTAAATCCGACTGGGCTTTGTCCAAATATTGACTTAGCATCTCTTTCTGCTCCTTCTTCCATAACTCCCTAGGATCTTCTATTTGATTATGACCTGAAGATTATTTAATTTTCGTTCTAAAATTAATCTTTATTATCAGTGCACGTCCATAAATACCTTTTAAGTGATTAATATAGTAAATTCCAATGTTTTGATCATAGGCCTTTTCCCAGCCGTACGGCAGTTCACCTTCTTTACAGTCGCTTATATCCTTTGGCTTACTATCCCTTAAAAAAATTGAAAAATGAATTTAGAATAACTTTCAATTCAATTCTACGTAGGCTTTTACCCAGAGAATCGATATAAAATATTTGCATATAAATTGTTCGACAATATACAGCTGTTACTCGGCGTTTGGGCTTATTGGTCAACAGAGAAGGAAATTTATCGTGTTTAACGACGTTTTTAAAGATCATCAATGAAAAAATAAGCAATGAGAGAATTTATGACGAATCGTGATAAGAAAGGAATGCTAACTATCTTATCTTAACTTTAACGCGTATATAATCTCTGGTTATGTTTCTTTTTCGGTCAATACAGGATTGTGGGTGAAAAAAGACATGGTAGCGTGTACTAACTTGTGGTTTTGCAAAATTTAGCTTCGAACAATTACAAACATTCTTAACATTCCGACTGGCGCAATCTACTCGGGCAGATAGCCAATTTTCAAGTATTCAATACAGACTCTTCAATACGTCGCCTTGTTGTACACTTTATTTACAAAATATTTTTCATTGGTCATTCATTGACTAAGAAAAGGACAGAAAACTTTCCATCCTGTTTCTTAAAGGGATTAACACTACATTGTATAGTAAAATAACTCAAGACCCTGCTCCTCCCCCTTTGTTAAAATTAAGCCTGAGTGTATTCTAATAACTAAAAGTAACTTTTTTTGGCTACCATCACTCTCAGAGGGTTGATTTCTTACCTATCTCTTGGATCGACCCAACTCGTCGTCCTGGTATTGTGGTCAATAAAAAATATTTTTCCATCAATATCCGCTTGCCTTTCCCATCCAGGTGGTAAAGGTTTTTCTTCACTCTCTTCTATTATAGAACTAGGCATATCGAGAGCTTATCCTTATTTAGCATATTATTGATTTTTATTCCACTATGTACATTTCAGCGTTCTATTGCAGTCTGAATGGAATACCTTGTATGCGGCTTCCATTATTAGTCACGTGATTGAAAAAAGAACTGGTGATGTCTAAAGCGACACCTTAAGTCTAAGACAAGAATTAAAAATTATGTTTCAAGCCATCTACAGTGTATTTGAATTAAGAATAATCATTACGTTACATGTAATGTTATTTAATATAAGAACGAATCATCAAGATAAAAAGAACAGCTTAAAATTATTAACAAGGTATTATTGCTTTTAAAAAGAATACGCGTATTTTTTCTGTAATTTAGACAGTATTTTCTTTATAGCCTTGTTGATTATCAGGAAAATCTAATAATTTTTTTTGGTGATCTTTTAATATCGGCTTTGTCAATTCAGCGACTCGCTATATTGTAAAAAAGTAAGAAAATTAAATCATATACAAACATAATATAAGTAATATAAAATTTGTCTTGCTTATATAAAAGAGAAATTATATATATATATATATATATCAGTTCGGTATCTATCTTATGAATGACATCATATAAACTCTCTCTCCATCTTTTTATTAAATACCTTCATTAAACTTCCTTCGCTTGAAATAATCTTTACAATAGCAACAATAGGAATCATTATGACTGATAGAGCTGCCAGAGACCAACCAATTGCAATTGCCCATTTTGGATATGTATAGGTTTTATTATACGTCAACTCGGAGTAAGTAACGCAAGCAAGGATGAAAATAGTCTAAAACGTAAAAGGAATAATATGTAAAGTCGGTTATTTGAAACAATAGGATTAATTTCTCTTTGCTTGTACACTTAAAGCCGAAAAAAGTACTTACAAGATCTAATATCGGAGTCACGCTAAACCAAAACCATTTCAATAAGGGTTGAATTCTCCTACCCATCATATATTCAAGATTCATCCAATATCTATTAACACCGTAGACATGGGCGATGGCTACGCATTCGAAAACAGCCACTAGAACGACTATTCTACCTCCAGAATAATAATCGAACAGCTGGAATACGTACATGCCGCCCTATTTGAAAGATATTAGCAAAAAAACTCTCATTTGACATTCTATATCATAGGCTGAAAGTTTTGAATTGTGTTTTAAAGTTAAAATTAAAATAATTACCCGAGTTACCATAGATAAACCAATGAAAAATGATATTATGCATATAACTGCAATAAATATCTCTTTTCTTTTCCCGACTCTTAATTTCTCAGGATATTGATCAACTACAGCTGTTACGAACCCCTCGACCCCGACGAATTGGCTGTCAAGTCCCAGTAGGATAAGCATAATAAAGAAAAAGATACTCCAAACGACGGATCCTGGCATTTCTCCAATTGCTTTCGGATATGCGATAAAGGCTAGTCCTTGAAAAAATTCAACAAATTTTAAAAAATAACTCGAAAATTTATCAAATTCAATTAGCACCAGGTCCGCTTTCGGCAACGTGTTCAATCGGTATCCCATGGGTATGTGACATGAAACCCAGCACTGAAAATATAACGAAGCCTCCTAAGAAAGATGTTCCAGAATTCGTAAGCGCAAAAAGACAACTATCTTTCAGGACATTGTGATGGAAGTCGTTGTAAGAGCCCAAAGCAGTCAAGGTTCCAAGGGATATCGAATAGGAGAAGAATATTTGCGTTCCGGCATCAACCCAAACCTGAATTTCTTTCAGTTTTGACCAGTCTGGTACTATGTAAAACTTTACGCCTTCAAGCGATCCGGGTAATGTAGCACCTCTTATTAATAAGATGAACATAAACAGATAAGGTGCCGGTGCTGTGATATACATAACTTTTCCTGAAGATTTGATACCTTTGCAAATGCAAAGGTAAACAACAATCCAAGCCAACAACAAACATAAGGCTAAATCCCATTTAATTGCTCCCGGTTCATCTATCCCTGATGATATGTTTAAGACTTTTCTCCTGCAAAGTAAATATGGAAAGTAGTCAAATAAGTCTCATTATTCTAGGCAAAAGTCGAAAAGCCAAGGCAAACAACACGCAAAAAAGACTTAGTGCACTCTGATTAGAAGATAGAATACTTATTTACTTCTTAAAAAATTTAGTTAATATAATTACTTTACAATTATCTTTTTGCTTTAATTAATTTATAAAGAGAAAACTAATTTAGTATGCTTATTTAGTGAAAATAAAACTCTATTGATATTCAATAGATGGCCCTAGTGAAACACAGGCAACAGAAACTGATATATATATATATATATATATATAATTTTAGTGATAGATTGCATGTCCTCTTTAACTCATAAAAGGATAAAAAAAATATTTTTTTTGGGCAAATAATAATATAATTGTAAAAAAAATTGATTTTTCAAGATAATCTTTTAATATTTACATGCTAGTTGTTCGATGAACTTTTTATCCTTTTTTCCGAATTGTTTTGTAGGCACGTTTCGTACTTAAACTTAATATCTTTCAATTTTCTATTTTATGCTGATGACGTAACCAAAAGAATTAATTCATTCTCAAGATTATTATCAAGTACCTGACTTCCTTTACGTACATGTTTTCCTTTTTAAACCAGATTAAGTTCGTTGCAATTAATTAACGAGCTGACAGAACGAACGCTTTTTGTTAATCAATATATACAATGCTTTCTATGCATTAGGACGATTTCTCATAGAATTATTCTTTTTTTGTAAAGGAAGCGACACTTTGAAGTAAAAGGATTATAGAACAAAAGTAGCTGCTGACAGAGTTTGGAATAGAAGGAATAACCAATTTGATTTTCGAAAAGATAGCAAGGTTCTTTAATACACTTAGTTCCAAGGATCTCTAAGACAAGATCAACAAGTCATTAGAAGTGCTCCTAGGAAATTTTTTTCTCCTTCTCATTCCATCTTACTTTCTCGATTATTCACTTAGTTAAGCGGGAAACGCTAGTCTTTGAAATATTAAAAAAGACAAGTCTAATTTTCGGCCTAATAGCGACTAATTATCCTAGAAATCAATCAAAATTTCTGTAAGTTCTTATATCTCATAAATAAGCTTAACTTGGAAGGAAGAATACTAGTTAATAAGAAACTTTTGCTTCAATCTAAAAATAGAAAGGAGAGGTGTCGATTGTAACTAAAATAATCTTACTCCCAAAATTCAGTGACAGGATCTACCGAAACTTGGGATCCATTAATTGTGCTATTCGTGCCGTTCTTATAAACACTACAATTGTCTGTGTTCCAATCATTATCGCAGTGAGTCCAAGGTAATCGGCTCGTAAAAGAAGCGAACAGGTAATAAAATGCCCAACAGAGAATTACGTTGTAATAGATGTTTAAAAGAGCCACTATAATCATAGTAGCCACTCCAATACCTGTAATTATGTTATTGTAAAGAGCGGTGACAGAAAAATCAATAATTCAGATACCTTGAAGCAAAGGGCAAATATTCCAACATTTTAGACCTCCTACTCCCATAAATTGACCTAAAGATGCCTCTAGGAAGAACATCGGTATGGCGGCAAAAAATACGCATATGAAATATGGAATTAAAAAGGCGCCTCCACCATTTTTATAACATAAGTATGGAAATCTAAATGGAAAGATCAAAATCGATATCTAAGAAAAGTATGGATTAAATATCAATTAATTTGTATAGCCTTTAAAGCTAGATAATTAATACAGAAATATATATTAATGTATAGGTGAATTGACCTCCAAATATTGCCCAAACCTACGGAAAAACCAATACAAGCAAATAGAAAGTCTATTTTTCGTGTCCATTTCTCTCTTTTCTGAATTTTTTCCTCTGGTAGATTCTCGCTCATTGTTTATCTGTTTTTGTGAAGGAGAAAATCGATTAGATAAGGGTAATTTGGATGTAAAAAACTGTTGTAAATATGTTGAAGCATTTGAGGAAATTTCCCATATTAAGATATTCTTTCAATATTAATATATTTTAATATAACTGTTATAAAAGAGTTACATTTAGTACAAAGTCCATTTATAAAAGTATAAAAGAAACATCTTTGAATTTCCTATTTTATTTAAATTTTGTTTGCCAGATTTTTTTAGAGAGCAAAACCTAACCCTTTTGGTGTGGATCAAGTTTTTTTTTATTTTTTTTGCCAATATCTCTTTTCCCTAGTTTTATTTTTTAAGATAATAAAATTTTAGAAAGTTAAATAAAATCTGTCATGTTTAAGTTTTTCCTGTCATAAAAACTTAAACCTAAATATTAGCAAGTAAGCTTTAAAAGACTTTCATGTAAATTAGGAATGAAGGATATTTAAGTAATTTTTTTCTCTACAAGTACAAGTCTATATATAAATAAAAGACTATAAATCTTACTCTTCATATCGCTCAAAACGGTGTAGTTAGAAAGATGAAATGAAGACGGAAAATTTGCCAATTCCACGATACTAATCATTGATTAATTAAGCAACAGATTAGCTTCTTTTGATCTAGAAACCAATCTTTCCGATACGGCCATAGGCATAGCGAGGAAAGAGCGTTAACGTTGGAAAAATAATATAAATAAGAGAACGAGAAGATAGAGAGGGCAAGAAAAAGGGCTAGGGCAAGCTACAGTGAAAGAGAGGTAGAACGAGAGTGAGAGTGATGGAAAATAAGCGATACACAGATCCACACAACAAGGGAGAGCGAGAGTAAGAGCGAGGGACAGTAAATTTTTCGTATAAAAACGATATAGTGCTATAGCTTTGACATATGACCTAATTTCATCAATTATTCATTTCTAGAAAGACCAACATATTTAAATCTACAAAGAGATATTAGGCGAATAAACGGTTGAGTAATCTATATAAATGAAAGACAGAGAGATTTAGATATATTATGAATATGTATAAGGCTGACTTGTATCTTTTCGCTCAAAGAATATTAAAATTGGCATTTAGAAATAATGTCTACGTTATTAAGCTGATTCATTTAAAGAAAATTATTTCTTTACGTTCCATTTATGTGAACACTATTTCCCTATTTGTTTATTACAGATCCGAATAAGACTAAGCAATACTAGAAACTAGGTGATCAATTTACGAAGGAAGGCAAGAAAGTACCTTGGAAATCACTGGAAAAGGTTGGAATAAATGATGTAGCGGCTGATCGTCGAGTCGTGTCGAAGAACTGGCTATAGAAATAGATGGTGCTGCTTGCATTAAAGAGGATATATTACTTGCAAGCTATCTTTCGACAGGCGCCATCTGTCGTCATTATTAATGAGTAGAATTTCCTATTGACCAATGGTGGAAAATAAGTTTCATATCACTATAGTATTTCCATTTGACATGATTTTTAATTCTTAAAAAAACGACCTGTTTTTAAAGTGGCTTTTAATTTATCATTATATAGAAAATGAAGACTGGCTGCAAAATTTTTACATTTATGTTTCTTGTTTTAACGTAACGAACATAATTGCATAATAGCCTTATATACTCTATTATTAGTAATATTGTAAAAGAGTAATGAAGATGGTAAAAGCATATCTCCATCTTATTTAGAAATCAGTATACCAAGCTATAAAAAACATTGACGAACAGAATATCGTTGATTTTGTTTCCATCCGGAACGAGCAATGATGTAAAGAGATACCCTGTCTTATCGATAATTAAGCAGTCTATAAAATAATTTTAGAGTTATAACAACTAGACTTAATAATAAACATTACGTGTTGATAGTAAGTAAAAACAAAATATTAACATTCAAGATTGAACCACAAAGCGGATATGTTGGCACGAAACTGCAGTGATAGGACTAATCCGGCAAAAACAGATCGCTTTCCAATTATTTTTTAATTACGATATGGTCCATAATAAATTTTTGCTTTCTACATGCCTGAAATTTTAAGGTATGCTAAACCAATTGTCGGAACCTTATTGATAAACAATAAAGAAACAATATAGAAAAAAACATTGATCGACGCTTTCTGCGCAGAAAGAGAAATCCGGTGACGATCTTTTCAGCCTAGTATGTCAAGTAATTTATACCTTTTCTTATATTTCTTTGTATATACACATATATATATATATATTTCTTTATGCTTTTATAGAAAGCTTATGTACATGTAGTTTGTGTATATGTATATACAGTATATATGAGTATTCAATGTTTTTTTTTAAATGTAAAATAGAATGTATAGTTGTTATTTAGTTGCAGATTTATATGTGTACGCATGACAGAGATATGTGCTGTGTAAAGAAGAGTAGAATTAATGGGTAATTTTTATAGATATAATTGGTATATTGTTTTATAAATGACTTTTTATACAATCTCCATTGAGAGAAATGTTACAGAAACATTATCGATAAAAAAAGAACCATACATATTATAATTTATTTGTCAGGTGTAAAACAATAAGGAAAATTTTTGTTAAACAAAGGAAAAAAACATTACTTGTTAATGAAAGAAGCAGATTTCATATGTACAAAAGATATGCATAAACTTATTTAAGAAAGGTACACAGATTAAACATGTTGAGATGTTTATGTTATATTGTATACTGTATATCATATTTTATACATATATATATATATACAATAACATACAATGTAACTTAATATATCATACAATATCATTTTTATCATATCTTTACTTTTAGATGCAAATAATCAGTCCCAAACCATGTAACCAAGATTATTTCTCAAATATACAAAATACGTAACTATATGCAAAGATGATTGGCTTTGATGTGCTTAACAAAAAGAAAGAGAAATCGCAATTGGTATAAAAAGAAGAAAAATCACGAATATAATAATGCACGTCTAACCTGACAAGTACATATGAACATACATACATTTACATAAGGAAAATATGCAGACAATTATTTGTAAATAACATATAGTTAAGAATATTTATCTTTATATATCGTAGAATGAATAGAATTTTCTCTTTTTTACTATTAATAACATTACGCCAAGTCTTTTAAGGCTTTTATAAGGAAAAGCAATTAACAATAAAAATAATATTATTCCCCCTTTTTTTTCAAATACAATTTTTTCAATGGCATAAATTATCAACGTTCTAAAAATCTCTTTCTTGTATCTCTTTCACGGATAAACTATTCTACACCACCTTTTTACACTCTTTTGAAATAACCTAAGGATTTTTATGTATTAGTTATAGTCCTATTCCCGTTATATATCACGTCCGACTGCTGCAAACAACTCTCTACTTCTTCCGCTTGTTCTTCGATTCCGTGATCAACCGAATCGTTTGGTGCTTTACAGCACAAACGTTTCCGGGCGTCCCTAAGGCTAAGAATCGTTAGCGCGGCATTACCGATACCGTGACAATTCGCAAACGTTTGAAGGACTGTACTTATGAGCAAAAAATGCTTGTCCTCCTCATCCTTAATATAGAATGCATAAGTTAAGTATATATCATTGGGTAGCTGCATGGCAAAATGAAGAGCAGTTAAACAAATAGACAATTTCCACCTTGAATACTTCTCTTGAGCTGGTGAGTTAGCCGGAGAATGCTTTCGCAAATATAACACAGTAATTACCACAAATGGAACAACATAAATAACGAGAAGATCAGTGACGGAGAAAATATCTTTGACAAATTTTATGGTATATACTTCAAAACATATTAAACTAGTTTGGTTCCTTTCGTAATCTCCCGGAATCTGAACTAAGTACAATGTATTTAGTACTACTTGCCATACAGCATACGAAGCTCCGAAGAACCATATGAACGAGAGCAGGAACATCGCCCTTCCGCTAATGGTAACAACTGATGAATGGAAAGCCAACAAGAGTACTGTGTGGATAGCTCCCACAACTGTTAACTTTTGAGAGAATTTATAAAGTTTACATGCCATCAAAGTTCCCATGGTAGCTTTTATGGAATATCTTGCAACTAATCCACTTGGAACTGTCACACCCGCCAAGAGAACATGAGCCAAGGAGACTGCACATATTAGAACGCTGTATGTAGATCGAGATTTGCATATTGCTTGAATGATAAGCGAGTTGAAAAAGAATGATACAATGCAGATGACTGAATTGATAATTATAGGCAACTTAGGAGCATAGTGGATAGGATCCGATTCGTTCGCTGACATTTCTCCAAGTCGAATGATCGGAAGCGTCGTCTACCGTTAGAGGACGCTCAGAACAGTAGCATCTAAACTGTCTAGTTTCTGCTCTCTTGCTACGCAGTCAAATTATAAATAAATTAAATTGTCTTTTTTTCTTCCGCTTTTTGCGTGGAAGAAAACTTTAATTTCTCTCGGCTTTTTGCTTTTCAAATAAATACCTGAATTACGAAGCTATAAAAAAAATAAACTACAATATATAAACATGCTTCTCTTTCCTTTCCATTTTGTCCTATTACACTTTATAACAATCATTTTCTCAGTATGAGTCTGTTTGCCTTCCCCTCACTCTTTCTTTCTCTACTTCCCTTTCTTTATCTATCTCTATCTAGCCATCTACCTCCCTATCTATCTATCTATCTTAAGACAAATGTAATCCATATTAGTACTGAGATATTTGCCAATAACATTGACTATAAATCCCAATTTCTTCGTGAAATCTTGAAAATCCCTCTCCGGAAAATAACTGTCTAGCTGACGAGTTTTAATGAAAAAAGAAACAAAATAACGGATTCTTCTATGAACTAGTCTTAAATTGAAAAAAAGAATTATTCATATCATTTCGTTTGAAGTTCATGAAACCTTTTAAAAGAGGATACTTTTATAAGGAAACAATTTCATTTTCGTTCATTTTTCTTTTCTCGTTGCTTATTACAAGAAAGGGGAAAATGCATATGTTTATAATACACATAAGCTTAAAAAGTCATGTATTGTTGTCATATATTAAAGTTTCCTACAAAAATACTAGGAGATAAACTAATTGATAATGAAAAGAGATCTCCTTCAAATAGCTGCTCTTAACTTATTGTTCCTGTTTTTTCGTAATTTTTGTAACTACTTCATTTCCGCTTTTTTTAATTACTTTAATGTAGGGGATCAAATATTATTTTACCTTTTATCTAAACCTTTACTTTTTTCTGCTTTCCCGCACCGTCGAGCAGGTGTGCAATAGGGAGGAAGGATAGAGATAAACAAAATTTTTCTTCTATCTAATAAATCTTAATCCTTTTTCCCTTTCTTGACATTTAATTTATAAAATGATCAAACATTTTTAATAAATATATTATTTTCTTTAAAGCAAAAGCTAAAAATACATAATAAACCTACAGTTTATATAAAATACCTATAAATAACAGTGTGCTGGTAACGGTATATCAATTTACTTTTGTGTACTTTTTTTTCCTTTTTGTTTCTAAACCCCGCTGATTGTCAGCAAGTTGAAGTGCTTAAACTCTGAATTATTTATGTCCAATTTTATAGGGGCTGTTGCTGAAAATATGCTCAATTCCTTCTCAATTAACCATGTAATCATTCATGTGCAAATAAAAGAATCGTCTTTTTTTTTTACCTATATTCGATAACTGTGGCGATAACAAGTATGTTATACTTACTTTGATCAATCTTTTGATCCCATATTTATTCATAAATGTTCGATTTGAACTTGATTTTGCTACGGAATCGGAGAGAAGGTAAATTTTATAATGAAAAAGAAAATTTTTCGATAATTAATATTAATTACTAACCGGGCAAAGAGAATAGTAACATTAAAATTAATCATATTGATTAGAATACAATTTGGTGTATCGAAATAGCTCGTATCGATATGCCGTTGCTATGGACTCAAGTAATTTTCCAATATTAGTATAAACAGTAAAATCAAACGTCTTTCGCAAGGCAAAGTTTATATCACGTCTCATTTTACACCTTGATCCTCCACAAAACTGTGTATTATTTTGCTGAGCGACTTCCCGCATATAACAATATAAAGAGAAAAGAAACGAATTTTTAGAACGGAAGAGAAAGAGAAAGAAAACAAAAGCGAATCTTTACGGCTCACTACGAAAATATTCTGTCATTAATTGCAGTTGGAGTTAAACGTCTTTGGTAAGTATATCTATCTTCTCTGGTTTCCCTCATATGCTAAGTACTTTTCACATTACCAAAAAGAAAAATTAAAGCAGGCAAGTGAGGGAAATATGGAGGAGGACAAGATATTTTGAAAATAGAGTATTTGAAGGCAGTAAATTTGAATTATATATTAAATTATTCAACTATTATGTTGTATTTACATATAAACAATATTTAAGTTCCAATTTTACAAAAGGTCAATCACTTTGGAACACAACGTCTATTTGTACAAGAAATATATATTTCTAAAGAGAGAGATTGTAATATCAATTGAACACGTTACAGTACATGCTTTTCCTATTCGTGCTTAGTACTGAATTGGTAATAGAGGATGAAAGCATTGCTCTTTTACCAGCCTCACAAGACAACGTCCTGTCATAAGTGAACTCTATATCACATAAGATTCTATTAAACTAACTCTTAATGTTATTTATACGTAATTTTGTAAGCTTTTATGGGATTGTAAGAAATCTTTTTCATAATGGACTACTCCTTCTGCTTGATTATAGTTAAATATCAATTGTGGGCCTTTTCTATTTCGCCGTTATTTACAAACCTTTCACTGCTCACTTTATAAAATTTTACAAGTCGATACGAGTTTTACGCGTACAGAATTTAAACCGGTATAGAAGTTTTAATCAATTATTACTCTTTTTAACAAACTCAGTACATTTACAGGAAATGTCTCTTGGAAAACTAAATAAAACAATGATTGGAATACGACCATTGATCGATTCTACACCGCTAATATACTGTAAGAGCTGTTATCATTTGTTTGATAGTCGGATCAAGGAACGTTGCCATCCATGCCTATTTTGTCCCGATTGTCTCAGTTCAACAACGGCGTCAATCTCTACAAACTCAGATGGAAAACCGATTTCTGTTGACGTCAGCGAAGAAGACGACGAGGTTAAGAGGCTTGTTCGGTCGTTCGAAAATCGAGTTACGGCAACTCGATGTGGATTTTGCGCCACTAACGCAAAAAGGTGTCGATTGGTTAAGTTTTGCTACCATTGTAAAAAGTGTTTGTGCTCTAAATGTTCTGATTTGCATGATAACAGTAGTCATTATAGACATCACGCCTCCACTTCTCTTCAGGACAAACGAGGTCTTGTAATGTGATTATAAAATGTTTATAATTTACTTGTTCAATAGATGGAGCAGGCTGCGTCTACTTGCTATATATTTACGCGTTTTTTTAGTAGTTTTGATAAAACTTAGGTATCGCCATCTAGTGGACAACATTCCGATTTAATGTCCTGATTATAAGATTTCAATATGGGGTCTACAAGACTATTTATGAAAGGGTAAATTACCAAAGAAGAAGGATGAAAAATGAAACAAAACATTGAAACTGATGCAACAATCCATTTACAGCATAGCAGGTGGAAAGTGAAAGATGTGCGTGACAATACGCCTTCAAAGCTGAAATCTAACGACGCTAGACGTCTCATAACGGCGTCCTGCTGGTCGAATTATACACGTCCATTGTCATACGAATGAGATGCTCGTTGATATGGCTAATTAACTATCAGGAGGATCTCTGGCACCCCTTTCCGTCGACCTTAACGATAAAATGAGCTGGAAGAAAAGCAACATTGGCGATTGTTCTCAGTGGTTAAAATCTCCGTATAAACTGTCCGGGGATTACTCCCTTTTCAAACGGATGCATGCATGTAAATAATAGGTCGAGTAAATCGTGATTCCCTTTTGAACACTAAAGCCTTTGAACTAGAAGAATCGAAGAAATGGAAGGTTTGAATAATTCAGTATATTGTTCGAACAGCGAACGCTTTGTTCCATCAGCATCTGCCCTCAATATTCTCGTTAAGGTGAATCCCTATATGCAGGTGCATTCTTCTTACATAGTATACATATACATATATATATTTATATACTGTATATATACAGTATAAACAAGTCTTTTATAATTATAGATATTTTTTATTGCCTTCTTTGAGATCGACAGAGCGTATAAAGTAAACATTTCTATATTACTATGTACATAATGACAAACAAAAACAGAATATATACAGTCATTCTATTCAAATTGTTTTTATCTTCTTTCTATATTCACACGTTCACTTCATGAACGCTGGGGAAATGTAATACCGATCCTCCAACTTCTTTCACGTCATTCATATCAACCGTATAACTTCCGGAAGTGGTTGTTGCAGCATCGTCGTCCTCGTCCACACTATTTAATGAAGTATTGTGTAATCTTGAGACGTTTTCTTTTGACAAACGACAAATAGAAGCATTTTTTGCCTCGCAGACAGTCATTTGTTTGTCAATCTGCCTTTGAAGCGATCTTCTAGCGAACGATACAGATTTTTGTTTTGTCGGTGAATCTGTCAGATAAAAAAAGATAATTTTTATACAAATCTCAAACAATTTTCGCCTTGTTAAAAAAAAGGGTGACAATACAGGAAAGAAGTGAGAATTGAGGTAAAAAAAAACTCGCTTTATACACTTTTTCCCTTGTCTAAATACTTACAATTGAAGCTTTGTTCACCCTCTTCACTCGGGCCTCTTCCGCTATCTCCGCTATCGGCATTAGAAAGATTAGCAGAAGACAAGCTGTTATTATCCTCCACACCTTGCTTTACCTAATAAATGGGAAAAAAACAAAGTTGAATTAGAAAAAATTATAGCCCATGAAATTAGCTTTGGATCAAATAGCATGAATAGTTGAAATGATTGTAAGTGATGTATGACTGACATTCTACCTTTGTAGCTGTTGAAACCGAAGAGTTTCAACTTTTGTGTTTACGAAAGACTGACTCCTTTAAGAACCTAGATCAGTCAAAAAATTGTATAATAACCTAAAGGGTCATTAATAATACATTTATCAGATGGACATAAGAAGAAGAATAGAAATAAACTACTTTCAAGCTTCGTCTAACATTGGTAATAATTTATAGTACAATATATTCATTATATATACTTTTATAATTATATTTACAAATAAATTTATTAAAGTGGATTAATCCCGCCTGCATGATAACAAACGCCATTCCATTATGAATGATGCGCCAACAGATTTATACTGTTTTTATTATTCATCTTTTTTTCCCCTTTATAATATTTTAATTAATTTTTAGTTAGCTTTACAGAATATAATCATGTTTCTGTTTTCAAGTAGGACGATCTCAAAGTGAACAAAACTTTGTATTCAACACAGCTGTTCAACGTTGCCATTATCCCATTAAAACGCTATAATAACCAGTTCTTTATAACCCTTCTTGTAAACGAAAAGGTGTCCGATCGTCCCCCTCTTTCTATAGGAAAGCCTACATGAAAGTACTTTGCCGTAAAAGTGTCAGATAGATTGATAATGGCCTATCATATCTAGCCGGAGGCGAATTTTTCCCCCTCTGAGTCTGATACCCCATTCCTTGAATGGAACCGTTCAAATAGAAATATAATAGACGGAATGACAAACGATCGTTTGTCGTAATGGAGTTTGGTAAAGAAGATTGTCAATTTTGTATAGGTTGTTAAATAAATTGCAAATTTCTTATTAACTAAGCTTTATGCTATCTTTACATAAAGTGTGCTTTGCTCAGCAAACGTATGTTCTATCAACAGATGAACTAGAGAATATGAAAGGGGTTATTGAAAGCGTACAACAATGAGGAGTTGACGTTAGCACTTGAAATCCAATTTCGTACGCGATTCTCGAGAGTCGGACAAAACGATGCGCACAAAGGGGGCGGCGGACGTTCTTTGCTGTTTAATGGACCTTTTAGAATAACGACGGCCATTAGTCATTCAAATTTCATCTGTTCTCTCACCGGTACTGTTTAAGTCTACATGATCTAATGAATCAAAAGCATAAATTTCTAAGATGATAGGATTCGTGCAAACTAGACAATTTGAAATCGATTTTTTTTTAATATACAAAAAAAACCAGAGCTTAAATATTCACGTCGATTCAAACTCTTTTTTATTTATCACACATGCTTCGCTCCTCAACAATTCTCATTCTATAAAAAAGTCTATAATAAAAAGTAAACCACAGAAATACTCCTACATTGGCAAGCCAATTAAAATTACTATAATTATAAGAGAAATATATGAAGTGTAAAAACGTCGGTCTTTACAAAGATGACCCTATTATTATACGTTCAGCATGACGTCGCTCTGCAAAGTGTTGACCAACATTTGAAATTTTTCGCACCGACAACTTCTCTTTTCTAGATATAACAACGAATTTACTCAGCGACGTTATATGAATGAGTTGGTAGCCTCTGGCTATATGCTCGTATACACATTATAAAAAAAGAAACTGTGTAGAGTTGAACAGAATAGACGTTTTTAGCTATAAAATATTACTCCTCCTTTTATTTGCTTATTATTTATATACCATATATTTTCCTTTTTATATTCATTTCATTTACAGACAGTTATTACTTGTTATAAGGAATTTAATAAAGAAATTAGTTAAAGAAATTGAAAAGCCTTATATATTGGGTTTCGACTTTCTCTTTAAATAAATTGACACCTGAATGAATGATACAAGGGCCATTTAGAACGTAAATTTGCTCAGCCTTCTAATAACATTCTCTGCGGATAATTTGCAGTTAAATAGCGTCGAAAGTTCTTCTCAGTTTGATATTTCTCTGGGGCAAAGGCACTTCAAGTGAAAGTATTCCGTTTTAAATTATTCTTCAACCGTTTTGTAAATTAAAAAATAAACTTTGTAATAGCTTATAAGAATATAAATAGTAGGGAATGTAAAAAGTTTACTTTCAGAGATTAATAGCCTCAGTTTTTAATTCCACCCTTTTATAACCTTATTGACCCTTTTTTTTACTTAAATGAAATGGAAAACACATTCTTCATTGCTAGAAGCGTTCCCTTTGATTTAAATAGCCGCAAAAGACGGCTCATTAAAAATATTTTTTTCTTCCTTGCCCGCCTCCCTACCCTAAAGAACACGGGAAAGAATCCCTTAAAAACACCTGTTTTCTATTTTTAAAGTTTTCCATCTAAGAGAAAGAAAAAGGGAATTTTTCTTCTGAATAGGCGGAAAGGTAACAGAAAAGGAGAGAATGAGAGAGATTTTTCTCCTTTTCTCCTTTAAAATTTCCAATAGATTAGCCTAAATGCAATCCCGGCGGCCTTGTCAATCGTTAGAAAGGATCCTATTCAAAATTTATCATGCGTCCGACATACCACCGCCTTGACTAACGACCTTCGTCATATGACCTTCAGACCCTCCACGACCGCGTGCAATCGATATTCAAAGAAAAAGAGAGGAGGCTACTGATCCGGAGAGGGTGGGAGAAAACTCGTGTGAGTTTGGATAGTGATATAAACATTAGGAAAAGGTGATAGCGAGAGAAAGAGAGGAGGCAAATAAATAATAAAAAACGCTTCTTGAATAGTAAAATAATTCTGTAGGCGTATGCACGCGGTAAAACTTTTATCCCAGATTAACTCTACAAGAACAGTGCAACACTCGATCGATTCAAGCGCGTCCTTATAACCGGAACAAATCGGTTCAATTTTCAGCTTACGCTTTTCCTATAATATTATAATTAGAAGCTTGGAAATAAACGCCCTTCTCTCGCTCTAAACGCGTGTTGTGGTAAACATTCAAGCTTTTGTATTTATGCTATAACTAATACAAAATTTTCACCTATACTCGTGCACTTGTTTATGAACCCGCTTCATTCATATAGGCCTAAGCGCCAAATATAAAAGAAAAAGGGAGAAGAGAAAAACTGATAAATAGATATAAAAGATAGGTGAAGATATAGTGAAGAAAAAAGCTCGTAATTAAAAAAAGAGAAGTAGCTACCGTTGAGCTCACGCAATTTTCAAATATAAATTTTTTGCTTGTTGAACGATTAAATATAGGCCTAATTGTTTTCTTTAGGTAAATAATTTAACAGAACGTAATAGTGAGAATAATAATAAAAGGAACTTACCTCTTTACAATGACGTAACTGATGATAATAGGAAGATGAGGCATTTCTATTATCGGTTTTCGCATTGTTGATGAAATATTGATGACCATTGGTTAAATGACTAGGATTTAATAGGTTAGACGTTTTCTTCCATTCCGTTTTACCATATGAGTTAGAAGATGACGAGTCGCTTTGAGAAATGGACGTTGTAACATTTTCCTGAACTTCTGGATCATATGTTGCAATGGAGATTTCAGGCGAAGGTGGTTTATTCGATCTTTTCCTCGTCATTATTATAGCACTAATTAAGACTGTAATTAGCAGAACAGAGCATACAACAACTGCAATAATAACGCTAAGATTTTGTCCTTTTAAAAGATCGTTCGATTTAGCAAAGTTTTCGAATGGAATGGATTTGTTGACGATCACGTAAAGGCTCGTTATCTTAGACGTTAATGGAATAATCCCGGAATCTTTCGCTTGAATACGAATTTCAAATACCTCGTATTGAATATCGTCTAATTCTTTGTTCGTTGAAATGCTACCTGTTTCTGAATTAATATCAAAAGGTGCATTTGTCGCCGACTTCAAAAGATGATAGGTTAGATTCGAGTTTCTACCTAAGTCCATGTCGATAGCTTTGACGGACGTTATTTTATGCCCAATTGGAATTTTATTTGATATGCTAACCGAATTGTTAGCTTTCGACGGGAAGAGAAAATGAGGGAAGTTGTCATTAGCGTCTAATACGTCAATTTTAACGTTGACTGAACTCTTATGAGTCGGCATATCTTGCTCCCTGGCAACAACAGTTAATTGATATGCAGCAATTGTTTCTCTGTCCAGATTACCCTTTGTCCATATTCTCCCCGTCAAAGGGTCAATACCAAACTTGTCAGAACGCTCTCTAAACTCGTAAAATATCAGAGATTTTACTTGTGCGTCCTTGTCTTCAGCACTAACAAAACCAATTTCTTTACCAGCTTGAATGTCTTCATCTACCTTGAAATAATAGATTGATTTCGTAAACGCAGGTATTTCGTCATTAACGTCATCCAAGATTATTTCAACCTTACACGAAGATGACAGAACTAGGTCATCATCTTTGTCGCTAGCAATAACAATTATTCTATAAACGTCCTGTCGTTCTCTGTCCAACGGCTTACGTAAGTGCAACATTCCCGTGGTACCATCCATTACGAAATAACTGCTCGGCATTTGCAGCCCATAGGAAACGTTTGAATTACTATCGGCGTCAGTAGCGTGAACTCTCAAAAGGTTCTCTTTTACGATATTTTCTTTTACATGAACAGAATAAATTGGCCTATCGAATACTGGACTATTATCATTCTTGTCTTTGATTCTAACTGTTAAAGATTTTGAAGCCCTTAAGGGGGGTTTCCCGCCGTCCTGACATTCGATTCGTATGTTGTACAGTTCCGTTTCCTCTCTATCCAGAACTTTAGTCGTAATGATTTTATATTGATTACGGACTAAAAAATCCAGAGCGAATGGAGCGGCGTCCGGCTGAAGAGAACACGAAACGCTTCCTTCAGCCCCTTTATCCCCATCCGCAACGGAAATATGAGCTACGAATTCTCCTGTCGTAGTATTTTCAAACACCTGCCCAACTCCGTCATCGGTCATTGCATTTACCGTTATCTTAGGGCTATGGGCGTTCGTGTCTAGCACATTAACTTTGACCACAGCTTGACCGCTTAATCCTGAATCTTTGGCTAATATAGTTAGAGAGTAATAACTTCTCTCCTCAAAGTTCAGACGCCTCTTCAAATATAATTCTCCTTTCTGGCCATTAACTCCAAAGGTGCTAGCGTGCTTATTTGATACAGTACTCAGAGAATAGGTTATCTTTCCATTATCTCCTACGTCCTTATCACTCGCCCTAACGGTTAAGAAGGGCTCATTAATTTCGCTATTTTCTGAGAGGTACACCTGGTAGGTTGAATTATCAAAGACGGGAGGGTGGTCGTTAGCGTCGTCAATGATAATTTCTAGAATTGCCTTTCCGGGATTATTGTTAGTGGCTGCGTCGTAGGCAATTAACTCAAGGGTATATTTATCCCTTTTTTCTCTGTCCAGCTCTCGATTAACTTTCAATTGAAGAACATCGGCGGTTCTATATAGTTCAAAAGCATTATTAGGCGATCGCAAATCATAGCGGCCAACCCCGTATTGAGGGCTATCCGGATCGTTGGCGGGCGTTAAATCGATAGCTTTCATGGTATGTTCCAAAACATTTAATCTATAAACGACAGCGTCGAAAGACGGCCTATTGTCATTCAAGTCTTTGATGAGAATGTACAGCTGAACAACTCGAAATATGCTTTTCGGCTGGATACCAACGTCAACTTCGATCGAACAGGATACAGCACCTGGACAAATTTCATCTCGGTCAATTCTACTCCGCACTCTAACAATACCATTTGAACTAATTGAAAATAAGTGCGAATAATCTCTTTGAGATTTAGGTAAGAATTCAAACCACAGTGTTTTTAACTGTTCATTCGTAAAGGTTGAGCCAACTTGAGCATCTTGAAAGACGTTACAGATAGTTTTATTAATTGCAATTTCTTCGAGAATTTCATAATTGAGTTTTGAATTCAACGACGCAGAGACGCTGGTATATAGAGTAGAGAGAAGAAGGAAACGAACACAATACATGATCGAACGCATCAGAGAATCGAAGACGGAATATCCTCTCGTAGAACGCTTATGTAATTTCAAGAGCGTCACCGGTCCTTTTCCAACATTGACACCTTTCTCCTGAAAGTTGTAGAGTTAGTTTAAGTTTGTTTTAATTGTACACCTAAGCATATAATCTAATTATTTATCGCATACATTTATTAACAAGAAAAGAAAGGAAAGAGTTTACGCGCTAATAGAATCATGGAGTGAACGGGACGGGAGCAATTAATGTCTCTGCTAAAGACAATAGGATCAATTAGTACAAAACAAGCTTATGGGAGCAAGGCTGGAAATTTTTCTACTTTGGTGACAATAGCTTGAGGGCCGAAATTGGAGATCGATGAATAAACAATATCTATCAATAGAAGAGCATGCAGCTAACACGTTTCGCATTGAACGTCAAACTGACCGCAAAATCTGCAATTATCTCAACTTACAAAAAAGAAAGAAAAAACAGTCTCGTGCCAAAATTATCTGTGGAAAATATAGAAAGAGTTCGCATCCTTTTGCTAAAAAGGGTCATTAATTTTAAATAAACTGAACTTTTAACAACCCCTAAACGTTTTTTGTTATACAATTTCTGAAAGTTTGCCAAGCTTAGGTGGGTTATAAACGTTCAAATTTTATGGACGTTCGGACAGTAAAAGGTGTGAGAAATTGCGCTACGAATTGTTCACGGGTCCCTAACTCAATGTCCTTTGAAGTTACAAAACTCCCCTTTACTCTCTTCTCTTAATCGGCACGTTCCTACATCGATCTACTAAACATTTTTAATATATTGTAAATGTACAAGCAGAGACGCGTTCATATTCAAAACTGTAAGGGATTTTGTATTGTTTTTAAAACGCCTCCATTCCCACGTGTGTCGTTTCTTCCGTCAGCCAAATGTATAATTAAAATAAACACTTTCAAATGTGCTAGCCCGTGTATATGCACGTGTTGAGAATATGAAATGTAATTTTATGTTGGAAGTATACTATATGACAAATATTGAGCATTGTATATATGCATGGCTAACCATTCATGGAAAAAGGTTCTATCTCGTTTATCATGAGTATGATAAATGTCTTTAGAGAAAGTTGGCGTCGAAACTAGATCATACATTAAAAAGGAAATTTTATATTTAAGATATTTAAGTAGAGGCGGCAGACGAATCCGTTAGACAAAAAATGCATATCCGCGAAGCAAACGAAATATATAGTTACATAATCTAATTCTTAAGCAAACTTACCAGTCGATTGAAATTTCAATTCCTCGATTATTTAGAAAATATTCCCTCTTTGTAGGCTGGAAATATTTCAAATATAAGTTGCAGATAAATGCTCTGGGTAAATGTAGTTGTTGAAAAATTAGTCTTCTCGAAATAGAACACAAATAGTGCAATTAAATAAAATGCCAAAAATGATTTTTCAGAAAATGCGTATGCCTTCTCCAACTTTTCAATACAGAATGGCTGTTTCGCTTACAGCGTTTGAACGTTTGGTAAAATTGTGAAAGCTGATTCGTTGAGCAGTTGACTAATGACTGAGCCTCTAGGGTGTCACGTGACAGATATGAGAAGGAGGAGGGGGGGTTCCAAGTAACAAAGCTTTTTCAGTGGGGTGGGTAAGAGGGACATTTGACCACTGCTCCTGTCGTCTACTATTCCTGTGAAGTTCGTCAGTTTGGTCAGTGTCGTTAAAAGTCAAAGACAATAGATGACTTTAACAATTATGAACAATCGTATGAGCGTTGACAGCCACTACCCTCTACAGGGGGTTCTTTTCGTAGCCCGCCCTCCCGCCGTAGGCGACCGCTCGTTTTTTTAAACAGATTGCCAACTTCATTACTTGACAGGTTATGACGTAACAGATCGATCGTAACGTAAAACATATACGTTAGTTGGCCTCATATTGTTATGTATTTGATTAATGTCCTGTCGTTTTTCTATACTGGAAGCTCGTTTATTTGCCATCAACAGTCAGCTGTGTATTTAGGGCAGACGACGAATAATTAACTGCTTTCAATAAATTATCGAAATCGATTAGGCATTTGTCATTTTAAAAAGCGAAACCTCTTGAAAGAGAAAGCCGAGACGGAGAGTTTCAGGTATTAGTAAGAAATAAATAAAGAAAAGAAGTAAGGTGCGACTGTTTTTATTCAAAGCAGCCGCTCATTCACTACGGCGAAAACGTTCCATTTCAGCTGTAACAATATTTAGAATGTTTTTGCCAAATCGCGTCCATAAAAGTAAGCTCGCTTGAGGTTAAAGGTTGGAGGCGGCCGGGATGGACGTTCGATATATGATGGATCAATTAGGGTTAGGGGAATGTTTATAAAAATAACAAAGTATCGCACATAGAAGGTCTGCAACTCTGGACACACATATGCACGTATAAAATATACATAAATACATCACGTGCATGTGCCATAAGAGGAATAAATTTGCAATAAAAATTCGTTCTACTCTATCGACCCTCAATACACTTTCTCATCTCTGTGAATTCAACCAACTGAACATAAAGTTTAGTAATAAAACGGAATTACAAACGTCCCTTGCGGACTAAAGGTCTATAGTTTTAAGTCACGTGGTAGTAGCTTACATAATCAAGAAATCGTTCCATCTGTCTACGGTAAGTTATCCTGACACGGTGTCTGATTTCGAGTCAATTGCAATAAGGCTAATGAGCGCTTAGTATTAAGAGAGACGCTAAGACCGTATATTTTGACTAATTATTTCGAATTAACACACCTGGACGAATTTAACACCCGTTTAAAATCTATCAAACTTTAAGCATTGATGGTCACCTCGATAAGGTTTCAAATTTCTCATAAGCCTTTAAACCGATATTAGGTCGTTTTCAACGCTAAGAATTTGATCTCTACTCTGCAACTAATTTGCATATAATCTCTTGATAACTTTAATCCGCTAATGCGACAAAACAAACGAACAACAATCGAAAAATGCAGCAACAAACAGCTACTGCACCGCTGTAAAGCGACGCAAAGGATTAGATTGTTTACAAGAGCTTCCAACTGTCACAAGGCAACAGGACCCCGCTCCCGAACGCGTTCCTTCCATATGTATATACACGCGCGTAAGAGTTATACACGAAGTAGACAAAGACGAGACAGAACCTCTTTATTCTACGCCTCCCAGTTCTCACACAGCTTGCCTTGAGTAAACGAATTCGGTTAGATGATCGGTCGATAAGGGGCGCATCTGTTCTGTCTTATAAACTCTTAAGCGTCGATCCTCATTCCCATCGGTGGCCACTTGTCGAAAGAACGATGACTTCACCCCCGACCTCTTCAATAGTTTACGCTTACCTGTCATATACGGTCGTTTGACTATTTGATTAATAGTTTACCTTTAGCCTCTGTCATAATTCCCATCTCGATAATCTAATCAGAGCTATTTGAACACCTCTACAAAATAAGTACAGGTAATCAAGGGACGAAAGGGATTCAACAGCCTCACAGTTGGATGTCCGATAACGATCCAGAGGCGCCAACGGCATTTCTCTTTCCTAACACCCTAAATATAAAAATGCATTAAAAAGTATAAAAGAGAGGAGGAATAATAGGAAGGTACGAAAGATAAGAGGAAGAAATTTAAAGTTCATTCTTCCGCTTTCTCCTAGTGGACGGTAAAATGAAAAGATCACAAAAAACTAAACAGAAGCCTGTTACATCATAAAAGAAAAACAAAAGCGATAAGAAAAAGGACAGACTTTTAATTAACTACACGAGCGGTGAAATCGTAATTTCACCTTATAACCGTTACTCCATACTAAGAATTTCCTCTTTTTTTAATACTGTATACTATATATGAGATTAATTTCAATCATATATAATAGTCTATGCAATTTATAACTAAATTCCCGTCGCTCAAACCTTTTTTTCACAACAATTTCCAAAATAGAACGTACACAGGTTAAGAGGCGAGTAAATTAAAGCGTAGACGAACAGCAAACAAGACGAGTGTTTGATAGAGACGGTGGCCCCCTTCCCCTTCTAAAGGGCTCAGTAACTCGAGTGTATGTGTACGGAGAGTATTCGGTCCTATTCGGTTCTTTGATCTACTCGTCGCAGCTGTGGCGGACGCTACGTTCACCGTCCTACTATTATGCAACATACCAAAGAGTGAACCGCAAATTAATTTTGCTTAAAAACGTGCCGACTCAACTCGAAGTCGCGCGTGCGTGAAAATGCCTCTCTTTAATATAATGGGAAGATTTACATATTATGCCATTCTCCTCCCTCCGCCTATTCTATTTTTAAGAAAGGAACTCGTTCCGCATTCGATTTTTTTCAACCGTTAAAAATTTCAAATGAATCCTCATTTCCGTCACGACAAACGGTTGTTTGTCCATATGAGGCAAAAGTGTGTATGGAACGAATTTAAATAAAAAAAACCAGTAAAAAAACCGATTTAGCTTATCAGAAAGGATAAGGTAAATGTTTACGCGTAAGGCATTTGATGTGACTTTTCCTTGCCTCCGGCTATTGAAAAAATTCACCACTGGTCACGTCTAAGGTCGAGCTGCGTGTAATAAATCACCGTTGTAAAATTTCCCATGACTAGAAGAGCATATAACGGCAATAACGGCACGAGCCGTCGTTTGTTTTTAAATCGATTTGCTACGCTTTCGCTAGTATGTTGTATACAGTATACATACTAATTAATATGCATGAGTGAACTGGTAATTCACCTTTGCGCTCGTATAAGCGTTTGTATTTATTCCTCTTACCTTTTACCATATAGTAATCGTATCGCTTTCGGCATCACTTTCACTAATTTGCATGCTTATCGTTCTAGTCAAAAGTTTTGAATCTAAAAAGCGTTCAATTTGGCGATATCACGTTGCGCTTTTTGGTAAAAAAAATTCTTAAGAGTTTTCAAGATTTAACTATGGTCTTTTCTTGTTTTTTTCCCTATTCAAGCCCTATACGATATCTATCTTCAATCAGAAGGAAAAACTCGTTCAAATGCTTACATATGGCGGGGCATTTTTCCTTTTTATTACCGCATTCTTTGAATCGGTCTTTCTTCCCATTCTCCTCCCCTTTAATAATTGATTTCCTCTACAATCGGTCGCGAGCAATTTTCGAAAGTGTCACAGATAACAAAAGTCGGAGATCGAGATCCGAATAAATACTAACCGCCCCACTTTTCACTGTCCAATGCCGCTTTGTAATTATTCGTAGGCAAAAAGCAATTAAAATACGCGGGACCGCCGTCCTAACATTCCCCAATCTATTTGCACCTAAGCGACCTTTGGTAAACGTGAAGAGATGTCAGTAATGTTGAATAGTACTTAGATAATAATTGATTTAATTGCTATACAATTTATTGCTTAATTTAGTCCTGAAAGAATCTCTAGAGGGTAGTCAGTCCCAAATATATTATCTAGGTGAAATCTTATAAAAATAATGAAAGAATTAACAATACCGTGTGGACGAAGTAACTATGCATCTATATATAATAGCGTTTATACAATTTGACATAAAAAAAACAGGAAAGAAAAATATCGTATCACGCGAAGAAGTAGGCTGAAGTAAGTTTATTCCTATAATCATCTCGGCAGATGTTTGCGGCTATACAATAAAATATTAGAATTATCTCTGTTAGACGCGTTTAATTACCTTCACTTCGAATCGGAGGTAGGTCGGAACCTTTTCGCTCCGATAAATCTCACCTTTAACGATATTACAAACGTATCGTATAACGGTAACGGCTGCAAAAAGTGTTATAATAAAGTCATTCGGTATCGATTGCCAAATCAATTGAAAATACCGAAATATTATATCTAAACCGTTTTTTGTGTATTATTCTCCTATTTGCAATTGTTACTCAAAGAAAAGAGGGGAGGAGTTTGTAATGAATACAATATGAACTCTTAAAAGATTACTTTGAGAGGGTAACGGAAAAAAATACCTATTAAACGTTAACGGAACTTTACAACCCTGTCCTAATCGTTCAAGCCATCTGCTTTTTATAGAATGGGTAGTGACCCTGTCGCTTTCGGCTATTAGCTTTTTCCGGTTGGCCGTAATGATCCCTTAATTAGAGTACTCAGTCAAAAATTATCTCAATCCACCAAAACAACATTCGAGAAATAGAGCGTACTTGTTAATAGCCGTCTACATATTGTTTGCTAATCGTACTAGTCAGTTTTATTATCATGCTATTAGCCTCAACCGGATATTTATCAAAGAAGGGCAAGGTAAAAATTGTGATAGGGAAAATTTTTATATACAGCAGATACATATTTATAATAAGGTCTTTGTTACTTAGTATTTGTAAGAGTTCTTTAATTAAAAAGATGGGTTTGAAAAGGTGAAAGGAGCTTCATCTGGTAAATTACTATAACAACGTCCCAGCGTTGAAAGAAGGGTGATTGAATTTCTTGACCAGCTTTTATAATGTTAGCGTGGGATATGGCCCTAATTTCATGTCTGCACGGGTAAAGCTGTATAATCTCCAAAATAGAGTACTTTCTTACCCTTTCATTTTCGAAATTATACTCCACGAAACCAAACTTTCCTTCACTTTTGTTGGCGTAAAGTTCAAGCATTCAGATGAGTAATCGTTGAGGGAACAAATAAAGATTCCGCTTTAATTAAACCCATCCGGTCTAGAATACGGTAATTGAATAGTTAGCATGTAATGAAGGCTTGAGTCCACTTTACCGTAAGGATTCCAAGGCGTTGCTCGGTTAGCCGACATCCGGAAGCAGCCTATAAGACATCCTGTTTTGGGGGAGGGTTGGCGTGACCAACCCTAAACCCACATGAAATATGGTGCGGGTGACGTTTCCAAGTAGGAAAGCCATCAGAAAAAGTGCATATGTTTGCCCTTCAAAATTACATCCGCTTTAGCGGCTCTCATTGTCTTCTTTTAATAAACTCCTAATTACTTGCAAAACGGATAAAGAACTGCCTACTCGGACACTTAGTTATGCGTTGAGTTGCGCAATTAAACGAAAGATTGTTGAAACAATGGATAATGAGCGGCGCCCCTTTAATTAAGTGTAAAGTAGGCCAGTAGAATGGAATGTTTACATATCATTACACGCAAGTGTTTAGAAAGGAGCGAAGCTTTGCCATTTTATGCAATTCTACCTTCATATATTGACGAAACTGCTATCATTTTCTAACCTTATTGAATTTTTTTGTTGACAATGAAAATTATACGTAAAGTGTTTGAACACTTCTGTCTAATCTTTTTCGCTCCATTTAACCTCTATAACAAGTTTTATTATTATTATTATTCAACAGAAGGAGAAGATAAAAAAATGAAAAGATTTTTTTTTAGGAATAAGCCAATAAATTCTCTTGTTCAAATGTATTCAAATATTTCAAATTTATAAAGTTTAACGAATCATATGACGCGTCGTTGACATCGGTATAGTAAATTGTATACTAAAGAATAATCCGTTGACTAAATATCTAGTTTGTTCGCTAATTTGTTTACCTGTCGAAACGTAAGACGAAATGTTTTCGAAACAATTAACGATCTCTACCTTGTTGTATACACATCGTATGTATATTTCAGGCTACTGACAGATGGATTTAGATAACCATTGTTCAATTCAATTTCTACGTGCCTGAAACGAATGTACGGTTTGTACGTGTACGTACACGAAAGGCCACCTATCGTTCATAGAGACTTCTATCATCGGAAATATTTTTAGAACATAGATGGCGCTCTACAACGAATATTACATTATAATTTAGATAAAAGGTTTGTTGTATAAGGTATCATATCTAACTACTATTTCATTTACTACTATGCTTATTAAAGTCTAAAAATATGAAATTTGCTGATTGAGTATTTTCCGCATGGAATTGAAAGGAAGATTAACTGAACGTACATATATCCACACAGTCATTGTTTAATTGAATCACTATCTAAATTTTGAACGATGTTCGATTTAAAAAGATCATATGATTTAATATTCTAAATGTAATTAAAAAAGTAGTGAAACTTTCAACTATTGAGATTTATAAGAAAAGGAAGAGCAAACAACAACTGTTCTAAGTTGTTTTTGGCTGCCTATCCCTTTCCCTAAAGCTCGTTTTTATTTTAAATTGTTAAGATAAATATAAATAGAACGTAGTGAAGGAATGGAAAACTAGATGGAGCGTAAGAAACTTAGAAGCTATGACATGTAAAAGAAGAAGAAAGTCTCTGTAGAATATTAAAAGAATCCGTTACGATTATTATACTATGTCAATACATATATTTCTTACGTATATACGAATACGACAACGCACGTGCTTAATGGGTTGTACCTTCTTCAAAAAAATAATTATGAAATTTCTTTTGCTTTTACAAACAGTCTTTCTTCGTTTACTGTATATAAACAATGGGAGGCTGTTGTTGGTATTGTGCTTTTACCATTATTACATGCGTAGAATTTATTCAATTGACAGAGTTGGATCATGCGATTTAACACAACTTATTTTTCTCTGACGCTTCTTTAATCTTATTTAATATTTAAGTTGGTTAGGACTAATTTGAAAGATATATTTCAACACCACCTACTTTCATTTAGAGTCGCTTTTCATTGACTCTTTATTTATTTATTTCTCTCTTCCTCCGTTGTCCATTCCCACTCTATTCCCTATTCCTTTCCTTTTTTTCCATTTCTCTTTTCTGCTTGTTATTGTGCCAACTGGTGTGCGTGTCTGTCTGTCTGTCTCTCTCGCTCTCTTTCCCCTCCCTCCCTCTATCTATATATCGCCGTTTCGCTCTCACGTTCCACACAGCGCCGCCTCAATAGTCGTACTCATTTTCGAACGCTGCTATCGACGGTCAGGATTTTACCTTGGTTTGAAAAAAGAAAGGAATGTTTGCTTATAGATTATTGATAGGTCATCAATATGCTCTGTTCTTCCTCTGTTTCGGACCATTCAGCTGTGTTGGAAAAGCATCTGATTGTTGTTCAAACTCAAATGTGTCTGAAAGGACTCGAAATGGTTTATTAAAAGTGAATATAGGGGGATTATTTGAACTTGAAAATTCAACATCTAAACCAGAGTTTATAGCTGCAAATCTAGCAATCGATCATGTGAATAAAGGAGGATTCGTACCTGGGATTCGATTATCCTTATTCGAGAATGATACGAAGGTATAGAGAAGAGGGAATTGTGTTTACTTTGACGCACAGTCGCTTTGAATATTTTATGAAATAACTATATACATCAATATCCATCGATATCTAATAACGAATTTCAGTGTTGTATTACAAAACAAAGCATTCTTAAATCGCTTTGAATATATAGGATTATTAAGTATATTTAAAATATGAACAAAAAACCATTTATCTCTTCAAATGCATATTTCTCCTCTATATTGTATATATAATTTATTTAATTGCATAATTTCGTATTCTTAATTAACAGTGTGACCCCGGACGAGGAGCTGATGCCTTCTACGATTTTATGTACAAAAAACCAAAATTGTTCTTTCTAGTTGGAACAAAGTGTTCGGAGGTTGCTAAAGCTCTTGCTGAAATTGTACCCTACTGGAATTTGCTATTTGTACATATAAGTCTTTGATCTAAAAATAAATTAAATTTATTAATAAAAAATATATAGAAATACATGTAACTAACTTCTAAAATAGTTAAATGTCAAGGTTTTCTTGGCCTTTTGCAGATTTCCTACGGAGCGGTTTCACCAGCTTTAAGTGACCGGGAAAAATACCCAACATTCTTCCGTACAGCAGCAGCAGACTCTTCTCATAATGATGCTAGAATTCAATTTTTTAGAAATTTTAATTGGAGTACATTTGCAACAATTCATCAAGACCAAGAAATTTTCTCTCTGGTAAGATTTTACTCATTGGTATCTAGTTAAAGTTTATTATTTATCTTTATTTATGTCTTCATACTGTTTCCTCATTAGTTTATCTTTGTCATCAACTATTTTTTATTCCTACAATTTCTTTCTTTCATATCCACCCATTCAATTATCCACTTCTCTTTTACTCTCTTTGTCATTGTCGTCTCTGTCTTACTTTGTCGGCGTCTCTTTCTTTCTCTCTCTCTCTCTTTCGTTCTCTATCTCAAACGCACTCTTGCTGTTTATTAGCATACGAAACTAATTTACATTAACGACTTCACTTTATTACCCCTCTTCCTTAATTTCATCTTCTTAGGGGAGTGATTTTTTCAATATCTATTTACATACTATGATTTTTCTTATAATATATATTAGGCAATTAATGATCTTACGAGAGCTTTAGAAAAAGCGAATATGACTATTGAAATGGCAACTACTTTCCGGGGAACAGGATCAGATGTCAGTGTCAAAATGAACATGTTGAAGGTTTTATAAATAATGTATTAGATTTAACAAAAATTACGCAATTATATTGTTTCATTATTAGGAGGCCGATGCGAGAATTATCATAGGATCTTTTCAGGAGGATGCTGCAAGACAAGTATTCTGTGAGGTTTGTAGCTTTCCCCTATCTACTTAAGTCCAAACTTAAATTAAAAAAAGATTATCTTTTTGATTAGGCTTATAAACTTGGATTACATAGTCCACGCTATATTTGGGTTTTACATGGTTGGTATTCTCCTTCATGGTGGAAAGACCCAAAGGGAACTACTTGTAAAAGTGAAGAACTTTTAATAGCTGTAGATGGTTATATCAGCGTCGACAGCGTCTCAGTTTTTCGGGATGCGCAAACTTCTGACAAGGGAATTTCTGGATTAACTGCAGACGAATTTGCCACATTACTAGCTAAGGAAACAAATCAAATTCCATCAATACACGCTCCACTAGCTTATGATGCCATATGGGCTTTAGCCTATGTTTTACGAAAATATCAATTAAATAGATATATACCAAAATTGAGCGATTTTAACTATTCAACTAAAAATGGCTCTGAAATTGTCGCACTCCTTTCAAATCTCCTGTCAAACCTTGAATTTACTGGAGTATCGGTTAGTTTTCGTAGCTTGATACTTAATGTCTTAGTTTCATTTTCGTAAGAGCTTAATTTTTTTTTACGACGGCTTAAAGTATATAAGTTAATAAAAATTCAAATTAAGTAGAAAGATTTAATTGAGCTATTGACGAGAAATGGGATTACCAATATATTCTCGTTATTTTTAGGGCCCAGTTTCCTTTCATGGATCAGATAGGCAGGGCGTAAGCGTTTTGGAGCAAAATCAACGAGGTATGAAGAGAATAGTTGCTTTATTCTATCCAGAAAAGAATAGTCTTGATTTTAATTGTAAATCCTGTAAACAGATTTACTGGAAGAATGGAAAGGTTAAAGTGTAGAATAAATCTTGTCGTGCGTTTTAATTAACCTTTGACATAATCAGGTTCCAAAAGATAAGAAAATGGTAATTACGCAAGCTCAACGAATTGATGAGGATACCTTCATAGCCGTCTGCGTTATATCTATATTTGGAATTACGGTTGCTATATCATTTCTCATCTTTAATTTATATTACAGGAAATTAAAGTAAATAAAATCTATTATTAGTTTCAATAGCTAAGATGCTACTTATAAATATTCTACTAGTTTTCATTGTCTTATTAAACAGATACATAAAATTATCTAGCCCTAAGTTGAACGATATGGCACTGATTGGTTGTATTCTGGTTTATACGTCTGTAATACTATTTGGCCTAGATGATGGTAACGTTAAGGAGGAACATTTTGCGGTAATTTGTTCGGTAAGTCCAATCATTTGTGTTTAAGGCAAGAAGATGAAGGAAACGCTCTTTTGTATTTGTATTTCTTGTTTTCTTTTTCTTTACAGTCTAGAGCATTTTTGCTTGCAGCCGGTTTCTCGGCAGCATTTGGCGCAATGTTTACGAAAACTTACAGAGTTCACGAGATTTTTACGAGAGCTCACAGTGGCATTATTAGAAGCAAGGTAATTAATCATTAGCCTACTTTTAATTATTTCCTATTGAATTTTGCTGTAAATAAAGAAAGCTGAGATATAATTTACAGTTTATTTAAATATTCCTATATTATTCATTCTTCATTAATGTAAATACCATTTCGTTTGTCTTCTTTTATCCTTTTCTTCTGTTTTACTGATCTCTAAAATAAAAGAAATTATTATTTACAGTTGCTCAAAGATAAACAGCTATTGACTATAATCAGCGCTTTGCTGTTCATCGATTGCGCAATTATATTATTATGGGTGGCTGTCGATCCAATGAAACGGAGAACAAATAATTTCACAAAAGAGGTAGTATTATGTAAAATCGGTAGTTTTCTTTTGATTTGTTTATTGATTCTATTTTTAAGAAAGTTTGCTATTTTAAAATATTTCTTCCATTTTTTAATCAAAATAGTCTGATGACGGTGATGTGACCTATATATACAAGATTTCGCATTGTGACAGTGAACATTCAGATACTTGGCTAGGGGCTCTTTATGCATACAAAGGCGCCTTATTAATATTTGGAGTCTATATGGCTTGGGAGACGAGACACGTAAAGATTCCTGCTCTCAATGATTCTCATTATATAGGTATGAACGTCTACAACGTCGTTCTCACTAGTGCAATAGTCGTGGCTCTTTCTAGTATTTTGGCCGATAGGTAAGTACTCTTTATGTACAGCCTTCCGCTGATGAAGAGAATTTTAATTAAGATATGGACATTTTTTCACTAACATAAATTGCCGCAGGCCTACTCTTTGTTATGCCGTAGTTAGCGGACTAATTGTTGTATCTACTACCTCTTCTCTTGCTCTTCTCTTCTTACCGAAGGTTAGTTTGCCTTTTTGCAGTTGTATTATATCTATTCTATTGGAAGAGAACCAGTAAAATTTATCTTTACAATGATAAGGCTTATTAAGAATGAGAAATAGTAATTGTATACTGCAAAGTAAATAATATCAATTAAAGTAAATGTCAAATATTTTACTTATGTTATAAATGAGTAAAATTCTGGAAACTATTGAAAATTCCTTGTAAATGCCTTTACAGATCTATGCAATAGTTAAACACAACGGAAATCCAGTTATCGTATCGACTGGAATAACGGTTGAGGCAAACACCAGGCGTTTCGTAGTAGAAGACAAACGGGAAGTTTATTACCGAGCTCAAGTACAAAATCGCGTTTATAAACGCCAATTAGCCGAGGTTTTATATATTTTTCTTTTATTTTACTTTCTTCCATACTTACAAATTTCCTTTATGCCTGCCCATTAGCAATATTATTTTAATATACCCTTTTAGCTGGATCAAGAAATAATACATCTACAAGATCTGCTCTCCATTTCTGTTCCACCTGTGGGTCCTCTATCTGAAGATTTACTAGCTCTTTTGCCTATTGGGGAAGGCGAAAGCAGGGATGAGAATCAGTGCATGATAAGAGATTATGAACTAGAAAGAATCGAAAAGCGGGGAGAGACTAGTAAATTTTTGCGCAAATTTTCTGTAGCAACTCTTTTAGATAAGAACAATTGGTTATCTAATCAAGGAACTTGCAGTTTAGACGAGAATCGACGAAAATCAGAATGTTTTTATTCAAGTAACGTAGAAGATTTCCTAAAAGAGTGCCAAGATATCATAAAAAATAGGGATTACCGCGAAAATACACCAACGAGCTCAGTCAGAGGGATTTCTGAATCAAAAGAAGACGAAAGTTCTCTATGACTAATCTACATTCTCTGTATTTTCTCTGTATCAGTCTATTGACTTACATTTTTTGTTTCTTTTCTTAATATTTCTTTTTTTTTTCTTTTTTTTTTTTTACAAAAAACATACACTAAAAAGTTTATATTTGTAAAGCGTGCATAGAGTAGTGATTAGGAGCAGTCTTCTCCTCGATATATCGAAAAGGAGATCTACCCGCAATAGGTTTTTGAACGATTGGTCTAAGAATCGGTTGTTCCGGTGATCGAATTGACTTTTTTATAAAAACGGGCCCTTGCTCGAATGATAAATCTCTTTTCGGATTTGTTAATGAACTCTGTTGGAATTTAACAAAATCCGAGTGTAAATCTACCCAATCCTTCACTAAATTTGCTTCTTTTTCGATCGCTTCTACATCGATTGGTCCTTTTTCATAAGTAGGCCTATCATTCATCTCCTTTCGGCCCATTTCCGTGCTTGTCGAACTGGGTGATATATTGTCGAAAGCACTATCCCGATTCGGTGATATATCTTTGCCTTTAAAATCATTCTTGGAATTGTCATTAATTTCTCTTTTACTTTGAGTATTTCGTGAATTATTTCGATTAAAGGTAACACGGCTATAATCGTTGGCATTCGTTTCAGCGGTAGGTGGCGCTTTCGATCGCCTTTGGCGAGACTTTCCTAAGTATTGGTGGAAATATAATCGGTCAGTGAGATCCCGGATAGTGGCATCTTTCTGAAAAATAAGATTATATATATTCTTGTTCTATGCTAATTACCCTTCAAGAAGATTAACTAGTATTTTGCAACTACCTGTTTAATGGTTCTATTTAAATTCTCTATTTCTTGGCTGAGCATCTCTTCAGCATACATGTCCATATTATTTCCACTGCCTGAGCAACACATGAACCAGGGTTTATCATTGGCCTGAGTCCTACGTAATGATTCAGTAAATAACAATCTGTTCGCATCGCTCGCTGTTCCTTGTGATCTTTGCTTTCGTGTTAAGTAAAGCTAAAAGTATAAAAGTTTTCAATTATATATTTCTTATTTATTTTCCCTTTCTATATTTTGTTTGGAAAAAAATCAAACCTTAGGAATGAAAGCTAAAGATAATGTAGAAACGCAACCGGACCAAGCTATTAAGCTTCCGATTGCGTACTTTATTGATGAACCAACACTGTCAGCTAACATTAATGGAACAGCAATTATACCCAGGATAACAACAGCGATGATTAGAGCAAAAATTTCTTTAGCATCTTTTAAAGTTGGCAATGTAACGTGACGAGTTTTCCAAGTTGCCATTGATCCGATTATTAATTGAATTAATTTGTATGCATAGATTAGACATATCCATAAAATTTGTAATGATGATCTACAATCTACAATCTGACGAATTTCATCCAAGAAATTTTCCGTCTATAAAGAAAATTCCTTGTATTATATATTTTTTTAAACATTAGCACGTGTGTTTACCTTGTAGCTCTTTCCCAGCAACTTTGCCTCACATTTAATAGGATCAGCAAGAATCCAAGGTAACAAAATAATCAAATCGATAACTAAAAATGCGCAAACGGAAATCACGAGATGTTCGTCACGCGCCGTCTATAATCAATTATAGGTAAACGACGTTAAGCATCAATAATTTTTTTACAACTAAAAAAGAGAACATTACCTTTCCATTGAAATTTATATTCTTAAATATTAAGTAAACACGCCAAGCCTTGGAGAATAAAGAGCAATAGACGATTGTAAATGAGCATGATAATAGAAATATTCCTGAAAAATGCTTGCTTATACTTTTTGGGATAACGTTAGAAAATTTTAATAAGCCTATTGACATTTTAAAAATAGAGCTTTACCTGTACTAATACATTTTTCCATTACATGGAAACTAACTAATTTAGTATCAATTCCAAATAGAACAAATGATATATTAGCTATAATTACCCCAATACAAATTATCACATTTATATTGGGACTTGTCATCTTGATCATTCTAGATAGGTGGATAAAGGAAATAAATTACTATACAATTGCTAACTCCATCTAGTGGTTACACAATATATATATGCAAATATATATATATATATATAAAGTATACATAATCTAAATTAATGGCTTACTTGTCATTTCGCCACATAAGAATAAAAGTTATTATAACTATGGCGTAAAGAATGCAAATGAACATCAAAGCTGTCATAATGATAAAAAGTGCTAAAGGTATGCCGTCAATTACTATTTTCTTTTCGGTGGTTGCTGGCTCCTTTAATAAGCCTGTTAAAAAAATTAGAATATAAAAAAACCTTAAATAGAATAGGAAATTTTTTCATCCTTTTATACCAGAATGCGCTATTAATTTTAAATTGTGTTCATATTTTCCAACAATCCTTATCCCTTCTTCGGTAATTTCGTATATTGATGAATTAATTATTCTTTTATTATCGTTTCCAAATTCCAATCGACCAGTTAGACCTTCCATAGTATTTGTTTGAATAATCAATGAAAAATTTGATAAGAATTGCTTTCTCGGCAGAGAATTATCCAGGGTCTGCATTCTAATTAGAGCATTTCCAGTAACAAGAGCAGCGTCGAAGGCGTAAAAGGCATCTCTTTCGATGATGTTAGTTAGTTTATCATTAAACTTTTTCATTAAGCTTCTTTTAAGCTTTTCAGCCGACTATATGAAAAAGAAAGTGCAAAAAGAATGGCACAACGGGCTCTTGAATATTTAAATTAAAAATAGCGTTGACAGATGGGAAACTTACGTTGTTGCTCTTAAAGTTCTCCTTTGCTACTACTAATATGCTATTTGTGACCTTTTTACCTTCACAAAGGAATAAATTAACTCTTTTTTCTAAATTAACTACTACGCTCGGAATAATCCATATATTTCTTCTAGGTATAAGGTCACGCTTTATTGTACAAGCTAAGTTCGAGAGTAAATGATCCCTTACGAAAACAAGAATAGGCCTAGTATTTGTATCCTGTTAAAGAAAAAAAAAAGTTTATAATTGGTATTAAGCTGATATTATTGTTATTGTTTGATTTAGTAATAATTACATGAATTGCTTGAATAGTGGAGTTTACGTTCCAAAAAACAGATACTTGTACAAGAAGCCCATTTTTTATGAGATAATCCTTTATTTGGTAGATAAATTTTAAATGAAAATCGTCATACAATAGCCAAACAGAATTCCATTGATTTTCTGCGAGAAGAGCCGTTACAGAGTTTAAAATATTCAAAACGTTTATTCCAGTAGAGAAGAGGTTTTTATGCCCTCTGGTAATCGTTGAATGAATCGTGATTTGGGGTAGTATATTTTGAAAAAATCCTATATTAGGGTCATGACCCTGACAAAAATCCCCTAAAAGAATCTTTTGACCTGAAGAGGAAGAAGAAGAAGAAGAAGAGGGCGTAGAATAGTAGGACAGGGCTGATTCTTGTAATTTAATTAATTCCTCTTGAGTATTGAAACACTGTAGAATACGAACTTATTTAGCAGATAGTTATCGATTGATTTATTGATTGATTTTCATTCAATTTAAAAGAAGGAAAATAAAAAAAGAATCAAGCATAATTAACGTTAGAGCGTGGGAGTTTATCTTTATTTTGATTTTAATTTAGTTGATATATTATGAGAGAATATACGGTTTACAGTATATTATACAATTTAATGCATATTTACACTATAATTGTGTATATATCTATAAGGAGACCTCAAAAAGGGAATATATATATATATATATATATATATATAAGTGTATATATAAAGATTCTTATAATAAAAATATGTGAATATAAAATAAATATAAAAATGAAAAGGTTGAAGAAATGATAATAAAAGTATATAAATAAAGAAATAAATCTTACTCGGGTATCAATAAAGTTCCAAACGATGCCGCCATAACTTGAATTTAATAAACCCAAGTATTCGAATGCGTGAAGAATACCCTCCCTTTGAGCCTCTCCATTGATTCCCTTCTCCCCGGACAACGGTAGGAGAATAGTGATATTAGAATTTATAGTCACCGATAAATTGGCACTATAGGTGGCGAGTAATAAACTGAGAAGTATTCTGTTCGCCATCGCGTTGTATCCTAGACTGTCTGAAGGTGGAACATTGACTCTTTTATTTTTAAATGTTAAAAATAAATAAATAAATTGAATTGTAATGAATAAGAATAGTCGTGAGAAACTCTTACAACGCCCGATACGTGTTTATTTACCTGGTGACCAGACGCAAGCAACTATAAATGTAATCAATATTCGTTCCACTACTTTATAATAGCGCCCTAGCTGCCATTTTAGGATATATTTAAACATACAATTAAGGTGTATAATTAGGGCTTATCGTATTTGTTTTTCATTAAACGTGCTACGGAATTTCATGTAGGCTCAAAATTTCCAATAAGAATGCTCTTGACAATCGTTTATATATACAACTTTTATACAGGGGATTTCTTTTTTTAATTAAAAGCGCTTTGTACGAAAGGCAAAATCCGACAAAATATTTGCCTTAATGTTAATTATTCAAGTGTCTGCTTAACAAAAATTATCAAAGGCTCCGTCGTTTCAAGTTAGGTGTATTGATCCTTTAAGTCATTTACATTTAGCGCTTCCATAGAGTTTTTTTTTTCTTTTTTCCCTCTATTCTCATGTGACTAATCTATTTGTGTAATTAGACAGGTTCTAAATGGATTTTTAACCTTCCTTCATCAATCTCTATCTGTCTTTTCTCCGCAGTTTTTCATCTCTCTTCCTGACTAGTTCCGCTATTGCTCTTAACCTGTCGCAATCTTTCTGTCTGTCTGTCTGTCTCTCTCTCTCTCTCTCTCTCTCTCATTCTAGTTCACAAGAATACAAATTATTTAATTACTTTGAAAGGATACTACAGAATGTAAATTGACAATAATTTTCATTCTTAATCATTCAACAACTAACGTTAATACACTGCTAAAGCACTTACCTTTCTTTATCTTTCTTCTTCCTTCCCTTTGTCTAATCGAAGGGGATTTTTTTTGACTAATCTACAATTTCCATTGATTTTTTTTGTTTTTTTGTGCCGGTTTTATCGCTTATTTAAATTGTGATTTTTCCTTCACCTACAAAAAATCTTTCTATATATCTGTTCTATAAATCTTTCTCCTCTTATCAAAACTTTCTATCTTTCTATTTTCATTCAGTTATTCAGTTATTTGAATATCTTCTGATTTCTCATTAGCCTTGTCGATCGGCTTCTGAATCCAGGTTAAGACAGGCACGAACAGTATCTTTCTCACACTTAATTACAACGATTGACTTTCTGTTTGTTTGTTCAGGCGAAAGCTTGAACAGTATCGAAGTTGCTTATCGCGCAAGTTGCAACTTGATTGAATAATCATATTCCTAACTGGCCGATAGGAGGCGGAAAAAAAGGCTAAAGAAGTTTTTTTTATATTTTTGACAACCAGATGGCGATAGTATCAAGTACTTTTGCTGATTGAGCTATAGATGAACATAGTCCCATAAAAACTACAAACTGTATTGTGCATCTCAGCTGTTGCAGAAATTATAGCTTTAGTAATAAATTTAATGGAAGCTACCAGGAAAAAAAATTGATGAAAATACTATTAGAATTATTGCATTTATATAGAAAATGCTATAAAACAAGTAAAATTTCAACAAGAAAGAACTGTAAGTAAGTAGAAGCTGAGAATTTTCATTAGTAGGGAGTATTATTAGAATATAATAAAACTAAAATCACTTAATCAATGAATATAATGATTTCGCAGAAAAGAATTTTCTTCATGTTCAGCTTTCGAACAACTTTGTCTCTACTTATAGCCTATGTATTGCTTGTAAATAATCTTGGAGAGTTTAATGGCTGTTTTAAGGATACCCTATTCACTAGGCAGCAAATAGCTGAGAGGAAGTGAGTTTTTTCCAATTATCAATAGAAATACTACATGCAACCTGATTTATCAACTATAATAGAATATGAACATTACATATAGTGTACATGTAGTTGTGCACATTTATAAACATATTTCTATGTATAAAAGCACCAGTAACAAAGAAAGAAACAATGATAAGAGAAAAATCGTAAAAAATAATAACAACCATGCACATGGTGTAGTCATTTATTTAACTATAATTGATTTCTATTCAGCTCATTTCTTTATTTATCAATAAGTTTTTTTTATGTTGCTGAATATATATTGGAGGTTTCGTTTCTTTCTATCTTTATTTTCATTCCTTCCAACTTTCTTCTACCAGTTAATTATCTATTATAAATAATATTTATACTTGTTTACTGTTTATACCAACATTAATATTAATAATCATCATCAAGGCTTTAATACTTAATAATATTTAGTGAATTATAAATATTTTATAAATTGTTTAGCAAACTTTTCTTCCTTAACTTAAGATAGTAAAATCTTTATCTTGTAAACTTTTCCAAAGATTACTGCTTTTAGCAGATGATACAATCCTAAAATGTTCGATTGAGAGAGAAAGATTTACAGTTTACTTAGGTTTCATCTACTATTAAAGTTTTCGAATGTTACAGCAAATATCTAGGTAAAAATATTTCAACAGAGGCGTATAACTATCAATGGCCTGTCTAAGTGTAGCCTTTTCAAAAAGAGAAAACAATTTTAGGATTAAATTGAGCAATTGATAAAAAGCTTAAAAAACACGAAAATCTTATTATTTCAATTTATTAGACTCTCAATTGAATCTTATCTTTTTTTTATCCTACTATAGTGACTCGGTAAAAATAATTTTGGATAAAGCCAATCCATATATAAGACCTATGACAAATGGTAAAGTATATAATTAAAGTATATCATGAAACTGTATATTCTGTGTGTATTGTATGAATTTTTCATTTCCAATCCTTTCTTAATTATCTTTAAACTTCTTATTAAAACTGTCTCTCCATCACTCTCTCCCTCTCTCTCTCTCTCTCTCTCTCTCATCTAATGTCAGCCACGCTTTCACCACACAGGAACACCGACAAGAGTAATTTGCGATATCTACGTGAATAGTTTCGATTCTATCTCGGTTGATAACATGGCAAGTTATTTTTCATTTCTTGATATCCTTATCTGTGTAAAGAAAGAGAGTTATTAATTTCAAATATTTATACATCAAGATAAATTCAAAGTAACTGGCTTCTTTTTCCTTTTTTCTCTCTACATACTGCTCAATTATTCTTTCTTTCTCAAAGTTAATTCACTGTTTGCTCTGTAAGGTTTTAAATAATTGATGAATAAAAACTGAACAAAGGACCATTTATCAGCATTTTTTATCAGGGAAATGGTTAATGATGGTGAATAGTATAAAAATAACTCTAACAAAGAAGTTAAAGTACCAATTATATATAAATATTGAAATTCTGAGTATACTACATTATATATTAAGAGCAGTGCAAGCAAATTAATACTGGTTCCATATCAACTCTGTCGATATTTTGTTATATTATACAGCATATAGTGTATAAAAAAGTATCCTTATAAGTTACAGTTACAAACTAACATGTCAGTAATGATAAAAGGTAATAGGAAACAAAAAAAGAGAGAAAGTTAAATTAAATATTACTCAAATATCTTTCAATATTTCTTATTTTATATTTTACTTTAGGATTTCATTGTTAATGTTCATCTGAGACAAAGTTGGGAAGATCCACGATTGAAGTTTTCATCCAGGGGTTTAAATGTTACAAAAATGTCTTTAAATAGTCATTTATTGGGTAATATTTGGGTACCAGATCTTTTTTTCCCGAACGAAAAGGAAAGTAATTCACACTGCGTAACTGTTCCTAATCGACTTATAAGAATCTATGAGAACGGAACTGTTTTATACGCTTCAAGGTTTGAGAGGTCAACAAGGTTGAAATTCCTTCAAACTTTTAACATCTTTATCTCTTCCAATAGGTTTACTTTAAAAAATTCTTGTCATATGGATTTACAATACTTCCCATTCGATAATCAAAAGTGCTATTTAAAGTTGGAAAGCTGTAAGTACATATATGTTTACAGATAGGCCTATTGGAATGTTAAATAATTGCAGAAGCCTGTAAACTATTTTAGCTAAAGTAAAACTCTTCTTTAGATAAATACAGCCTATCTAGAGTATAGAAACTATATATATTTATATTATTTAACAATATATAATCCTTTCTATTTTTATTCATTAGTTGGATATTCTTCTGAAGAACTTCAATTCCATTGGCGAGATTCTAATCCGGTACAGATGAACACAGATCTAGAATTACCTCAATTTGACTTAATTAGCTATTCTACCGATGAATGCCACAAGTCTTATATAACGGGTAAAGAGATTTTATTTATTAATATCTTTATATCAAAAAACTGTGATATAGACAAAGGCAACGTAAATATTAACAATTTAACATTTACCAGGTGATTTCACTTGCTTACGAGTAAAATTTAATCTAAGACGTCATTTTGGATACTATTTGATACAAAACTTCATTCCATCTTGTCTTATTGTTGTCCTCTCGTGGGTATCATTTTGGATTAATATCGATGCTGTTCCTGCCAGAATTTCAGTTGGAGTATTGACTGTTTTAACAATGACAGTAGATATATTTTTTTAAATAATATAACAGTATATTTAATTTAATTCTAATAAGATTGATACGGAAAGAGGATTATTTATCTTCTCTTATTTTAATTTATTTTATTTTTTCATTAAATCTAGACACAGAGCGTTGGAGTTTGGATGTCTCTTCCAAGAGTATCCTATGTCAAAGCTATTGATATTTGGATGTCTACCTGCGTTATGTTTGTCTTTATGGCTATGCTAGAATTTGCAGTTGTCAATACACTGGCAAGAAAGGAAATAAGAAAACTAAGCAAAAGAGCGTATGATACCTACAAAAGAGAAAATATTCCTAACGACTTGGTATGTTTTAGCGTAAAATATATCTAGGTTATGAATATAAAAAAATTAATGCTTGTTTATATAAAAGAGCTCTGTCTATATGATTTATGGAATTATATAGTTTACGTTTCTCCTTTTACTGGTGTAGATCAAAAGATTATTGGACGAGTATGCTTATGGTACTACTAAAAAGGACAAAAATAGCCGACAGATGGCGCGAACCGTCGATAAACTTTCTAGGAGACTGTTTCCGTTCTTATTTGTGGCTTTTAATGTCGTTTACTGGTGCGTGTTCCTTTTGACTTGAAAGTGTCTTTTTTTTTATTATCATAAAGGAAATAACAGCTGTTTAATAGTTATGCAAAAAATTACACCTTATTTGAGATAAGACTACTATATAAACTCGACTGCCTAATAAAATATTTTGCGTTTAACGTCTTTCGTCAAGTTATAGTAGTAGTAGAGAATTCTACACAATGCAAATATACCTTTTGATCACCGTTTTTTCATTAGCAGGTATAAGTCTATGCGTCTACTTTTTTAATTAAAACTCTTCTTTCCTGTCTTTTCACTGTCTTCGCATTTATTTTGTTTTGTTTTACAAATACAAATTAGAACGGGAAGTTATAATTATTAATAAAAAAAAAATATTACAGCCGCTTCTCAACAACGTATTATCAATGGTGACATATCAGCTAAGGGTAGGCATCCTTGGCAAGTATCTTTACAAAGGAGAAACGACGAAGGAGAATTTAGGCATTCTTGTGGAGCGTCTGTAATAACGAACCGATGGATTTTAACTGCAGCTCATTGTGTCATGCTTAACGAACATCCTGGAAACTATTCTGTGAAGATAGGAATGTTTAACAGAACCGCTAATGATTTTGAGCAGTGGCTTGCTGTAGAAAAAATAATTGAGGTAAGTCTCGTCTTATTATTATTCTTTTCGAATGACACCGTCCTTTCTCTTTATCTTTTTTTTTTTGTTCCTCGCAATATTAGCGTTGTTTATTTTACAGCACGAAAACTTTACTTTAACCTTCCTTACTGGCTTACCAGACGATATTGCTCTAATTAAAACGACTGAAGATATTGATCTCGGAAACGAATTCATATCTTCAATTCAACTAGCCGAACCAGGAAGTTCCTGGGTTAACAACAGTAATTGTTATATATCAGGCTGGGGAAGAGATGGTAAGTAATTCTAAAAATACCATTCGAAAGTTAATATTAAGAAATGTAAAGTATCAGCTTCTTCCGTTTTATACACCTATTGTATTCATTTCTTTTCTCTTCGCCCACGGCAGACAGAGAGACGTATATACCAGCTCCAGTACTTCGAGAGAAAAACATTCCAGTATTATCTAATAAAGAGTGTTCCAGAAGATACGATGAATCTATAATTGGACAGGTAATTCCAATTTTACCAGCACACGTTTGCATGGGAGGTGACGACTTAGATCCGGATGTCCACGCTTGTCACGTAGGTAGCATATATATTTCCTGTATCATTTTTTAAGCTTGTCTTTTTTTTTTATTTTATTCAACAGGGTGACTCTGGAGGTCCTCTTTCCTGCGAAAGAAACGGTGAATGGTTTCTAGTTGGTGTTGCTAGCCGTACGGGTTCCCCTGATTGTTCCGATTTGCCTTCCGTTTACATCAGAGTTCCCCACCATTACAAATGGATTTTAGAAACAATGGCAGAGAATTAAATAAGGAAATAACTATGCATTATACATAATAAATATACTAGTTATATTAAATAGAATTATATAGTGTATAGATAAATAAATACAAATAAACAATGTCTCTAATATAAAAAGAAAGCAATCTTTTCCAATATTAAGAGAGAATATATGCTCTAGAGGTAAAATATAGAAATATATATACACTATCTAAGGTATATGGCATATATATTGTATATAGTGTATAGATTATATCGTAGCATCTTGGCTTATATCTATTCCAGCTGTAAATGTATTTGTTTGTGTATTTGTATGACATTACTTACAGTTATATTTCTAGTTTAAAAGAAAATGTATTTATAAATCATATAATAAGCGTATGGTATAATTATATTCAAGTGTTTATAAATATATCGTATACTATACTTATACATTTACAGTATATATATACATATATATATATATATATACAATATAACAATATATAATATTATAATTATATTACATACACAGTATATATAGATATACATGTTTACTTATATTTCACTTATTAGAAGTCGAGTTTGAATAGTGTAATAAACGACAACGGTTCTGTGTAATTAAGAATTGATTGTCGTTCTAACTGCTTATGTACTTTTAACTAGTGAACGTAATTCTTCCGTGAATAAAGGTCAAAGGAAAATAACACCTGCATGTCAGTTTAGAAGAGGATGTTCCTGGATTATTTGATGAGAAACGACAACTTAAGGTCAATTTGACTATTTTTGCTTCAGGCATTATTCTCGTCTTTGTTTTTACTTGGATAAACTGCTTCCATAATACGGGAAACGATAGAGGCTTGTTCTAACGTCGCTCACGGACGTTAATTTGCATTTTCATATAGACAATCGAATCGAGTGTCGACTAGCTCATAGTAGTAGAGATTTTTTTTTTTAATTTTATAGTAGTCGCTAATTTATTAATTAGTATTCAGTGGTTTCTTTAAAAGCATATCGTAGAAGGAAATTTGCCCGACAGCGAAAGACTATTTGGTGGCGTTAAATTGCCTCCTGAACTATAGGTGGCGCTGATTTGGAAACGGGCTCCATATAAAAACCCAGAGTGCGCAAAATAAATGGTCACATGTGCTTACGAATCTGTTCTGTAAGTCTCATCATGGATAGTACGCTTGTTTGACTAAGTATAACAACTGCCCTCAAATTTTTCGTTACGTATATGAAGGATATAAATCAATAGCTATATTATTTAATTTATGTTATAATCTCCTAAATCGAAAGTTAAAAGGTGTACAACAGTGTCTGTGATACCAATAAACATATTGTTCGTGTACTTGTTTCAACTATCTATTCACGTTTATATTTCATAAACCTGTGCATATACATATATATACATATATATATATATATATATTTATATATAATTATACTTTCTACATATGTTAGACATTTAAACATGTCTAAATTTCGAATGAAAGAAGAAATATAATAAATACTGATATATGTATATATATATGTATATACATTTATATTTATTATTCTAAATTGAAAGTCTAATACGTGCATATAAAGATATAAATCTCTTTAATTACTTAGAAGTATACATATATATATATATATATAATATATATATATAAACACGTACAGTTAATCGCTAAAAAAAGATTTATAACTTTATACGTAGTCTATGTCTTCATTTATATATGTGTGAAAATCTTGCAGCACGTTTTAATTGTTTCTCAAAACCATAGAAATGTAAATTTATATGAATTGATCTATATACATTTATATAAATATATATATATATATATTTATATATACTATATACTATATACTATATACTATATATATATATATATATATATATTATATATATATATATATATATATGGTATATATTCTAATACATACATATATGTATATGCATGTATGTATTTATACAAATACATATATGACAAAATCTTTATATATATACACTTAGGTAGATAGATAGAAAGACATAGACATACCTATGCTATATATATATATAAATATAATACACATAATATAGGTGTAAAAGTTTATATCTTGCTATCCTGATTCATCTCTTCAAGTATATATATTGACATATATACATATACATAGATATACATAGATATATAAATATATATGTGTATATATACATATATATATATATATATATATATTTATATATATATTTTTATATATGTATATATATATATGTATGTATATATATATATAAATATATATATTTATATACATTCATATACCTATACACGTATAAAGTCATTGACAATCTTTGGTGGCGCTCCATTCGGATACTCTAACTCAGCGACTTTTTTCGTGATGATTAGCACCAGAGTATAAAATAATAATAACATAATAAGAACGGATAATAAATATAAGATGTTCGTAAGGCGAGGAACAGTCGTACGAAAAAACAGAGGTAGAGGTAGAGGAGCAGCTCATCCCAGCTTGAGAAGAACTCAAATTAATAGAACAAGTTCTAAATCGACGTTATCTACAAGGAATAGTAATCTGCAGGCTGAAGATAGTGATGAAGACGAGGAGAATGACCTACAAAGGCGTGCAACTCATGTATTTTCTACTCAAAACGTAAGCAGAGTGGAATTTAATTTAGAGGAGTCTCCGTCCAGTTCCCAACCTCTGCAAACTCAAAATAATCCTAGACGCGCTCAGCGAAGGCAGTCTTCCTTCTCCAGCGCTGCAAGTCAAATTTTGCAGTCTATTGGCTCTGTGAAAGCCTCTCCACATTCTGGTCATCACTCAACAATACGATATACTTCGAATGGAACGTCTCAGGCTGCGCTTTATTATAGTCTGAAAAAGTTACAGGTAAGCCTACACCAATTAGCCTTTTCAGACCTCCTTAAGAAAGCAACTTTCTTCCTAATTTCCAAAAGAAATCCTATTTTCGACCCATAGATAATATGTTGTATGTAATTTTATTTGAAGTCAGGCCAACTATACACTGTAAGACGTATACGTATTTAGAATACGCTGTATAACGTAAAAACAATCGATAGACGGCGTAAAAATATATGAAATTGCGCGTCAACGCGAGACGTTTCTCGCACCTAGTCGAGCGTATTCTTTGCAGGATTTTAGTGAAGGAAGCCATCAAAACGGTGAACGTTTGGACGTTAAGAAGCCAGAGATAGGCGTCGCCGTCGCTTCGTACGTCTTGACCCAGAGTCTATTTAGACCGGAAGTTAAGCATACGCAAAATTTTTTTTCTTCTCCTACCTTTATTCGCGCTAATGGGCGAGCGCGTGCTTCGTCACTAATTACTTATCAAACGATCGACTTTCATCTTCGAGGCGGAAAAATCATGTTACTCTGTAAACTTTAACACCTTAGCCTTGGTTGAAAAGAAATATTAATATTTACTTTTATGGTCTTTAAGGGGAACTAAGAACGGTGAAGATGCTTTTCCTTTACATCGTACTGTAGCACAATACCGTTTTCCTATTACTTAATTATATTAAAGTTTCTTATATACGCAATATCATCTACTTATTCCATTTATTTATTTAATATAAGGCAACACGTAGTGACTGGCGTCGAAATTGATTGTTCAAAGCGTCACCAACACAATTGACAGGTGCTTCCTAATCATCTAGTCAATGTATCACTATAATGATGTCGGTAACGACCACTGCAGTAATCACTCGACCGTTAGTCTTCCTCGCGTCGTTGGCTTTTATACATTCGACAGCGAAGATCAAAAAAAAAACGACCAGCGGACATAAAGCCAGAGGATTAGATCGGCTAAAGTTTTTTTAGACTTTTATATGAAGGCGTTTTAACGCCTTACTTAACATACTCTAGGAAACTATACGCGATCTATAGAACGTCAAAACTAGCTTGCATAAACGCAAACAATGTTCTTGTTTGTCGGTTTATGCGTATAACGCTAACTGAAGCCGCTTTGTTACTAAAAAAAACTAATTCCTCTTTCAAAGTCTAAATACTACGTTGACTGTTATACATTTATATGTATGCATATGATATATACATTTATTACAAACACACTGAAAGTGTGCAAAGTATAGAATTTATATAAAAGATTCTATCCATGTCGCAACTTGTATAAATTATAGTCTTACCGGAACTAGGTAACCCTAACCATGACCTTATATAAATGGCTGTAAAGGCATAAAGAAAGTAAAGTATTTAGTATTTTCTCATTTCCAACATGGATCTTTTACTAACTAAATATGTAATATATAATGCAGTACTAAATATACTTAATACAAAAGAATGTACAGCAGGGGCTGTAACGACGAGTAATTATAGATGGCCTTTCTAGAAACAAAGTTTCCTCCTTTCTCTTTACATAAAACAGGGGCTTTTACCTGCGCTCCAAATTCTTCCATCACTTTTCTTTCATCAAAATAATTCTAATTATGTAGGTGGAGGATAATTAATACCGGATCGCGAAACCTTATAGTAGCGCGTGCGCTTTCTTTCTATCTTGCTAGATATGATCCTTCAGAGGTACAAATAATTAATTTTTCAACAGTCTTTTAAAAGAACTTCCGACCGATGTATATAGTCTTACCTTTTTCTTATTCTATATATATATTAATATATATATATAAATATATACAGCATATATATGTATTAAGTCTTTTATTCCATCAAGGATGAGAAAGTTATAGAAATGGATTTAGATTAAGATTTCTCTTTTCATCTAAAATTGCTTAAATTGTTAAAGGAACCATTCTTTCTCATATATATAAACCTGGCCCGTCATAGTCGAAATGGTCCCTTTGATATTGCACCCAAACAGCTTAATAAAATTAAGTGTTAATAAACCTATTGAGACGTTTCACGGAGCATCTGCTCAGCTTTTCCATGATGACTCCGTGTATGATTTGGATAAGAGTCGTTAATCTGTTTTTTCTTCTTGCTTTTCATCTTTTATCCTCATATTTCATAGTCCTATGAAAGGCGCCTCTTATCTCGTATCGTTGCGCCATCTATCGTCTATAATAATTGCCACTGTACTGTCCCCACAACATTTAAGGCTTTGTACCAATCATCGATATTTATGCGAAATGATGATTCAACAAAAAAAACATCTCTAAAAAACTGACAAATGTCGATTATAGTTAATTATAGATAAATCTTACAAATTATTCTGAAGTCAATGGATATCAGAAGTATGCGAGAGAGAATAGGCGGTTTTATATATCTAGAATTGTCATCGTGTAGTAATGGTCGATCTGCCTTCGTGTTTGGGTCAAATGGGGAAAGTGATAGCAAAAAAGTTTAGTAAATGCGGGGACGACGTGGTCTGACTCGAGCAGTTTTACCTGTCGATTTTCATAAGCGTCTAACAGAGAGAAAATTAAGTGAGTTTAACGAAGCGGACTGTTCTTAATCTAACTGAGCAAAATGGATTTGCACTGTAAAATTGAGTGAAAATTCCAACCGGGTCGAATAACCTCTATTAAGGAATAAAAATAAAAGAGTGATGAAAAAAGAATCATAGTATGAAATATCCCACACATTTTTTGTTCATTGATCGGATTCTACGGCGTTTGTAAAATAGTAGCTAACTAGATTACAAGTCAATCGTTAAAAGGGGGAACGAAAAAAAAACTTCAAAAGAACAGACCGTTATAACAGTAACGCCCGCACACCAGTGACGCCAATTGGATCAATGCCGCCGCCAGGTCATTTCTAGTCGAACGCTTGGAAGGAGAGCATTGAAGTTATGCACAATCCTGCTTATGAATTTGATGGAGAGGAAAACATGGAAAAAAAGGAAAAGAAAGTATCAAAACCAACGGAGGCTACTCCAATAGTTAAAAGACAACCACCTCCGCGTGAGCAGAGTCGAGATGCAGGCATGATGTTATATAACCTCTCAGGATGGGTTAAAGAAAACAAGGAACGAGTCTTAAAGGAGCAACGCCGTAAGCAAATGTTAAGATCTAAGAGTGTTAAGGTTCGTATACCAAGACAAAAAAAAAAGAGAATTCGAGGATGAAAAGCAATCAACAAATTACTTAAAGGTGGATTAAAGCACCTGAACATGAAAAATGTTACGCCAGGGACTATGGAGCTTATTGCTAATTGCTGTTTTGTCAGTAAATGCAATAAAGCCAGTCTATTATTATAAAACCTTTCAGCAGGTCGATCGTATATACGGCCGGATTGATACTGATGAAATTCAGCGGAAGTTAATAAAATAATAATAAAAAAAATAACTGAAATAACCGACATAACATGATTTAGACTGACAGAAATAGTAGCGAGAGATAGGAGCTAAAACAAGACGCAACTAAATAGTCAGTTAAATAAGGAAGACACAGAAAAGGCATATAGCAGGGAAACGATAGAAGAGAGACACACAGAAACAGAGAGAGAGAGAGAAAACGACAGAAGGGGAGATGGAGAGAGAGAGAGAGAAAGAGGGAAAAAAAGATAATTTAAATCCAGATACGTTTCCTCGGCTTGGCCTTAGTTTTCCTTTCTCTATTTTTTTGATCTTACCAGCTGCCAGTTCAAATTTTTTTTCGCTATATATTTTTATTCTTACATTAGACCCGTTTTCGTGAGCCTTTTATTATTAATGAATAATGATGAAGGAAATTATTTGTAGGATCAATTACAAGTTGTATTAGACATTCTTTTCCCCTCTTTAGTCCGTAAAGAAAAAATGATTACATAATCAGCAAAAGAAATATCTGTGAAAAAAAAATACATCAGTGCAAATCCCGTACTCTTTTCTCCACTTATAGATCGATAAGGACATCTTGATTGGCCGACCAATTATCCGACTTAATTGGATACAATTTTTACCTTTTACAGAAAAAATCAAGGGAAAGCAGAGAAGTCATCCGTTCGATATTCGTTCATTACACATTTTCTCGCTCCCCTATGACTTTCTGTCACGTATTAAAATATATAGACTTGAAACTCATATATCGTATAATGTATGTTATAAGTAGGTAAAGAGGGATAGGATTAGATGTTGTATGACGCTTCCCAAACATGTAATATATTTATCTATATATTCTTATTTCATACGTGTAAGAAACATATATACTAATATATATATATGTGTGTGTGCGTGTATATATATGTATATATGTTATAAACGATAGATGCACAGTTCAACTTATATCTAAGACTACAACACTTAAGACGTACATGTAGATACACGCCTTCATTTTATAGTTATCTATACTGCATTGCACTGTACTTTATACAAAAAGGGTTTGGCGTGTTTAAATAAATTTATCGACCATTGAGCGTTAAGATAGCATATTTTCGATCAATTTTACTTTATAGACAAACTGTTGGAGGTCATATTTCTCCTCCCCAAAAAAATAATATATAGAAAAGAATAAAGTGAATAAGAAAAATACTGGCACCCAAACGCGTTTATTACTTTTTCATAGGCAAATTATTAGCGTTATGGGACTGAAATATATTAGGATTGGGAATGATGATAAATCGTTTTATAAAAAGAAAAATAAACCTTATAACTCGCTTCAACAGACACACGACGACGAAAAATCGCTTTGTACTAGTGAATGGTCCGGCGATATAAGTTTAGATCAGCCTTCTTACGGTTCAATTGTACTGCAAATACGAGAAGCGAATGCCGAATCTTCGTCCGTTTGCGACTTTGTTTGTAAAGCCTTGGAAATATTGGAAAATACCGGTATCATTCTTTTCTTATTTCTCGTTTAAACAGTTTCAAACACAAAAGATAGTTTAGGAGAAAAGGCGTTATTAGGCGTTAGATATTACGCTTTCGGCGGAAGTCGACAGATTAAAAACCCTTTTCCACTTAGAATCATTGAAATGAAAGACGAAAATTCTATGGCTATTCTTTTACATACTTTTTTCCTCCCTCTCCCTCTCCTCTTCTTTCTGTTCTTCTTACTCTCCCTCACCTTTCTCTCTCCATCCTTCCGTCCTTTCCTGTTCCTGTTCCTGTTCCTCCTCGCCCTATCTATCCTTCTCCATTCGCTTTTTAAGTGGAGAGTTTATGCTTCTCTTGCCACCTATTATAGCCTTATCCCCTCTTTCAACATTATTCACAGCTTCTTGACCGAAATAACAGCCTATAAACGACTGACTGAACTCCTTTTCCCGTTAAATTATGCTTTTTCTCCCTACCCGACATTATTATAAAGCGCTTTACAATATAACTTGGCGCGCATTAGCCAGGAAGGGAAATTGATGTTTGTACAAACTCATAGTCCCAAGAAGATGTAAAGAAAGGGAAAGAAACGGTTTTTTTGGCGCTCCATCTGCCGTGTTTACTTGCAAAGTCGAAAATTGGGGATGGAAATCGGAAAATCTGTACGATTTATTAAACGCCATCAAACATTTTCCCTAACTGAATCATGGCCCTTTGCTTGCCAATTCAGTTTATTGGTCAGTTCTGCTCTAGACGGTGGTCAATGATGCTGAGAAGAAGCGAATTCGAAATAGATAACTCAGGGAACGACCCTAATAATCGTAGACTACCTATAGGTCTTTAAATATTCATTATCGTAACTTTTTAGGAGGATTATTTTAGTTATTCCACAATAAGAAACATTTCTTATATTGTTTCTTTCTATGCAGTGTTCGTTACTGTGCTTCTTGGATTACTCATGGCCGTACCAGTAGCCATGATAACGGTCGGAGTAAAATTCCTGCATGAATGCCCTATCGAACCCAAGGTGCCTATTTACTTACTCGTAGCCGGTTGTTTTGGACTACTGAAACTTCTTTCCCTACTCTGGAGGCAAGTTCGGTCAAGACGGTACGAGCAACTGGACGAAATGGCCACTCCAGGTAACGGTGATGGTATGATTATGTCAAAATCATCGAAATTCTCCGAGGCCGTACTCAGTATTTTTTTACTTATTTGGTTTGGTTTTGGTAATTATTGGATTTTCCGAGTATGGAAGCCAAACTTTATACAAGCTTTACATCGTCCAAGCGATTGGTGTCATCCGACAGTGTACATGTTCGCTTTCGGTACGATATGCGGTGTCTACGCATTGACAGCAATTGTTTTGCTTATTGCTTGTATGCTAGCTTTATGCTATAGGCTTTGTAATACCTGTTCATCTGAATAGCGACAGATGAAGGAAAAAAAGCAAACAAGTAAAAAATAACTGAATATATTAATACTTTTGTTCTCAAAAAGTTGAGTTTATACTGGTTGTCCTCGTTTATTATTCAAAAAATGGTGTTCTATTGATATATATGTCTATATACAGTATGTGCAATATATGTATACAATATATACAATGTATATTTATATTGTATACTGCATATGTAGTATTCGTACTTGTATATGTATACTTACCTATATATGTATGTACTTTTAAAAGGTATATACATTGGATATGACCTAGTTACTCATATAAAAGAAAGCGAATATTTACAAAATACATATGTATTATGTTATATCAAGACCTTACTCAATTGAGTAACACTCCTCTTGGACAGTCTATAAAAAAGTACTGATTAAAAATGAATGGGAATAGCCCACAGCAATACATCATTGGCTTGATTTTGGCGGTAATCTTCCTTATTATCCTTATCGCTATCGTCTACATAATTTATAGACTTATTCGAATATGTGTACTAATGGTAAGAGTCATTTTTATTATATTCGTATATTTATCTCAATTGAACAAGAATTAGGAAAACATTTCCGTCTTTGTTATTTTAATTGTTTTATGCAAATTTGCGTCTATTTCGATAAATCTTTACTTGTTTTTGCTGAATAATTAGTTTTTCTTTTAAATATTAATAGAGAAAGGAAAAAAATCTGAGGGTATCAAGTCGTCAGGATCGTGCTAATTCGGAAGATTGTCAAATGAACTTATCGCCGCCACCGGCCTATCGTAATTCCTGGTTGGATGAATTTAGTAGAAGATTTTGGAAAAAACCTTCCGCACCTCCGACAGATGACAGTTTAAACATTCGCTACGACCAAGCAAATTGTAGTCGGATCTCAATGAACGTAACAACCAATACTTTATTCAGATCGGAAGCAGGAAATTTACACGGCGAAGGACTTTGCAGTACGCCAATAAAGGATAAGAATATCGTCGAAGTTGACGTATAATTAATTCTATGGACAAGTTAATCAATCTAAATATTATATTACAAGTTTATACTATCATTGATGATTACAAAAGGGCTATTAAATAAACTATTCTTTAATCATAACACCTATTTGCGATACTTCACAACTATACAAGATGGCGCAATTTTTCGTGTCTATTTTATTCTCTTTTCTATATTAAATTATTAACTCTTCAAGCGTGTTTACAGAAATTAGATAAGATATTCATGCTATTACTTAAGATAAATCAAAAAGAAATTATCATCATAAAAGTCTTTTAGGCGTTCTTAAGCGAATTGTTAAGGAGGAGTGCAATGATTTTTTTTTTATATTCCTTCTAATTTGAGTGTCTTGGATCCCTTGAGGCGAAGAATATTAGGCATAGAAAACGAGTTGGGGCATATGAGTACATAGAGTGCAAAAGGAAGTATTTTTTCCACCCCTCTTAATTAATACCTTTCGAAATCTATTGTATAAATAAAGACAGATTTTAAACTAAACTCAATTTTAGTCCAAATGCATAAATTTTATAGCATAGAATTTGAAATAGAGCCTTTTCCATTGCCTACTTCGATTGTATAAACGGAACAGCTGACAAAACTCGTTGATCTACTTTCTCCTGCGTCAGCTTTCAAGGTTTCAGCTAAGTCGACATCCTCCTTTTGTTTGAAATAAAAAAAAAATCTTTATTCCAATATTTTTTCCCTTTTATTAACGCACACACGTGTAATATTCAGCTAATTAACGATCCGTATAAAATAAACAATACATACTAGTAAAAAAAAGAAATTATAATGTTAATCGTTACCCTCACTCTTAAATAGTTACCTACAATCAAAACAGACATTTTTTTTTAACCTTGAACCAAAGTCAAGTTAGTATTGAATTCGGAAACTTGCTAAATAAATGGGTAAATAAGGAATCGAATGTGGTATTTATTGTTGGAACAACTAAAGGAAATTACTTAAAATAACTGCTTACTCGGGTCAACGCATGCTAATTTTCATAGTAAATTCATCGGTTTCTTTTGCAAAAAAAAGTATTACGTAATATTAGCTTTAATCAGTTTTGTTGAGTTTAGAGAAAGAGTATAATTTAGTTTTGATGGCTGATTGTTGTTTTAAAAAAAATAAAAAGTCCACAAGGATTTGTTATATTGGAATTAGATCCAGTCACCAAGACTTAGTTATTAAGGGATTAAGAAGGGAACAAAAGGAATGTTACGAATTCCTCGTAAAAAAAATTGATGAATAAGTCTGCATTTTCAATTACTAAATCTAGTTTATTTGTTGCGTGAACGAGAGAATGACTATAAGGATACTATTCTGTTCTGATGGGACTATATAAAATCCTTTACCTTACCAATAGCCAGAGATCACAATCAATTTATTGTTGGAGGTTATGCTTACCAATCAAATCACGAACTGTTCTACACATATAGAAAATTAAGAAGGACGAATGGGATTTGGATGAAGTTGTCTGGTTTTTATTCCATTCCTATGTACTCATTTCCAACCCAGTTCTTTCAAATTTTTATGCTCCTTTCTATTTTTTCCTATTAAATCTCTCAAAGAGATTTTATTTTTAAAATTAATATTTACAGAACACAAAATAATCTTATAATGAATTCCTATTTAAAAACAAGACTTTTCCATTCCTTTTAACTTCCCTTTTCACTTTATTCTTTTCCTCCTCTTTCATTACCCGCCCCTTTTAGCCTCCCTCTCGCCTAATATTTACACAGTCTTTCCTACTTTTAATCAGAATTAACCTCTAATAAATTATAAGATAAAAAATACCATTTCTTACCTGGGAAATATTATTGTAAATAGTTAATGAATTAACAGGAATTGCTTTAAAATATAAAATTGATCAAAATATTTTTTATTATTAGATCAAATGAAACAGAAAGGAACAAAAAAAATTTTTATTCTTTTTCTTTTTATAAGTACTACCTTTTGATGAATCATTTAAGTAAATATATGTTCAAATCAAATAAACTTCCAATTAAAATTCTATATGGATTCTAATCAATATATATATATATATATATTAGTATATATAAATATATATACAATATATAGTCATTTTTTTTACCTTTATTTATATAAATGACAAATAGGATTTATAAATCAATAGAAAATTCCCTATTTTCGGTTGTGCCTTTGTTTTACAGTTTTTGTTTTATAGGTAATTTGATTATTTATTTTTATGTTATTGTCGTTTGACTTGATTAGCCTTTATTAAAATATTTATCTTCTAGTTAGTAAGGTAATGTAAAAGTCTAAATAGGATGATATAGATACATTTTAATACAAATTAATTAGTCTAAGTATCTTATATCACTTTGTATTAATCATTGATTTTTTTTCTTCCCCTTTTTATCTTCCTTTCCTCTCTTATTCACCATCTATCTATCTATCTATCTACTTCATTTTCTCACTTTCTCCTCATCTTCTCGACACTATCTTTTCTTTTTTCCTATTACAGCTTCAACCTTCCCGTCTACATATTATCGCTTTTCAGAATGTAGATATGTCAAGAAATTACTTTGAATTAATTAATCATATCTCTATTAAGAATAAAGTAGAATAATCATCAAATATCTCATCCACTTGTATGGTTGATATAATAAAATATACTTTAAAGCTATCAAACTATCATCTTATCAAATATGACGATTTAGTAAAACATAAAAAATGAAATAGTGTCAATTAGCAAATATCAAACAATGTTGAATGTAAATACATAAAGATAGAATAAAAAAAAAGAGACGTTACAAACATAAATAAAGCAATAAAATAGTATGATCATAAATAAATAAAAATACTAATTAGAAATGTTATAAGCATAACGAAAGATTTCAGTCTAGTTTACATTTAGTCGTGATTATCTTAGAAATAGAAAATATTTCCATATTATAAGAATAATCAATTAGATTTATGGTTTTTTTCTTTTATCAATAAATGTTAAATTTATATTTTTATATAAACAAAAAACTTGTAGAATAATAATTTTTTTCATGAAAAAAAAACAAACTGTCACTATTATCCTATTCAGAATCAATAAATGTTATATTGACGCTTCAATTTGTTGAATTTTACATATAGATCTATAAACAGTATATACAGTATAAATAGACGGTTAATATTTGCTATTACTATTCTTACTATTATTATTGTTATTGTTATTATTATTGTTATTACAATTGGTAATTGAAAAATTAGTAATATGCTTATTTTTTACTGTTAGATTGAAAATGTAACTTTTATCTGCAAAAAAATTCCTTAAATTATGATAAAATTTCAAAAGATAAGTGCTATTTTAAAAGTAGTTTAATGTCAAATTAAAAAATTATATCTTTAACCTTTAAGAGTTCAGAAATAGAATCCAATGCTAATAAGATAAATATATTTAATATACAGTATATTCTATATCATATATTGAATATATGATCTATATTACATCTCTTCCGCTTTTTTGCATGTAAAAACATAAAGTTTTTGCAGTCGATTAAAAAAATTGCTAATCATTTACAGATTAGTTAAAGTGTAAATATTGTATATAGCAAAAAATGGAGATGAGGAAAGGTAAAATTTTAGTTACAAATGAATTTTTTATATGACGATTATAATATATTGTTAATAATAATTGATAATAAGCAATGACAAGATAAGATTATTATTTAGTAATATGTAATATATTTCATTTAAAAAGTTAATTACAACTAATAAATATTTACTATATTACATAAATATCCATTACTCTGTAGACACATTTCTATTATAGCTCCATATCTTTATCTTTTTATCAACTTCCACAGGCTTCCTTTTCTCTCTCCCCTCTCCCCTCTCCCTCTCTCTTTCATTTCCTTCTATTTTTATCTTTTCTTCGAAAGTTTATAATACTGAATCAGAAAAATTGACAACTAAAAAAAATACAATATTGTTCCTTATTTCGTTCATCTTTACGCAGGTTTTTTTGGTTTGTTATTAATCTGATTGACATTCTAAACTAGTAATAAGTTATTTTCCTTATTGGATTGCTTATGGGCCATGAACTTTCCGAATAAATCTCTTAAGAGTACGATATAAGCTTTAATATATATATATCTTTATTCGACAGTTAAAATATCATCAAAACCATGAATATGGCACAGTTTTTTTTCCTATTTTCTATAGCATTAATACATCTAAAAATATAAATTTATAACTAAATTGACGTCAATCTTCTCAACTCTAATTATATTATCCTTATATTGTTAAAATTGATTTACTTATCGTTCATCATTCTTCTTGCATTTACTTGTCTTTTATTTCCTTTTATCATATATTTTTATTTAATATAGAAATATTTAATAATAAATGGAATGATTATTTTTTTTGGGCTATTTAAATATATTTCTCTTTAACTTCCTCTTTACAATTGCTATGCAATAATTTCTATTCTTTTTCCTATCAAATCTCTCCCGCCTCTTCCTCCCTCTCCCGCTTTTAAATATATTACCTCGCATTTTTCAAATCTTCTTCTCTGAAAAAGTTGACCTACTCTGGCACTAGATTATAGGTCCTATTGATAAGATAACTTTTTAGAGTATCTTCTTATGGTGTTATGCACGCTCCTACATAATAAAGAAAAGACGCACTTTAAATATAACATTGTAATACTGAATAATTAATGATTTATCCTTCTCTGAGTGCGTTCTACTTAAAATCTTATCTGCCAACTATCTGATTTGATAATCACTTATCTAAATAATTACTGTACATTCTATTAAAATAATAATCTTTATCAAAAATCCACTACTCTCTAGTCAGATATAAAGCATAATAAAAACAAGAAACATTCTTAAAGCCATTTCTTTATATTGTATAACTCAGCAGGAGAGTAATTATGATTTTCCGATTGAGTATTCTCGTTTTTTGTGTGGTTTTATTTAACCTTTCTCAAGGTGCAAAACTAGAGAAAAAACCGGAAGTAGCTTCAGAAAGTAGGTTTATTATAACGAAAAAATATATACTGTGTATTAGCAACACAAGAAAGAACGTAAAATTCTCATAATTTTTTCGTCTCTTCTTTCATTTTAATAGATAAAGTTATTCTTAGCGATATTTAAAATTGCTTTTTACTTAACAGAATGCTTAGTAAGCGATTGGAAAGAATGGAACGAGTGTAAATCAAAAAGTGGAAGTTCACTAAACAAACGTCTTACAACCATTCATTTAAAACGTAAGAGAATATTAATAAGAATCAGTCTTTCTTTTTGTTTTTTTATTGTTCTATTTAAAATCTATTTTTAGCCGCTCAGTACGATTCTGCAAGAGAATGGATGAAGCTTTCCATGGTAATTTATAATAGTTATCCTCTTTTTTCTATCTATCTGACATTTGCTTTTGTTTTTCATAATGGCACTTTTCATCCGATAACTAATAGGCGGAGAAGGAAGAATATATAAAATATCTAGAAAAATGTAGAGCTGACGCAAGTTGTCCTATGTTGAATTTGAAGCCGTCAAAGGGAAGAGTAGACTGTGTAAATGGAATGGCAGGCGAATATCCTTGTAAACTTATTGATCAACTTTCGTTCGTCAATTTGCGTGATTTAGGCAGCACTGACCCGCGGTAAGCTATTACTTATTACCTAAAGCGTAAAATCCTTTCTAATTATGTTTTTCCACTCGATTTATCTCTTAGAATGGAGGGTAATGATATCTGGGGTAAATATCGCACTTTTCACTTTTGTGAATAGAAAATTTTACATAACTCTAATCACATAGGTTGGACTGATCCTCAAACCAACGATGAATACGCAATCGTCGGTGTCACTGATGGAACATCTTTCGTTCGAGTAACAAATCCTGAAGAACCAAAAGTCTTGGGTTTCCTTCCAACAAGAACAACTAGAAGTGATTGGAGAGATATGAAAGTGGTTAACAATCATGCTTACATTGTATCCGAGGCACCCGATCACGGTTTACAAGTTTACGATCTCACGCAACTTAGAGGAAAAGAAACTTTTACCGTGCTTGAACCAACTGCAATCTACAGTGAATTTGGCAATGCTCATAATATTGTTGCCAATGAAGAATCAAATACTGTCTTTGTTGTTGGACAAAACAAGGGTAATTACCCTAACCTCTGTGCAGCTGGCTTACACATGATTGATGTTTCTAAACCTGCTGAACCAAAATTTTTGGGTTGTTTCAGTGAAGATGGCTACGTTCACGATGCACAGTGTCTTTTCTACCATGGTCCAGATGCTGAATATAGAGGCAAAGAAATATGCTTCTGCTATAACGAAGATACTCTAACTATCGTTGATGTTACTTCTAAAACTGATGCTAAATTGATATCCAAAGTTTCATACACCGGATATAGATATACTCATCAAGGTTGGTTGCTAGAAGACCACTCCGCTTTATTGATGGATGATGAACAAGATGAAAGTAATGGATCGGGAGATGGGTAAGTAACACACAATTTAAATCCCTAACAAGAGCAATCATCTAATTTTAATATTACTTTTCAGACGAACCATTACTTATTTCTGGGATGTCAAAAGTTTGAAAAATCCTGTTCTTATGAACACTTATATTTCTAGCGAAAGAGCTATTGATCACAATCAATACATCCTTGGTAATTACACGTATCAATCTAATTACGAAGCTGGTCTACGTATTCTTGAAATTAACAAGCCTGACTGGACTTTAGAAGAGGTTGCCTATTTCGACGTCATGCCAAAAGAGATTGGAGAAGTAAAATTCCAAGGAAGCTGGAGTAATTATCCTTATTTCAAAAGCCGTAAGTTTTTTTTTCACCAAAATTGTCACAATTTCTAACTTCATTCAATTACAAAACAGGAAATGTCATCGTTAACTCTATCGAATTTGGCTTATTTGTAGTTCGACCAAGGTACGATGATTTGCCAAAATCAAAAGAAACAGGTGAACAAATAAGAACCAGAAACATTTTAGACGCCTCACATGCCAAATTTTGTCCTCATCTACTCGAAAGTAGAGAGTGTAAACCCTAAAGTTACTGATTATATTACTCCATCAGTGAAAGAACGCTATATTTCATTTTTTTCAAAGTCATTTTATTAAGAAAACGTTCTAGAGTACGTTACTATAAATAATTCAACCTTTTTCTAAAGATGAAAGTTAAAATACAGATGAAACACAGTTAATAAAAAGAAGCATTCTTTAATTCTTTAAGAATTTCCTACATATAATATGAATGAACAACCAGAAATAAACATAAACATTGATAGTAGTTTCTTTAATAAACACTTTAAATATTACGTTCATTATAGATTATCTTTATTTATTATTGCGCTGTTAGTTATGTTTCGAACGTTAATTTTACAATCTATATATAGAGGTAGAAGACGTAAAATTGCGGATAAAATATAATCTCTTAGCAAAACAGACATGTATATATAAGGAATAATTCTTCATTTTGCATCAAAATAGCAACCTTCCGTTATATAGATGAGTATTAGTATCTATTATTCGCACCAAAATACAGTTTTAAATTTCAATATATACCATTGCTGTTATCTCTTAAAAAAGATCTTGACATTTCAACACTACACCTAGGTGTTAAAGTACCCATTTCCATTGGAGAAGAATTAACAAAAGAAATAAAATAGTGCTACTAAGAGTTAATTAACCATCTTATCGCTGTAACAAATAAATTGCTAATAGGAATAGTAAAAATCGATATAGTTTAAATTCTTTCCTTTAGAAATATCATCTCTCAACATGGATGGAAAAAAGTAGCAGTTCTATGCTGTTTTTTCTTCTTATTTCCTTCTATAGAATCCTAATCTTATGAGGTTTGAAGCATGCAAAAAATTGTTCTAAATACATGACAAGAATCAAACAAGAATACGATCATTTCAAAAGTATTATAATTTTGAAAGGAGTACTGTCATGTGTTTTATTGATCTTATCATTTCATATACTATATACTGTATTCTGTTAAATTCAATACTAAAAAGAATACTGAATCTTAAATGTCGAATTCGACATTATATAAGAATAAAAAGCTATTGAAATTATATCAAACCTCTTGGTATCTAATGCATAAAAGAGAAGAAACTAAATTTGTTTCTTAGTGTATTCGTATAATGGAAAATAATAAACATATCTCTTTAGTTTTATATGCAAAAATAAAAATGAATTACTTGAAGTGAAGCTATGAATTTATGTCTATATCTTACTTTATACGTATTTTATAATCCTAATATTATATTCAGAATTTTTTATAGCACAATAAAAATCCCTTCACTCCTTCATATCCCGTTCATTCTCTCTGTGACATATTATTGCTTTTTTTTTCATTTTAATCTCTCTCTCTCTCTCTCTCTTTCTGTCTCTCTTTCATTCTCTCCATTGAGCTATTTTTTTCCAAGTCTAGAAATAGTAGTGTGTATACATTTATTGATATGTATACATTAATTTTCTCTTTCACTGTTTCTTTTTCAATTAGTAGACAATAAAATAAATCAAATGATAAAACTAATAATTCATTATATTTAGTTAATATACATTTTCTATTGTTCAAATAGAAATAAAGAATTGTAAAAATACAATCATTGTTATAGAAAAGTAACAATAATTATGAGGTAATTATTATCCGAAAACACCCTTTGGCAATTCGTATTGATATTCTTATAAGAAGGGTGGGGGGTGGGGGAAAGAAGAAAGGGAAAATTGGGATAAAATGATTTGACTAGGGAGAGGTAGGGAGAAATAATTAATAAGGCACACTAATTTCCTATAAACAGTCTTTTTATTGACTATAAAATTACTATATCGAACAAAAGCGAAAAGAGAAGCATATAGCAATTTTCCACTTGCGAATTATAGGAAATAATCAAAGTAAATAGCCCTAATAAACACAATAACATTTAATAAAGACTTATTACATGAAACCTAAAAATAAAGCAAATCAAATGTATGATAATCAATAAATAAAGGATTATTCAATAAAGGAAATCTTCAGTCCAAGTTGAAAAAAGAGACTGTAGAGAGAAATCTGTATATTTAAAAATTTATACGAAAATCGAATATCGTACGAAGAACATTTATGTACAAAAAGTTTAGAGTAATAAATAAAACTTCCACCCAAACCTTTTTCTCTCCCCCTCTTCTTTATTATACTGTTATAATTGAAATGCCAGTAAACATATAGAACCTACTGGTGTGCATAATGAAGAGTAGAAAGCAGGATAAAACGTTAATACGTGACCCTAATGTAATCGATATCAAGCTTATATGATACGCTATGTAAAAAGTACAGTTTCCCAGAAAAATAAAAGAACCAAAGCAAACGTGAAAACTAGGAAAACTAGAAAAGTCTTATCTATGACATGCTTACCTTATTTCTTTAAATAATCTCTCTTTAAACATAAAAAATATAAATGTAGTAATTTTTTCCGATCATCTACTAATTACCTTAAATATTAATGACCCAATTATAAATGGATATTTAAAATATCAATTTTCAAGTTTAATTTGATACTTTTAACAACAATAGTAACAAGATTTTTAATGATACCGTTTATCTTTTTGAAAGAGAGATCTATCTCTCTCCAAGGAAGAAAATTAATAAAGTGTAAAATTAAAAGCAACTCTTTTCGTTTTTCTTAGAAATCTAGCAGTTGAACTGCCAGTATGATAAAATATAATTATAAAATAATAACATTACACAAAGGTTAACTTTCGAGAGTTTATACGTATACATATACCATATATGTATATATATATATATATATTTATATTTATATTAATTACTTTTAAATACACATGATGGCGTTACGATCGAGACAAGAATACTAATGCACATCTACTTTATAAATGTCTTCGTTATCAGAATCTGGAATGAGTTAAAGGAGAAAAATTGTCGAATTTTTTGATAAAAATGAATAATTAAAGGTGTTTTATTTTTTCAAAGTTTATTTTGTTCTTATTTATATAACTAAGAAGAAAATTGAAATAGAAATCATTCCTTTTTTCCTTAAAAGAATGATTTATAGTACAAAAAAATCTATAAAACATGTAAATAACATTTACACGTTGAAGGCAAAAAAGAAATGAAAAGAAATGATGTTATCTTTATCTTTACGTTTGTCTTTCAAGAGTATATCGGAGAAAAAACGATATGTGGACAGAAAGCAACAGCATTTTTCTTCTCTATTAAGAGTGTTGTCTTTTTTTATGAATATCATAAAAGTTTTTATTTAAGATGATAATAGCGGAAGTATCGAATTTCTTTTAACCATGGAATTCCCCTTTGGAATAGACATTTTAGTTCTCCAAAGAATTCTTTACCTCTTCCATCCGTTCTATTTCCATACCCCTCCTGCCCTCTCATTTATACAAAAGTAATCCCAGTGGCATATTCCAGTTATACTTTTGCAGTTTGTATGAACTTTTAGTCCAATGTAATTGAGTTAGCTTTACATCTGACATTCACGATAAATGAATTTGTTTTCTGTTGGTCTTTCCGTCGCTTTTTTTTGTTCCTAATAAAAGGACAAATGAACAAACAACGATATAACAATTTGTTGTTCTCCCTTCGAGTGAACATTACAATACTCTTACTGCGTAGAGAAGCAGAATATAAAATTCATACACAAATGTATATATTATATATCTTTTACTATAATCTTTTTCATTTAAAATTTTAGATAAGAAAGGAAATGTTGAAAATATTAGAAAAGGAGAAAATAACAGCTTTAAAAGACATAGATAAACAATTATACTGTACATAAAGCTTACATATATCTTTGACATACTATATACCGTATGCACTTTTAATTAAGCAATATATAAAAAGTTTTTATCTCTAATACCTGTCTGTTTCTATGTTTGCTTTACATCATAGAAGATATTCCTTGGAAATTTTTAATAGAGAAACATAGTTAATAATTATCAGAATACACCGCTTAATCTTCAATTGAATGACAGAAAATCCTTTATAAATTATAGATTTAATTGTTTACGGGAATAGAAAGAGTAATGAAAAATAATTAAAACTCTTTTGTAAAGCTTGTTTAAATTATTAACTGGATTGAAAGAGGATTAAAGATAAAATTACCATATTTAAAACCTATTTGTTGCTGTAAACAACGCTGAGCACCACTATTAATAACATACCACAAAATATGCAAAGAAAAGCAACAACCATTTTATAGCGAAATTTTCCAGATACGACGTTACTTAAAAAAATTGGTCCTGGATGTTCGTCCTGCTTCGATACATCGGATGATTTATTAGTGCCTACGCTAGATGGCATACCCATCGGTTGCAAATACAATCTATAGAAAAGGGAAAAATGGATGGAAAAATTTATTTAAGGGGTGGAAAGTAAAGTGAATTATTGTTACGTGTCAACCTTGGCGTCTCGACCCATTGTACAATGTCTGTATTTTCGTCTATAGCGATAGTTTGCCCAGGATTGAGAAATGTTTCAACCGATAGTACTTTCATTCTGGAGCAATCGGGACTATTAAGATATCTGTTAATCTTAGAGATTAACTCTTTTGTCTTTTCAAATCTCTCAGTGCCATCATTATCAACAACAATTTCTGGTATAAAATTCTCATAGGTTATAGTATAAGAAGACTTTTGACCAACTGATGATGTCAGATACCAAACTCGAAGAATTCTTAAAAGTTCCATTCCCGCTGCCTTGCTGACTGCTGGAAGTGTAAAGTGGCATAATGTATCCGTTGAGAATTGCGTATCTGTAGGGGCAAAACAGTAGAAATATATAGTCTCTTTTCTTTTTTTTATAATAAATAAATAGAAAACAAAGGAGAAAAGTAAAAGGAAATGTTTGTAAACTAAATTAATCAACCAGTTTGCAGGAGAGAAATTCTTTATTTCCTTACATTGTTCTTGAATATATTATATCTGTATTTACCTGATACAATATACATATGTATACCTTGATAGATCAATTGAAAACGGGGCAAACTTTTTGTGTAAACAATGGATTAAATATTTAAAAAAAATACTCAGAAAATGTCACCTAAAGTGACTTAGAACGTTAGCTGCCGAGCCTAAGGAAAAAAAACTACTCCAGTCCTAGTCATTAACTAAAAGGTAATTAGACTTAAATATGGCGCCTTCTCTCTTTCCTCATTTCTCGATCTATCAGTCTATCTATCTATCTATCTATCTATCTATCTATTCGGCTCTACCCCTATCTTGACTTCTCTATCTGCTGCTGCCTGCTCCTGTTCCCCTCCCTTTCTCAATGGACGCACTAAAGAAGAAATTTATTCTTTTATCAAATTGCTTAGGCTGGAAAGAAGAAATGTCAACGATATTTTTTATGCTAGAGTTAGAAAAGCATATTGTTAACTTTGATCGTCAAGAGAAAATGTCTCACACTTTGATATGAATATTATTTTAATGCAGGTTTCAGTAGCGATTGCTAATTTATGTTATTTTAGTTAAATTTACTCAGATACTATAATTCTGATAATTTAGACATCAAATAGTAAATAACGTGAAAATTTTTGCCTTTGACAGATAGAGAAAGACAGAAGTTTTTTTCTATTATAGATCTCAATTATGGATCAACCTATCCCATTATGTATGGGTACTTTATGATAAAGTGAGGTCCATACTAATTTTCCGTTAAATCGCTTTGACAAGCAGATAAAAATTTGCAGGAATTTATGTACTTCTGCTTTTGATATAGACGTTGTTATGAGAAGAAAGAACGGAATCCTTGTTAAGATGGTAGATTTTTGCATCATTTCACTCCAAAAGGTTTATTATTGAATGGAAATAATTTTTTTTATCATAATAATGTACTAACAAGAAATTTTCAGTGGTCGTCTGCAAAACACAGAAAGATATATCTCTAATCTACATTTTCTTGTATAGAAAGCTTACTTCAAAAATATAATATTTACCCCCACTTAGTTTTTATAAAAAGGAAATTGATGCAAATTAAGCCTCGGGATTATGACTAACTCGTCACAAACCCTAGATTTATCTAAAAACGACTTTTTGCTCAGATAACCTCTGAGTGGATTTGAATTGTCAATGGTAAAGAATTAGAAAAGGGGATGGTGTGGAACCTGATTGAGAGG